TTCTGCGCAGAAACTTGGTATAAAAAACACGAATGGTTGTGTTACAGCGAGGACAAAAATGCACTTTTTTGTTTTCATTGCCTACTTTTTGCTACCGCCCGTGACTCACGTTGGTGTAAATTTGGTTTTAGAGATCTTAAACATCTTTCCGAGCGTGCCAGGGATCATCAATCTGCTATGGAGCATCTGGACAATGCAGTAAAATACCGAACATTCGGAAATGTTAATATTGCAGCACAGTTGGATGAAGGACGCGCGGTTTCTATTCGTCGGCACAACCAAAACGTCGAGAAAAACCGCCATGTTCTCGGTCGATTGATAGATGTTTTGAAGTTCATTGGTTGTCACGAGCTGTCCCTCCGTGGGCACGATGAACGGGCTGGCTCTTCTAATAGAGGGGTACTTTTGGATATGGTGGAATACACCGCATCCCTAGATACAGTATTGAGAGATCATCTTGATGCCGCAACTGTTTCGAAAGGGACATCTAAGGATATCCAAAATGATTTGCTCGACTCAATGTATAAAATTTATTTACAACATTTGGCTCTGGAAATTGAGAATTGCCAGTTCCTTTCGATTCAGTCTGACGAGACAACTGACATCACGTGCGTTTCCCAACTGGCTGTGATTTTTCGGTTTGTGAAAGATGGTAAACCTACCGAGAGATTTCACAGCTTTGTACCAATCGTTGATCGCACGGCTTGCACGGATCGGGATATCGGCTGTACTGGAAGAAGTGTTACATCCTTACAACGCGAAGTCAAAATTGATAGCTCAAACTTATGACGACGCGGCAGTCATGAGTGGGTCGAAACATGGTGTTCAAGTTTATATAAAAGAAGATTTTCCTTATGCGCATTTTTTACATTGTTATGCACACCAATTTAGCCTCGTTATTAAAAATATGTGTCTTGATACCCCTCTCGTCCGTATATTTTTTGCAAATGTTTCGGGATTTTCTTCATTTTTTTCCGTTTCGCCGAAGCGCTCTGACCTCCTTCGCCAGATATGTAGCCGCCGTCTCCCAGCTTGTGCACCAACACGTTGGAACTTCCAATCACGCGTGGTGCAGGGCGTGTCCGAAATTAGGTCTGAGCTCATTGAGTGTTTCAATGGCATTAAGAGCTTTCCGGTTTGGGACGAACGCTCTGTGAGGGAGGCGGCAGGTCTAAAGCGTCTGCTAGAAGATGGTGAGTTTGCACGTCAATTTCCCATCCATTTGTTGGCTACTGTCTCCAAATTTTACCCCATGATAAACGTGGGTAAATTGGAAAATGAATTGCGATGTATATACACCAATCAAACTTTTTTGAACATCACATCAACTTGCGCGCTCTATGGGTTGCTCATAGATAACACTCTAGTAACTACCTTTGCGGCGTCTGCAAAATTTCTGGACATCATTTTGACGACGCCTATTTCTTCCGCCGACGCAAAGCGAACATTCAGCACGCTGAAGCGTATTAAAACGTATCTCAGAAACACAATGAAACAAGATAGATTAAATTCCTTGGCTGTTTTATCCATTCACAGAGACGTTATTCCTGAGATGCATGACTTTAATAAGCGCGTTATTGAGCATTTTGCTTCCAAGAAACCGCGGCGTGTTGCATATATGTTCAAGCAGTAGAAGTCTAGCAGCATATATATCTATGAGTGAGCGACGCATGTCCTTATCTTTGCATTACCTTTCCTTTCTTCATAGTAACGTTTTAAACCCTATTTTAGGTTTTGTCTGCTTTCCCGAAGTCTCTGTTAATATGTCATTGTATTTATCTGGGTAAATATTGCCTTTCCTTTTGAAAGAGGTTTCAAAATAAACTATGTCTATATTTATTAATCCCTTGACTTGGACTGGTTTTAAAGACACTTTCTTATCGTTAAAAATTGTCGCTTTTGCCGATTGGTTGTTATCGATGGAATGGTTTTTATACTCATAAAATGATGGGAGAACTTACAGCGCTCATCCTGTCCCCGTAGATGGGGGTGACTTGGTCCCGCAGTAGCTTGCCCCGGTTGTCAAAATGACCACGCGCCGCCACTGTAGCGTAGGTATTACTAAATTACTGAATTACTAACTCCATTACTTCAAAATCACTTTGTTCTTCAGGTCAAATATCTTCGATCGGTTCTGAGCATAGTCATACTACTATTGAAGCTGACAAGATATCCAGTACAGATATCGATAGTTTTACGACAGACACAACCGTTAAATCTCTGTTTCCAAGTAAATATAAACTTCATAGACTTAGATATATAGAACAGTACAAGATACGGACCTTTTCCATTTACACTACACCCCGCCATGTTTTAAAATACCAAATTTGTGATTAATCCAGTTGGGGTTAGGGTTGAGAGTGATTCGGTTGGAAAAAGCCAATGCAATGTATCTCGCCTGGATAATAAAAATTCAATCAATTTTGTTTTGTAGAAAATTGCGATGTCAGCTTCGATCAAAACTGCTTTCGAGTCATCGTGTATCCAACACAAAACGTTACATTCACCAATGCCGAGAGTATCTGTAGCAATATGGGATGGAATCTTTCAAATGTTTACAACGAAGCCCATTACTGGATGCTAACAAGTTACATGCGCCCGAAGATTTATCCGGACACATTTTTGATATTTTTAAGAACGGAATTCTAAATAATACAAATTTTGTACAAAATGTCTTTGCTGTAAACTTCAATTTAAAAGGCTCGAGAAGTTCGAGACGTTAAATGCATTTCTGTTATTGTGCAGCAAGACACTTAAATGAATCATCTTTACTCTTGCCACTTGCTCAGAGACATAGCAAGGTAGTTAGTTATTCACAAATAACTCAACGAAGCGCTGATAATGGAATATTGACAAACTAGACCTGACATGGGCCAACTATGGTCCGTGGGCTAAAGCCGACCCGTTGGATGATTTAATATGACCCGCCTGATGCTGCCATAAATGTCTGCTTTTACCAATTGTGCATGTACTACATAGTTGTTGTTATTGAAATCTACATAATGCAATAGGCCTGTTAGATTATGATCGTAGTCTGTGTGAGTCGTATTTTAGGTTGCCACAAACTTTACCTTTATGGTATAACCTGCGTTAACAAAACTTTACGTTTTCTTGTACCCTCTTTCTTTCACCTGATGTGCTTGTCTTATGCGGTCACGCGGACCCACGATTTTCAATTTAGTGCCGACAATGTTTTGGAATGTTTTCGTCCCCATAACGCTATAGTTACGTTATTTTTTGTTCATAGCTTGCGCATTTCTGCCATTTAATTTAGTCTATCGTTCCTCGATGGTTTCTAATAATCTGTCGCTGTTTCCCTTTTCTGCAATTCGTAATGATTGATAGCTAAATAAAATGGCCAGCCAGTCTAAGTGGGCAAAACTTTTGACCTATGGTCCAAAACCCTGGGCTAGTCCTGTAACTGGTTTGTACTTATAACAGAACGGTCGTATTCATCTGACATCTGGTGATTCGAGCACGCTCCCAACAAGCGTGTGGTACGCGGACTATCCAACTAGCTCTAAGAAAAACCACATAGGAATTGATGTGAATGTGAATCCACAAGGTCAAGGAATGTTCAATGCATCACCAAATAACAAATACCACGGAGCTCTCTGTGAATTGGAAGCCAATTAATCGAAGGAGTTCACCTGTTGGCAAAATTTGACACTAACTAATATTATCTGAAACACATCTCTTATTTTTTCATCTTCATTTGACTACTTTGTAGGGTTTATATAAGATGTTTCTAATTGTTTGCTGGCTAGTTCTGTTGTTCTTAGATGACACGTTATGTTTTAAAAACGCATATTGATAAACAGTTCAAAGCAGGCTCACAGCCAGACAAAATCCAAATTACACTGCATGCATGCCGAGTTGTTTGCCCTCGCTAGTTAGTTGTTCTATCTCAGGGGTGTGGAAACTGCGGCCCTCAAAAAAAAAAAAGATGCAGCACCTGCCAATGTTAAATTGTGTGCCCGCGAAACAAGTTTTTAGTTTAGTTCATCCGGTACCTGTGAGTAATTTCGGTCACTTTGCGCCGCAAAGCCTGTTCCAATACCTGAGTGCCACTGTCATATTAGGAATACTAGCAAGCAAAATTCTGTTGCAAACTACACAAAGTTACAAAAACGTATTTCCCACTAAATTTATTTAAGACGTTCAACGCGAAGCCGTGTTTGTGTAAACGTTCAAAACTAGTAAATTTTCCCAACTAGGTTGTTTAAATAAACAGTTGTAGGCAATTCTTTATAATGTGATTGTGTATGTTCTCTTAGCAAAATAAAGGAAGTGAAATACATCCAATAATATATTTCTTCTGAGTATCCCTTAGCTCAATCTTTACTTATCTACAGTAACAACATCTGTCTTTTTGATGTTTTCTCATAGAATATACAAGTTAATAGAAGTTGCAAAAACGTATGAAACTTAGTTTCTTCTTTGGTTCCTGCCTGTGTGGGTACAATAAATATATATATATAAATTATATACATAAAAATGTAAACCAATGGGTATGTGTTTTGAAATAGAAGCGTAGTTTGTTTGTTTCAACGGAGTAAATTGAGTTAAAAATAATCAAACAAACATAGCAACAGAATATTTGAAATTGATTTCGAAGATAAAATAAGGTACAATGAAATCTATAACAACACACGGGATGTGTGTCAGGCATATACATACGCATTGTAATGCAGTTACAATAGATATACGTGCCACTAGAATTTTTGCACTTTCTAGCCTTGACTAAGTAATTGGAATTACTTCACTTTTCAATTTCGATTTGAGAAGTTATTTTGCAAAACACGTAGCCGACTTGACAAGAAATAATAGTGTTTTTCTTCAACCGCGGAGTGGATTGCTATGATGCAATCTCGTAAAATTGAATGGGCTGCGTGGGACACATCCTTAAGGCATGGATGTTTGAACTGTAGACTATGTTGCAGTCCTTTTAACAAAGGAATATGAGTTTCGCGAATGTTAATCAGAGACCAGCTACATGCATTTTGTCAAACATTGGACCTCGATTGGTGCTTTCTTTTATTTGTCAATGTCCGAACTTTGTACGCTATGAAAATGTCTCATACAAGAAAAATGCATATGAAATACAAATTAGAATAAAACTAACACAGAGAGTTGGTGAACCATCTTCGGTTACAACAATATCATCATCATCGTTCATTTGAATTTCAATAATATCTGTTGTTGATTTCTTAACTGAAAAGTGGAAGAAGAAATTAAGTTAGACAGGGGAGAAGCCAACCATGGTTCTGAGCAAATGACTAGCCTATAATGTCGCGTATGCTCTTTGGTAGCATCTCTGAATTTTATCTTTGTCTGGTGGTCGCATTACCGCCAATCAAGTACTAAGATCAACAGATAAGGGTTTGTAGTTTGAATGCCAGTAGTTTGTAGTTTTGGGAGTCAAGCATATTCTATATTCTTGTTGTTATATGTTTTATGGCGTTTATATCTTCAGTGATCTTTTGCACCATTGATCACAATTCGAATTAAAAATCCTATACTAACATATTATTCAATATTTACAAATAAGTTCTATATTTTTTTCCGTATACTAAGTTTAGTACGATTGTCTATGCGATATTAGATTAATTAAAGGATTTTATGCCTCCGAAAAAGGTTCTGTACAAGCATCTATATCATAATTTCAACCAATCTATTTGAATATTGCCTTTTGGGCGCTCCAGAAGTATGTGCACCAAGATGGCAGACAACCTGAACCCCAACCTGATACACATACTATGTTCAAGTTGTGCGCCATCTTGGTGCACATACTTCTGGAGGTCCGCCTTTCGTATACATTTTGAAACTTGCCATTGTATGAGACAAGCATTTCCCCCCCAATATTCTTAAGAGCTGACGCTGAAATGCTACCCCATTGAATTTCCTATGACGCAAGTGGAACCTACCTGGAGATGATGTTGTTGGTGCTGGCGTTTGAATCCACATTTGTGTTGTTGTTCTTGCTGGAGGAACGAATGGTATGAGTTTATCTCGCACTGGGTTTGTGCAAAGGCCGTTCCAACACTTATCTGTAGTCGATCTAAAAATTGAGATGTTTTTGAAATGAAGTTTAGATAAATTCCCAAAATAAAATATCATGCCTACAAATTAATTATCATCAAACCTTATCGTCTTTTATGATTATCGATTTATTCGGGGTTATTACCAGTTTGGACAGAAATTTGCAATGTCGCGTTAGAAGTCTTAACAATAAACTCAAATCATCTATCCAGTCAATTTTTCCGGCACCACGGAACACGATTTCTGTTCAGATTTTACTTTTAATATATATACGAGGAAAAGAAATTCCAATTTTTATACATACCTCATGTCGTCGACGTTTTGGTTTGGATCCTGAGGGTCAAGCACACACAAAGAACATGGTCTACCCGGAATATAAGGTTCTACAAATAATTTGGGATCGAAATATTTGAAACCACTGTTAGACGCCATGTAATTTGCCAATGCCCCTCGCGGAGTGTAGGAACAAACTAACATTATTGCTTGAGGCCAGATGATGCCATTAATACGCGGCTCTTCACACCAAGATGCACCACATCCCAATTTGAAAGTTTCCGCCCATATAATCTGAATCAAAGATGTATTTGTAATCATATACGAATAATATTATGTAATAGAACAGATGGTTGGTAGCCTAATTGTTGTTATTGTATACTTTGTTTATATTTACGTCAACATTTCATGGTTTTATTTCTGTGTCTTCTTATTATTCTTTTAAGTTTCACATAACGTTTTCCTATTGAATAAATCTAAAGATGCATTGAATATATTACCTGTAAATAGTGCTCACATATCCCGTCGCATACTTTCGTATGGCTATTGTAAAAATCTCTTTCTGACACCCAAGCAGCAAGTGATGCAGCTGCAAAATCTTCAGGAATATCGTATGTGTTTGGCCACGCAAACCAAGTGTAACCAATCTCAGACGTGATATATGAGTGACGCCTCAGCTGGACTGTTGAAAGAAACCGTGTGTCATTAGCGTTCGACAGCGGGGGCTCAACTATGTCATGAAAGTAACACGAATTCGTAAACAATTCTGATACCCAAGCTAATTCGTCATCCCAAGACAATAGTCGCATATCAGCGGCATTAGGAACAAGACTTGCTCTGTATTTATTATGTTCTCTCAGAAGTGACTCTTTTTGATGAGAAGTAAGGGGTATATGCGGACTCGGAGGAGCCGGTGGTCTGGGCGCGGCAGTTGTTTTTTCTACTTCTTCATCTCCGTCGGAAGCTGTGTCGTTATCTTGGTGAACGCAAACAGAAGGAGGCTTCAAGTCGTAGTTGTAGTTGAATTCTCCAAACGAAACTTGCGGTAAATCTGAAACTTGCTGTGTGGAGATAAAGCCTGGTGCTCGGATTTCTATACCTGCCTGAACTGGTGTTCCAGGGAGAGGCACAAGGACTTCAGTAGCCTCTTTTTGTTGCACATCGCCACTATATTCAGTGACGATTTCGGACGTAATTTCGCTGTAGTCTCTATTTGACTGGATATTTACATCACTTTGTCGCGTTGTCCAGGCGCTATATTGTTCAGCTATCTCCGGTGGGACATTCCCACCAAATTGCGCTATAATTTCGAGCGGAACGTTCTCAGAAAATTGTGGAGCTGCTTCTATTGTCCTATATCTTTTCTCTTCTCTTGACATATCGCTTACTTCGGGTTGCGAAATAAATTTTCTATTTATAGATCTGGCATGTCTTCTTGTCTTTGCCTTATTTTGGCGATCTCGGCGCTTCGATAGAGTTTTACTTTGTCGTATTATCACATTGTATCCTCCAATGGAACTTTTTTCGTTTTCATTTAATGTATTCAATTTTGTAGAAACTTGTTTGACTTCTGAGGTTTTAGAGAATCTCGCTCTGGCGTTTACTTCTTGGATACAAATACATATTGAAATCACTGCAAGAATTACAGCGGCGTTGCAAACTTTATTTGCCATTATCGTATATTGCTTATAACTGCGGCAACGTTATCAATGATCAATCATTTTTGACTGTTTTGTCTATATACAGGGCATTTTGTCGTCACAATTCAACAAACCGTCGTGTACTTTCTGAACGTCTCTGAAAAAGCGTAACACTAACACATCGCGTATATTATTCGAGTAAAATTATACTTGCCACCCCAATCATTTCAGAAAATATACAAAACGTTAAATATTGAACGCATACTTATCATAGAACTTATAAATCATATCGAGAAAGTTTCAATTTCACTTCAAGCAGATATGCCCCTCAAACAAGAGCGTGTAAAATCCCAATCCCACGTTACTATTGATGTCAACTGAAAACGCAGGAGTTCACCAGATCAGGGCGATCTTTTGTCCAATTGCTACGCTTTATCGCAAATGCGTAAGTCCAGTTCGTAAATATAGCTAACACAAAGAACAATATACCTTGAAGTACACAGAACTCACCCACTGTTGGACTTTATTTAAAAAATTTGCAATGAGATTATCATATAAAGTATAAGTTATCCCAAGTGAGGACCACAAATAAAGCGAATATCGTTTTCTTCCATTTTCTTGGTTCATATTAGACTATCAATGTATCGATGGTTAGACTAGCACTGAAATGCAAAAAGCTGCTGAAGCCAAACAAAATTATGGTGCAACACTGCGCGCCAGTGAATTGACTCGAAGCAGTTAGTCACGTCAATGCGACCAAGAAAATAGCATATTCGATAATAATATTATTTGATTGCGGCCCAGCGAGAGAAAATGACATTAATAATAATAATAAGCTCATTCTTATAAAGTTACGCAGTATAAATCTCAAATAATAATATATGAATATGCATAAAATGTAAAATAATGCAAAACAGACGAATGAAATTAACCTAAATAGTATTCGGACAAACAGAAACATTTTTATATAGAAGGCTCAATAAGAAAAAAATCCAATTTTATTTTACTAAAATGTTCCATTTAAGTCGATATTAACAATTCCTTGCAGTTAATTTATTCGAAGGCAGTTGATGCAACACGATATAAACTAGTAGCTTTGTCATTAGAGCATTAAAGCGGTGTGGGTTATAATTGCCTATGCTATGCTTTCCAAACTTTTTTTCATTAATTTCAACATATACTGATTCGAAACAAACGAAGATCAAAATCGGTACAATTTTGCAGCTATGCATTATAAAAAAGATATGAATTGCAATATAGTCTAGGAATAAAATAAGAAACTACAAATGATATTTTCATATAATAATATTTAAACGAACTAGAATGGCTTAATGCGCAAAACATTGTCAGCAGGGACGGAATAATGTGGCAAATAAAGCATCGTGACTGTTATATTCTATCAGTAAAACTATAAATATACATTTGAGTTTTTAAAAAGTCAAGTCAGCTGTATGGCGTTTTCAAAAGCTAAGATATTGATTTACATTTTCAATTTACGTTTCGCTGAATATTTTCATGCAAACTGATTTTCACCTGATAAGCTGACAAACAACGTTTTTGCATCCGAACTCTCCGTCACTGTGTATAATACATAACACCGCCTACCTACACAGTGTCACTTAACATTTCCACAAACTTTTGCAATTTGAAATACACAACTTTGTGAGGAAATCACGTTAGAATCGAAAGAAAATCTTCAAAATCTATTCGTCTTGGACCACTGTCCCGAAGAGGAGCAAACTCATTAAGCATTTCATCAACATCTGTATCAGTGAACTTCAGTCGAAGTTGAAGCATAGTTTTTCGAAGATCATGTTCGTCAATAAAACCGTCTTCTACAAATAAGAAGTCAGCTAGTTGAAACAACGCCAAATTATGGGGTAAAGTGGAAATTGGCCGAGGATGAAAATCTTTCCGATCCGCCATAACGTATTAAATTCATTATTCATTACATATAACTGTATTAGAATGAACTAAGCGAAATCGGAGACAAATACGTTCTGATAATTTAGTTTAAGATCTCGATTTATTTGTAAAGATAGCCTGTAACATCATATAAAAAAAATGGTTGCACTTTATGCCATCATTTCAAACAAATTTCCATCAGAAGATGTAGAGTTTTACGAGAGCTTGTGAATATTTCGCCTAGGACACAATTAGTTTGACCCTTGGCATTATTTCTATTTGGAAAGGATAACCATAACATTGCCAAAAATGCGGCTCATTTCTAAAATCAAACTGATTACGTTATGTAAATCAATCCCCTTGCCTTAATCTTGCACGCATTTTGAGAATGCTTACAATTTCTGGGTGAAATAATTAGTTCAAATAACGAAATGTCAGTCACTCACTGTTATGATCGAATTGCTGAAACACCCTTTCCCATTCTTCTTCTGGTTCTTCTTCCTGAATAAAAGAGATATGTTTATGAAAAAAAGTTTGTATTTTTTTGAATGCATACACAACGAAGAAATTGAACAGATAATTGACTATAACAGATAGCGTGTGCGTAACGCCTTTATAAAAATGAAACAGAATTAGCATTCAATCATTCATTCACGTAAGTATTCAAGTACATCTTTGTTCATGTTGGTTTCATTGATAGCCATCGAACGTATTTCAACATCACGCATTGCGTTTTGTATGATTTATTAGTAGACCAAAAAAATTAGTTAATTTTTTTTTCCTCATATTTAATCTGCAACAAATATAATTTTTTCTTTATATTTATTCATATTTGAAAACTATTTATATTCATTCCCTAATCGTTAACCGAAGTGTTTCTATTAACTCAATATTATGCACACCGCAAAATATCAAGTTGTGTTTTCAATATATTTTCTATATTCCCTGACATAAAGCCTCAGCTAGGAAAGCAACCGCATCACAACGTATGACCGTTTTTATTAGACTGCTCCATGACATGTGATTATTGTTTTGAAAGAATCAAATCATGTAAAAATTAGAGCGCCACAAACGTCATATGATAACGTAATACACCTACACTTCTTGACTCATACACCTCGTACATTAAATTAATTGGTTGGTGTTCATGCACACATCAACACGAGTTATTGAGCGTCTGTGTTATACCGTACAAACATCAAAAATAAATCTTTCGATTATTTGCTATCACGTAATCATACAAACCTGGCAAATGTGAGCCAAAAGAGCTAAAAAATCATTGAAACTCAGTCTTCCAGTTTCTGTTCTGTCGACTTCCTTGACTAAATTTTCAATTTCTTCGTCTGTTGGTTCTTGACCAATTGCTCTCATCACTATACCAACTTCTTTTTTCCCTGGAGTTGAATGAAGAATTTTATAGGAATTTTTGATTGATCGGAATTTATCTTTGTCAAGTACAAACCACAGCAGGAACGCTGTTTAATAAATTACCCTGAATATGACTACCGTGATTTAACCAGCGAAATTCACTGCATGTCCGCGGTAATAATATTTATAAAAGTTAGAATCTCATATTTATTTCAGGATCTAATTAGAGGCCGAGAAATGGCTGGTTGAAGATTGCTGCACATACATGGATATTATTCATAATACCATGAATCCATCATCTTTCTTGAATGCTCATTGTAAATTAATGTTTTTCTATTTCACACATTTCAGGGTTCAGATATATTTTAGAAAAGGTTGGCAAAGTTGCTTCAATATATAAAATTCTTTTGGGTCAAATCAATAGCATTAGATAGGTTAATTTCGAAACAAGTGATTTCTCATGGGAAGGAGACAATACGATGCAGACGACTTGTTAAATATTAACAAGGAGAATATTAATATTGTCTAATAACATAATCTAGTCTCTTTATTTAAACAAGTTTGAGTCTCAGACAACTCAAGATAACATGAATCGTCTCGTTCGACAGTCAAGTATCTAAACACTGCAACGTAAATTTACCATTATAACCAGATAGCACATTGTACATCAATCCACATGCCATATACTAACTAATGGATATATTGATATAGCTAAAGAAAATCATTTTGAAGCGTGAAAGAACTAGTTCAAAAGAGCGTTACAATTCCAGCAAATTTCATCAATAAGACAGGAAACAGAATTATTCTGATGATATTTAAATTCAAACCCACCTATCACTCCTGTATTATCTGTATCCAATAAATAAAACGCTTCTTCATACGTTTCCAGTAAATCTTCAGGAAGTTGACTTGCTCGTAACGTTGGAACTCTGCAGATAAATAATTCAAAGTCATTCAATGTACAAGTACATTACGGAGTTTGGTTTGATATTCTGAGCAAAACCAAGTACGACTTGTAGCTGATTATGCCTCTACACGTACACAGTATAGAATTTTCGAAAATATATGATCTTCTCAGGCATAATTTAAGCACAAAGCAAGAAAATGGAACTACTCGCCATTGTCGCCTGAGAATCGCGTAAGTGAATAAATCAATGGCAACTCCACAACTTTGTGACCACTCCAGGCTTTGTGCTACACAAGATATTGTTAATATGGTAAATATATTCATTCACTTCAAAAACTATTCAAGTTGCCATTTTACCAAAATCAATTGGACGTTTGAACCCGTTCGGAATTACCTCATCTATGCGAGAAGTAATCGACGAAGAAAATTTCATATTTATTTTATAACTCTCAGGCAAAGCATCATAAGAGTACATAAAACCGACATATGTACAAACGTTGAAACCACTGGATCATAACATCGTACGCACAACATAAATGTCTAGCACAGAAATCCATTCATGTTATTGGATTGATCGAGCAGCATGGATATGAAAAAACCTATGTTCAGAAATGAAAGAACGTTTTGACATATAATTGCGTGTGAACCATATCGCAACAATTGCCCACCATCTTGATTATTCCTGAGATTGACCGATAACTTAAAAGCACCGTTATGAATGAAATCGACCTCCCATACTTGGTTCAACATAAAATTACAACAACGCTTGGCCGGAATCCGATTAAAAATGAATATGTAAATATAAAGTGACAACTGAATGTGGATGGATTACTTTGTGTTGGATGATAAATAATCTTCCTCTTCTAAACGATACTGCTGGACATCCATTTAATCTTGACCAATAATTTCAAGCTTTCGATCAGGTTTTCAAATTTAAATTGATGAAAATCGGTAGTTGATAATAAACTTGAAGATATTTGAATTATTATTATTATACAGAAGAGAAGTCATGACTGATGATTGAATTATTGAAAAAAGTAATGACATATAGTTGAAACAAGTAAAATATATAAAACCGATAAAAAAATATTGGGTAACAAAATATGAATCAAATTAAAAAAAATACACAAACTTGGAGCGAACTAAATCATAATTGGGCCATATCAAATTTATAATAAAAATGCAAGCGTGACCTGAAATTTATGTAAAAAGGCCTGTTAAAATCAGTTTATTTGGCAGATCATACTGTTGGGCTAGTATGGAAAATTTTTACATTCTATGAGCCTTCCTCGTTTACTGTTTCGAATACAATGTGGAAATGTTTGGAGCACAAATATGATTGTATTACTTCAGCTGGTGTTCAATGAAGCAATCAAACAAATTGTCCAAACTCTTTATTATCAGTTTCTTTTCTCATTTCACGGAAGAATGGTAAAAATGCGAGGGCAATGGTACTTTCGTTTTTAAAAATAGTGAGCACAACAATCCAATACGAACAACTTTCAGCTTTCCTGGAGAGATTGAAACCTCAGGGAGTTTTCGTATGATAATATCTTGAAATTTATAAAAACAAGATCAATACTTCAGTTAGGGCAGATTTATTTCTGTTTTTAATTGTATTACAACATTCTTGGGCGTCTCAAACTCCCAATTCTTATTTATAGGTAAATACAATCTGCAAAGGGCGGTAGGAATAACAGACTATTGAATTAAATGTATTGGCATGGTGAAGTTTGTTACACGAGCGTGCTGGCGACTTACACATGAACGAAACTTAACAAAAGGGAGTTTTCAAAAACCTCAAATATAAATAAAACCTGGCGCCAGACAAAACTCCAGTGCTTGATGGAGTTGAAATAACGGTATCACGGGTCATCCACTTTCACGACAAGTTTTATTTGGACGAGATTTCGGCAGTTCATACATCCTTGATTTAGACTTTTACAAAACTTTACTGCAGCTCAATAAATCCTGGTCATTTATAGCAAATGGAAGCCTCAGTAGGGTGGGTTGGCAATATGGAATCTATTTTAATAAACAGGCGATAATTTGAAAGGAAATTTGCGTTTCACTAAAATTTTAGCGTCATTGTGTAGGTTTACTATTTTAAGAAAAAAGTCTTTTAATTTATTAATATATGCATTTTCACAGCGTAAATAAGCAGATGATGGTCTACTCCACAATTAGTTGAGTTTTTTCATGTCTATGTCATGTCCTTGTTCTAATCTCGCATCACATTTTTGCATCCATAATCCGCCAGGGCAGTGTAATAATAAGCGTAACGAATACTATAATCCACGGAAGGTATAGTAGAATAATAAAGAAAAACATACATATTTGTTTGCAAAACTTATTATGCGGTCAACCTATGCAAGATATTTCCCATTAACGTGCCGTCCTTAGGCGCATTATCGTTAATTATAATTCTTGGAAGCACATTAGAGGTACTGAAGTAGAAGTATCGAAATAAATAACTCGGCGTTTTACAAAATAAAAACGCAAAATTTACAAGCATTTGTTTCGCATAATACAGAACATTCGAAGTGTGTTTTAAAAAATTTCCCAAATTTCTCATTTTGCATTGAAGTCACATGATTGGTAAACAATCGCTACATTTGAAGTTTTTTATTAAACATTTTACTTATTTTTTCCGAGCAGGCGCAACTGAAGCCATGAATTATGAGGTTTGATTTTAATAAATTCGAAAACAATCAATAATTTTTTATCACGCCAAGGAGTACGGGAACTCTCCTGGACTGACTGACTGTCATTCAGATAATAACAGGTAGATCGACAAATTTCTAGAATATTAATTAAAGATGCTTTTGTAAGTTGTTCTCTAATGAAATCTACGACAATTCATATGAGAAATTGTCTGTCTGCTATAGCAAAAAATGAGGACCCAATCTATCGACTGCCTGCCTCTGTCTGTAGTATTTTTGATGAATGGAAATTATATTAATGTGACAGCTTAAACTGAAACTCAATCGGACGCAAATGAGTGGGTAGTATGAGTAGAATTCAGTCATAGGTTATGGCTGTATTGTCACACCAAATGTGGTATAAAATATTGTCGATTCAATCAGGCTTACTACGTATTAAATTGACTCATATTCATCAACTCAAAAAATGCTCAAACTCCAGCTCATGCTTTAAATTTAGAGAAAGAGAAATATTGATTTATGGCGAATTTCTTTCGTGATTGAAACTAAATTTCTAGAAAATTTTTGAATTTATAATTCACTACTGAATATTTTACTGAATTGTTGACATAAATTTATATGTATATTCACCCACGCTTGTACGAATAAAATAACAAGACATCTTACCTCATTTTCCAGTTGGCGTCGGCGGACATACTGTTCTGACTCAATATACTGACGAAACTGAGATATCGTGTCTTGTCCCGCTGCCTACGCTTGTATTTTGAATTCTTTTTATCCAGAGCCATCGTAATTTTTTCTTGTACCTTGCACAATTTTGCAGTCTTGCGTCAGGCGGGCGCCTTGTTGCACTCTCCTACGGTTTTCGTTCTCCTTGTATCGCGGTGTGGTCCCGACAGGCAGCGTGTTTTTCTATTTCGATTGCTTTAAATATTCGACCATAACTGACAAAAAAAAGGGTAACGGTAAAAAAATTCGAAACGAAACAAAATATTGTGGGTCGCCAAATTTACAACAATCTCAAAAAGATATTCTATTATCGTCGAGTAAATAGCGCACGGCAGTAGCCCAACAAAATACCTTTGTCTTTCATTAGAGCCCGTAGCTCCCACAAACACTCCCTACATGTCGACGTGGTCGGGAGAAAATACAAACAAAAATCCGTGACTCTTTATGAATCAACGCAAATGGGCATTTATATTTATTTGATCAATGAGATCATTCGATACAAAAATATTTGACCGGACTTGACATGATGGCAATGACCGTGCTCGTAAGACTACGCGATGGCTTAGAAGCGGTGTTCTATTCCTAATTTAATATAACAAATTCGAATGGCTCATTATTCATCAAACTTTGTTTCGTGAAACTTCCAATAAATTTAAATCAACTTTTATCCCAATATCACAATTTTATTACGATGCCTCCCAGTTTTCATGAGTTTCAGATTCAAAACATAGCAATGTATTTTTAGAAAAACTGGAAAATTGGGCAATAGGAGTTGTTAAAAAAAATCTCAATGAAAAGGAATAGCAGAGTCAGACTGTAATACACACACCATATACAAACAGTGACGCATTTGTAGAGCAAATCGGTTTCGCATAACAGAATATGACGTATTTACGTTTGTCAATTATGACCAAATTTTGACACGAACGATAGTCTGTTATGGGGTCAGTCGAATCTAATTTTAAGCCAGTATTAAATAATATTAAATGAAATAAGAAGATAGTATATTTGTAAATTAAAGTTTCAAATAGCTATCAAAACGGGAAAATGGATTGAAATTTTATATAATTGCCATACATTAATCAAAATGAATAAGAATTTACAAGGACTGAAAACATTTGCTCCCGAACCCAATTAGGAAATGTTTTGATAACTAATCCATCGAAATTTGCCTCCGTTTACCGCTCGATTGCCCATCAGTCACAATATTATCGTCGTCGACGAAGACAGCAAAAATAGTGCACTGAATGCCGAACTATCAGGCACTTGCAAAGACAATGATTTTGCTACGGTTTTTAGACGTTTTCTTTGTACATAAAAAGAAGACCAACCATTGTAAGACCATCAGTGACGCATTTTATTCCATATACACTTCGAATTTTCAAAATAACCCACAAGAAATATATTTTATAAAATATTGAAACAAAAAACAATTCTTACTATGTGTTCATGCCGGAGCACAGTTTTCTAAGTATACACACGGATTAGTAAAAACGCTATCAAAACAAATTTAAATAAACTTTCCATTTAATGTCGATGCTATGATTGGGTACTAAAATATTCATACTGGGAACACAACTGAAAATCCGAAATCCAAATGATCTTCTTTGAATAAACACTCGCACTTGGAGGTGAATAAACACTCGCACTTGGAGGTGAATAAACACTCGCAAAGCGTCGAAAGAGATCTTTAATTCTCCACAAAATATCAAGAGCCTTTCTACGAACCGAAGCCACAAATACGTCTACGCGGAATACAGCAAATATGTATATGACACGATAAACGATAACTGAGACAAATTTCTCCGGAATTTGGCCTTTATCAACAGTATAATCTATCTGTATTACCTTCTGTGAAATATATCAAACTTCAACTAGACACCTAACACCTTCCATTCAAATCAATGTATATCAGATCTGTACAGTAGATATAGTAAACGGAATTACGTTGCGATGTAATACGCAAGTAACGCAACCTGTATTTCAGGCTGATTTAGAAATCAAGCACAAATCACGGAGGGCCATATTTTAACAGCGAGTCTGATAATCGGGCCATGCTATATGATGTATATAATTTATCAGAAATATTTTTGCCCAAACAGTCATCCAGGTATATTATTTACCCACCGGTTTAAATTGTGATTGATTTCAAATTACCTCGCAATCCTTACATGGTATTTCAACCGGCGATCAATCAAGCGTTTCGTAAAGCAAACGACCAACCAAGGTTCATCGGTAAAATAAGCGATAAACATTTAAAACATGCCACTCGGCCACAAAACGGGCGATGTTCTGAACCACGGTCAAAGGTCACGCGAGTTTGTCAGACTCCGCTTTCAAAATTAAAGGTAGCTTTTACGTAATCGTTTTTAATTATCATGCTACTTAAGAAGTCGAAATTATACGTCCTCTTCCAAATAACGTGGTAGGAGGACATAACATTAATATGAAAACATTTTACCCAACAGTTGAGAAGAATACAATACAAAATCTCAACCTGCCTTCTTATCGGCGCATAAATCACGAACCTGTAATTTGCGACGAAACTGAAAGTGGCAATTAGATTTTTCGTTAAGTAAATGTAGGTGTGGCCTACGTTCCACTGTCACTGAATATCTTGCAATTACGTCAAATGTCCAAGGTATATAATGGAACTAAATTCATTTTTTATTTTCGTAGTTAAGTTTGAGGACAACCACGACTCCGGACATTCATGTACACAAGCAATCACTAGTACGCAGAGAAATAAGATACTTCTATGTCTTCGAGAACTATAATGTATACGGTTAGCAATACCCGACCCTGTTTATTGCAAATTTAATGAAATCGTGAAAATGAAAATTGCTTGAAAAATAATTTTCACTCTTTTTTCGTTAGACATAAGCATTATTTTTGCAATACCCAAAAATAACTTATAGAAATATACCAGAAGACGAATTAACCTTATATAGTGATATAGGTTACTCATGTTTCTTTTGTTCTGACCACTATCAGTGCCATGATCACATTTGTTCATGCCGCACAAATAAAGGAGGGAGAGCTGCGTCGAACCACTTGAATGTAACCAACGCGCGCAATTCAAAGATAAACGTTCCACATACAATAGTCATTTATGACCTCAAAAGATCAATTTCACAAAAATGGGATTATTCGAATTTTGAATCGGTAAAATTTGCAACCGATATCCGTGAGAAATTGGTGTCGGTGCAGTATACCGTATGCAGCCAATGCAACATATTTGATCTTTCTTGGTTTATATCATTCTTAGATTGCCCAGAGTCTGGCCGAGCACGATATACCAACTTTACTCTTTTAAACGAAGTGATTTGAGGTAAGTTTATTGTATACAAAAGTCTTGACAAATGGTCTTTTACGTCACAGCGGGGCTTTATGGACGGGAATAGCTGCTTATTTTGAGATCAATGTGATGAACTCCACAAAGCTAAGATGGAGTAATTGGCAAGTAACAATCGTCTGATTTCTACGCTAAAATAGCGACTTGTATCAACTAAGATTTAAAGAACTGGCTATATTGACTATTTTGGTTCACTTTTTCCTTGTTACTACAAAGATTTATTCAACCTCTTCGCAACTCATAATATATATATAACACTATGAAGTGTGTTTGTTGCACATGGCTGCGAGTGGTTGGCTTCATAGTTATATTGGCAAATTTAATTTTCCTATTTATTGTTAACAATTACGATATCAGTAAAAATACTTTACTTAAAAATTTGCTAAAAAATAGCAGAGATTCGGAATTATCCGATATATTTGCTTTGAACATTTGTTTCATCATCGACAATCTGTTCGATGTTTCAGACATTATGTCATCATCGTGAAACGCGGATGCTTTATAATATATAATACAGCCGTGATTTTGCGGTTTTGATTAAATATAAGTTATATTGACAAAGTCATTTTCTTTTCCTTCACAGCTTGTACGAACAGCACGTTCTATTTAACCATTCTAGTGTGTACATAAGCAATGGTTCTAAATCCAGCACTCATTTACAGATTGAGCTTTCGACGTTGTCATCCCAAATTCCCTTGAAGCAAATCCGATGCACACGGCACATCTAAATTCATAGTCTGATAAAATTTCAATAAAAATCGTGGAGTGATATTTTACTTTAGCTTGTCTTTCGGTTAACTGCACCACGATAATGAACAGTACAAATTACACTTACTTGCTGCCTTTTCATACAAAATATTCAGTTTTTTCGTCTGTATGCGTGAGAATTTGTGAGCAATCGGACTAATTAAATGATAAATAAGACGGGTGCCTCAAATACTACTCATCCATGCCTATAAGTTCAAGTTAACGTCAAGTACTTTTATCCAAGAGGTTAATTAATAAATTACACAGACTTGATGCGTCGGATCTGAATATTTTTGCACTATATTGCCATAAGGCAATAGCAAACTGATATCCGAATACATATTGATTTACTTAAAACTTGGTCTCGTATATGCTATCCAGCTATGCTGTAGTGATATAAAAATCCCCGAAGCCAGAAAACCCCAAACAGCATTCTGATATTAATCTATTCAAGCTTATACAAATGGTATCAACATTTCTTTCTATCTTATTTCTCAACTATATTCTGATTATAATTATAATACAACAGAAAATAGAAACGGCCTGCCATATGCACAAAATGTTAATCATCTAATCCAGTCTCGAATTAAAAAGATCTAATGCGTTGTCAGTCAGAAGATTAAGTCGATTTGATTGACAAATCCTTTAAACAATCTAATCGGATAGGAACGAAAAAAAAATGTTTCGCACGTAATTGTGATCTTAACATACTACAGATAAAATCAAGTACATACAGTATAACCTCTCTACCTTCGAATTACGTCCGTTTATAGCCTGCCAAGCAAAGAATAATCTTCCACGCCGAAAAACATTTCTATAATTCTGAGATATATCTGTCAGAGAGATAAAAAGCGTTATGCCCGAGGCAACAAATAGTCTGAAGTAATGCAAAGTACAACTTACTTATACAACGGGAAGTTGGTTGAATAAACTACATTTTGTGACAATTCAAATGGCCAACGTTAAAACAGGAGTGATGGAATCCAAAAAATAAATGAGTTATACAAGTATTTGCAGACGAGATACTGTACATATTTCGTATGTTTTCCCAATCTGTAGTGAAGAGTATGACGGCTTATAGCATCCGCATAACGTTGCTATTTGATTTGAGGCTTGATTGCTATCGTTGATACGTCGTTGCTAATTCTATAACATTTACTTGTAATATTTATTGCTATTGGCTAGTGGCGTAACTCGATATCCATTACAAGAAACTAGGTATGCATTCTATAATTATTTAATATGACTTCTGTCATTGCCAGCTTCATGAAACAACGACCGGTCACCAAAATGTGATTGGATATCAACTGTTTATAAACTACGGTATTCAACTTCGCGTACAAAGATTTTTTTCGCCTCATTTTAACCTTAACTTCATAAACAGCGGTTCATTATTCGATTACGTCAGACAAGAGAAACGCGTTCCGTACAATTCAGTCTTTAGTTTCCGAGAAAACCACTCTACGGGTGGGGAGTTATTTTATAACATTACAGAAAAATCTAATACTAAGAAAGTCTAACATCTGGCTGTATAAAAGAGAGCAAACGAAAATCGCAGAATACTTTTAGGTGTTAGGATGCGAGACATTTTTGATAATTGTGAAATTGAAACATATTCACCGGTTTCCATCATGCTTTACTACTTTGCGAAATCCATACTGGTGATTTGTATCGTACCCTACGGCTAAGCGATTTTCCCAGTTAGCGCCGTGTTTACAAATACCTGCAACGTGTGTCTTTGGTATGTTATTTTCAAAAATCTTTAACAATACTAAGATTTATATCTTAAATCATATTCTAAAGCTGGAACACGCATTCATAAAAAACAGGCGGGTTATGAAACACTACCGAGAAGAATACAATATCCGAATCAGAGAATAATACCCTGAATATTTACACAATACCCCTTTATTCAATCTTTCTGTATATACACAATGTCGAAATAGCTGTCAAAGAAAAACTTCAAGCCTAATCTTGTCATCTCCTTTTTATAAGGCTCACTAGCAAGATTTAAAAACCTTGTAAAGGCCTATAAACTATTGTTCAGCTAATCTTAAAGCAGTTAACTTCGTTGAATCACGTTCGGTTTATTGACAGACAGTTCGCTCATCTCGAAAATCGGCGGCGAAGTCGGTAGACCATGACTTAATGAAAACAGGTGATTTTCGTCAACTCAAGCATACACCATAAAACCATGGTACGATGATAAATTGGACTTTCGTTTTGGGCACTTTTTCGAACTACATTTATTTGTACCTACGAATTCTATATTCTCGTAATACTTAAACATACAGAGGTTTTGTGCATAAAACATGTGAATTAAGCTTGTCTAAACATCTTGGAGGCTCATAAACCATTAACCTTTTCACCTACCCGTTCGCAAAAAATCGGCGTAGTTGGATACATGTTTGTATCCCATAAGACTATGTATATATTCATCTGTTAGCTACCTCTTCTGTTTACTTTATGGAAAAGTAGAAGAGCGATCGTCCATTACCCATTGGCCTATACTTCAATAAATCAGATATTATCGATCCACAATATGCGTTATTACCCCACAATAGCGCACCATTCACACGCTGATAACATCAAGCCATTCTGTCTATTGCCTATTCTTTGCCACAGCATCTAGCATACGATATATCGCGTAACAGACCCAATACAAAATGTTTTTGTAAGCACTAAAACACAATGTGGCGCGCGACTCTCTATTTGAAGGTTGTCGAAGGTCCTCGAGATTGAGTGTGTCTCATAACTTCATCAGTCATCGAATACACATGAAACATGATAGCCGACAATTGGCGTTGTATGTAAGTTAAGGCTCGGTCCACGCTAGAAACAAAGATTAAGAAAAAACGCCCACTTTCCAACCTTACAATAATTTTTATTACTCTACTCTGGGTAATGACATTAGAGTTATATACTATAGTGCACTGTAAAGTAGGGGTGTGCAAAGTTTTTTGACCAGGAGCTAAAAATTCTGCCCAACTGGACTGGAGGGCCATGTAAGTGTGACGTAACAAGTTACATTTTTTAACAATATTCACAGTGTTACAAAAGCAAAAGTGAAAACAATAAGCCTTGTGCCACAGCTAAATTTAATCATAATTTCAGCAAATTTTCTTGAGTTGTTATTTAGCAAAAGCATCAAAATTTGGTTTTAGTTCGGATGGGGCAGTATCAGCATCAGGCGGGCCAGATTGAATTACCCAACGGGCCGGATTTGAACCGCGGGACGTAATTTGCCCATGTCAACTGTGGAGTGATGTAACTTGGTCTAGCTTAAGCTAAGACAAATGAATGACCAATATAACCAGGTTCCAACGTATTAGTCTTTGTTATGAAACCAATGGCTAATCCTGTACATGATCTCGCTTTTTTGGGTCTACATTCCCAAAATCAATACAAATAAGTGAGAGGAAATTTAAGCAATATTTTAGCATATATTTTAGCAAAAAATATCTCATCTATTCATACATCCCACATGAAAAATTTTGAAAGCTGAAACTGAATTCCAAATATTATCAATGCACTCAAACATTTAACTAGCGTGTAATAAAACATCTTTTTGATCACGGTTTACGCTGTGTAGGACGGGAATGCTTATCTACACACAATACAAGAAACGTTCGTTTCAATTTACTGATAGATGATGTGAAAACCCATATGTTCATATTGATCCATACCAACAATGAGTTTTGAATATTTCCTCCACTCCCTGTTCTATAAGTGAAATACTGACAAACATTCCAATAGTTCTGACACAAGTTCTTAGGCATCCTGAACAATCGCAATAAATTAACAAAATGATATAATACTACGTTTTTTTTAGGATACATCAACAACTCGTTCTCGCGATATCACCTACGTATTTACCTTGCAACTTATCTTTCTACATCTAACATTTACTTATAATTGTTTGTAACATTTGTTGGATACCAGTAATTATGTGTTGTTTCATGTTCGCATAACATATACGACTTGTTCATCGACTAGTGTTCTTAAATGATAACCCTTGGCTTGGTCAGTGTTGGCAAATGAAACATAGAGGCACGTTATTGGTAATTCTTTATTTTATCGACAAGAATTATTGTGCAAATAAATGTATTAAAGCAAAATACTGCATTGAAATTATAAAGTACAATTCTCAGAATTCAATGCTGTTACAAAATTGTTGTCACACTTAGATTTACAGTATTTTCATTCATGCCATTCGTAATGCAGTCTTTCAAACAGTTTCATTTTCGTTTCACGCTTCTTTGTGATACCTTCTTAAAATGCATATATGTATACTTTCAAATATGCTCATTCTCAAACAGTTCATTTCATTCGCATACGTTCATTTCTTACAGCTCTACGTCTTAAAATTTAATCTCCATGTCAACACATACGTTCAGACAATATACCGCATATTCAACCGTCTGAAGTAATATACGGTAATTAAAATTATTTCACTTCGAAATTACTTGCAAATGCATTTAATAAAAATTGGATTTTGTGAGGATATAATCTATAATAAAGAATTAGTTTAAAAACACTCAATGTTTTGTAGGACGGTTTAATTTTTTCTTCATAGAAGAAATAACTTGTTATTTATTTAAATCAAATGAAAACGGGTGCTTATTAAAACATGTCGAACATAGTCGTGTTCAACCAGCATGAAACAGTATGATATGAAAAAAATGATAATGTCCAAAGTGATATTAGCTTCTTGCAGATATTTTTAATATTCGAGGCTAAGGCACATAATACATGAGTTATTATTACAGCAATTGGTATTTCTGTTTCCAAATAGATTGAACCGTCTCACATAGAACTATTCTGTAGCTTTGTATTCCACGCTTGAGCCTACTTCAGTAGAGACATTGTCGTTGTGTTCTCAAGAAGGGCACACGCATTTTCTACGCTCTTTTCGCCTTCCACATTTGGCTCCACCCAGTTTTGGTTTAATCAACCTCTCTCTTTTCCTCACTTGAAATGATTTAGTAGATGTTGCGACCTTTCGGTGATGTCTAGCAGATTTCGGTTCGCATCCTTGACAAGGAGACCACTCACTCCAATCACTAAGTTGACAATCAACGGCTGGATAACGCAAAAAATATGTAAATCGAAGTGGTAAATAAAAATTAAAAAAATGGCTAAAATGGTTGATTTTTCCAATAGTAAGATAACATTATAATATTAAACACGTATTGTACAGTACCCAGGCATGTGGACATTTCTTTCCAAAAGATTGACTTTTTTTATTCTTATATACGTTTTTTTTTATCTTTAGTGATATAGTCGTTAATTAAACAAACATGCATGTATTTTAGCAGCTGAAATAATAAGTGAAATAACGTACGGCATCTTGCATCCACAAAACATTCCTCTATTTCCACAACTTTGCAATCTTCTGAGTCGCAATTTTCTTTTATTACTGTTCTAGATTTTTCACCAAATCCACAGGTAACAGAACATGAAGACCAGTCCGTCACAACATCCTCATGTTTAGGTACTTCCATAAAATAAAGGTTTTTAAACGTTTAAAAATGTCTGAGTGAGCCTTAATATGACTTTCTTTGACAGTTAAATCTTTTGAATACTCCATCCATACAGTATAATTCATATTTTTTTAGAATCTACGTTGTAAATACTAACAAACATAACATTGTGTATCTTTGTCCTTCGCTTTTCTGGACCCTCAGATAGCCTGAAACACTTCATAGACGTAGATTTACAATTTATTACTGAATAATCTTCGAATTATTGCGACGCGACTTTAGGTAGATTCGTAAATATACACTACACAGTTCACATCTCACCTACTACTTCACAGCTCCCTGGTACAGTACATCTGTTTGTTTCCATTTCAAATCCATCACAAGTTTGAGAAATATCGAGAGATTTTTTGAGAAAGCGTTTGCGTAAAGTTTCTCCTGTAGAAGGAAAGATTGAAACAAAAAATGAATTGTAATAAATAAAGATAATTCTCTATTTTCAAATATTTCTTAAAAACCTTCAGATGTTGAATGATATTGGTCTAATATTAGTCTCCTACGTCACACCGGGTAATAAATTACTTAGCTCAGTAAAAAACATATATACTCTTTTTAAGTCTCAGTTTATATGATCTTAAATGATCTACAAATTTGTTTTCCGTATTATAATTTTTCTACAATGATTGAATCTTCCGTTATAATTATTACGACAAAAAGGTATCCGAAAGAAAGATAAAACACAATGTCAAAATATAGTAGTAGTTGTAGCTACCTCTTCCACACGTCACGGAACATGGCATCCATGCCGTCCACTCCCCGTAAATACAGCTTTTCTGTGTTGCATGTGGCAGTGAGTCTTCTTTTGGAATCATTACACTGCATGGTGGCATGTAACATTGTACTGTCTCCATATGGAGTTCTTCACAATTCGCCACAGTATTAGTTTCTGTGTTGAATAAATTAAAAAAATAAATTTAACGTTTGTTCAACACAATTTTGAATCAGATATATGATTGAATTAATGTGCAAAATATCCGAATTCTATTTCAGTCTAAATTAAAACTTTCTGTTTCATTTGACAACAAGATTGCTATGTTGTTCTGATAAATTACTTTTCAAGAATCTTTTCCGAAGAGTGTTTCCCACGTCACACGAGGCGGAACATGGCATCCATTCTGACCATTCTGAGTACTCGCAATGTTGTGTTCCAAAATTGTCCAACCTTTCAATTTCTGGGCATGACTCCGAAGTCATGCATTTGGTTCTTTCCATTTGAAATTCATCGCAGTGAATATCTAAGAAATATTGAAACACTCTGTTAAGTCGCAAAATCGAATTTTATAACATGCATTTGTATTGTAATAGCACAGTCTCTCAACAATAATACATTGAGTTTCTGTATTTTGCGCAAATCTGACCATTAACTATATGGAATAATTTTGAGAAAACGGTTTCAGTTTATATCAGTAGTTCACATCCTTTTTTTAAAACTTCTTCCCATCGCCTATTTCGGAACTCTTTATTCACCCTCGCTTTATTCACATCTTTAATGGTTCCTTTGCTAGTCGCTTGTTGCATTCCCTTTTTTGTACACTTTTAGTAGTTTATTATGTGTTCACAATACGTACTATAGCAATAATGAATAACTAAAGAATATTAATATTATCACACCGAATACAAAGCAAAATCCTTCCCCAAAAACATAAATAAAAATTCCCGGCTGGGGAACGTTGAAGTTTCAATCTAAAATGATCTGATTTTTTCACAAAAGTTCACGAGTACCGTATAGTTTGTTTAAATAAAACTTTTAATCGATATTAGAACAAATGAAATAATGTGACTATTTACCGAATTAAAAGTATATGTAGGAGTACAATCCAAAATTCCTTTAAATTACTTATATTTACAAGTTCGAAGTTTATTTACCTGGGGTAGAAAAATCTAACACTCGTTTTCTGAAAGTCTCTCCAACACCACATGTGACAGGACACGGCATCCAACCGGTCCACGGAGAGTATGAGCATCCGGAAGGCACATCAAACCCAACTAAGAAACCAAATTAAAATTTCATTCAACGCTTTTTAAATCCAATAAAATGATCTCACTATAACTTCTGTGATCTGATAAAACGGTTGAATAAACACGAAACATGCGATTCAGGAATATATTTTAACAAGCAACGCACCTGGTGCTGCGCAGTCAGTGGAGGCCATGCACTTACTGATTTCCATTACTGGGGATTCGCATTTTTCAGTAGATTGTATTGAAAATCTGTAAAGAAGTCAATAATTATCCCAAATTTGTTTTAAATTACTGAAAGGCATACAAAAAATATATATATTGTTCTCTTTCTAATTCTACAAAATATTGTACGAATTCACACTCACAACTCAAATATATACATGAAAAATTGTTGACAAAATGGTATACAAGTGACAATAATAAATATTTCAATGAAATATACTTCTTCCGCAATGTTTGTCCAATTCCACACTGAGTTGAGCATGGCATCCAGTCCGACCAAGTACCGTACTCACAAACATCTAACTCACATGGCTCAGTATTGCAATCAAATCTCATTTCTGCAAATTACAACAATGTGTATAATCGGCGTAGGGATAATGTTACATAAATTGTCAATTTTCCAACAGTAGCCAATTTGGTGTAGTTTTTTAGTTACATAACAACTAATTGTCTCGGCAATTTGGAAAATACCAAAAACTTACCTTTCAGGGGCTCGTGACAGTTCTTCGGTTCTGAAGGCCACTGGAGCTCCCTTGTTCGAAATCTCAATGCATCGGAGCCACAAGGAGCGGTACAGTCAGACCATTTAGTCCACTCTGAAATAAATCGAATACTAGAACCTACGACATGGCTAATTTAGATCTAGCAATGTGAAGTAAATGATATTATTTGGTCAAAACTATTGCCATGTTTGAGGCTTTTAATCAAATTAATCAATACCAAGCATCAATATCAAACTTAATTGCGATGATACCCCCCACCTGAATATAGACACACAGTTGAATCATCTTCATTATCACAAAACGCTGCTCCTTTGCAAATTTCTTTTTCAGTTATAGATGGTTTGCATGATGCAGATGGTAACAGTTTGTTTATTAAAGACTTCGTTCTCATCTAAAAATAATTCCATTGCAAATCGCAATCAGTTTTGTTTGCTGGTACTGATTTCGCTATTCGCAGTTGGGTTGGTTGCGTTATATTTAATAGTGAGTCTCATTGCGGAAATATACATATACAATCAGTTGAATATAACTATACCCGGTCCTATATCTTCAAATCAAATACAGGACCAGAATGAGATAATTTAAGGTCCTGTTGGAACTTGGATTTCGAGTGCACAGTGAAAAATTGTTTTAGAGCAATACCATGGTGTCATTTATTGCACCGCAAACATTCTAATGAAACATGAAACTAAGTATAGTGCCTTTATTTAAATTTTTTATGGAGATCTTCTTTGCCAATTCGAGACCATATACTCCTACATGGTTACACTTTTTTTTTGAATCTGAGAACAATTCAGCCATCGACACTTCAGATGACACGGAACAGAGCGGATTAATTCGATTATAATTATATTATGATCATACTTTAATTCCCCATCCACATGTAACTCCGCATTGACTCCATTCGGACCATTCACCGTACAAGCACGAAGTCAACGGAGGCTCAATTACTGATGGTGACGATAATATATCAATTCCGGTGGAACGCGGTGCAGAGTTCGATACCGGACTAGGCCCACATTGATCTCCCTGCAAAACGTTGGTTATATGATAAAAGATATATACCGTGGACTTCAATCAAAAATTTTAATAAAAAAAAAATCTTACGGATATGCTAATCCGCTCTAATACTACTCTTGCTACAGGTTCAATGGGTCGTCCTAAAGGATCGTAAAACGGAGATTCTGTGTCATCTGAACTTGTGAGAGCTCGGATCCGATCTTGAGGATTCGTAGGAGAGTTCGGTGACAGGTAGGATACTCCACTGTCAGTACCAGCATCCCATGGAGTTAAATCATAACTGAAATTAATATTTTATAGTTTAGGCGTATGCTTTTATTATGTTGGATACTTAAACATAGGTGGAAATGCGGTTTATGTAAAAATCATTGATAATTTTATGTAAAGCCGTACTTAGCAATAACGGATAAAGTAACCCCGATCTAGTTATTTCACAATGAATGTTTCCACTGTCCGTGAGCCCTAAAGAAATGAATGTAATAACATGAAATAATATATGCCGACAAGAATCCGCTTAACATTCGCCTTTAACCACTATTGGATTGATTTAAAAATCATGTCGGCGATTCCTGAGTTCTATTGTGGATTTAAATTGTGAGATTAAATACTAAATTGGAAACCTACGATTTTGTATTTATCCAGCCACATTGTGAAGTACACATGCTCTCTTTTGTGATACCAACGTTCCAGTCTGGACTTGGACCCAACATGGTCAGCAGAGACACCAAGTGACGACTAGCATCTACGTCAAACATCGCGGATGGTGGTTCACGTCTGGGAAGATGATTTAACGTTACTTTCAAAACTTTTTTACAAAAGCGATTGTCGGGGTAAACATAACTTACATATTCCTCGGTTGAAATGCCGGCCACTGAGCTCTCGTCTTTATAACTGAGATAACACTGTCACCTTGAGCTCTTATTTCATTTTCAACAGCATTCGGCCAACCCCATTCTGCTACTTTTTTGACTCCATCGGTAGCGTATTGACCATAATCCCAAATAGTGTACCGATCATTATGTGATGCTCCGATGACGTTGGACCAATGGGTTGAGTAACCTTCATATATATAATAAATTGTACAAATAAGTTATTAATAGCTGGTATATCAGACAGTGTTTCAATGTAACAACATCGTGAGGACGAAAGCGATTATATATGAAGGATATATTTCGATTTCTGATTAGACAAAGACAGATACTAAAATTAACCCATCAATGCATCATCACCTATTCAGTTATATAACATTGGTAAATTTGATTATTATTTCACAACCTATTTTTTCGGCAACCGGATTGTCTTTGAGTAAGTAAGTCATCATCGGTGAGCCTATTTTTGATGTTCGGCATCTGGCTGCAGCCCGATCACTCTCACCATAATAAAAATTTTGAGAGTGTGTGCGTACGTTCATAGGAGAGATTTCATAGTAAAAAGAGGGCTGAAATCATAATTATTAGAAGAAATACCCAGCAATGTATGGGCCAGTATGATAACTGATAAAACAGTGATGAACACTTGATCGTACCTGGATAATCCTTTGGATGAGTTTGAGGAGACCATAGACCATAGAAAGTCATTCTGTATTGGGCAGATCCACAGGAACAACAGATGTGAGCTACCCTTGCTGAACTTGAATCGATCGTCTCGCATAGCGTCTGGGTTAACTTGTCTTCGTTGCGGTACCAAATTTTACCTGCAAAAATATTATACGTAATAAAACAAACATTCTATCATTACGATGGATAATACTAAGTATGCTTGTTTAGTAGAGACGCAGATACTTTATTAACAAAAACCGTATACGACAATTTGAAATAAACGTCGTTGGATGGCAACGTTCAACATGAAACGTTGGGGTAGATCACGACACGTTTCGACAAGTTGTATGAATATATGTATGCTTTCAAATTAAATCATATCAATTGTTTACAAACCTTTCTGTATTATAACAGCTTTAAATTGTACGCATCCGAATCCAGGTGCAGGAGAATCCCAAACAAATTGAACAGATGCTTTCTTCCCCAACGTTGTTTGTGTCACAATATTACTGCAGGACGGATGCTTCTTCGTTGACGATGGGTTCAAAAGCTTCAGAGATACACTAGTAGTTTAGTTAGTATATAGGTATATTTTTTATAGTCTAACCTTCAATTTTGAATGGTATGCGGCCCGCCAAATGAGTTTTTAATTTAATTTAATCTGGTACGTGCTAGTAATACCGATCCCGTTGCGGTGCAAAGCCTATACCAATTTATTATCTAAGCATAATATGACCTTACAATGCCCCAACAGCTAGCTTGTGCGAAGCAAACAACGCATGTAATAGGATCAACAACCAAATTTTTTCTGCTTGCAACTACTAGAAAGCATATTATGTTAAGTAGCCTAAAGGTGCGCCCGCGGTTTCACCCAGCTATTTGTATTTGACCCTCTTTTTTCACTCTGGCTATGTCACAGGGCTAGCCAATTCATGTTATCATGATTACCTGACAAATTTTCGCTCATAACTGTAAGACGAGCTTGTAACAACAGAACTTATCACTCAACATACCTTGAAATTTCCTGCCGGCAAAGAGTAGTTGTTTGCATGTACTGCCGCCAATGCAAATCCTCGAAACGTTGCTGGGTGAGTGCTACTTATGGTAACTGAAAAAGGAGTTGCGACTTGTTATTGTTTAATCGCAAGGGGCGAGGAAGTTCATTTGCGAAGTTCTAAAATACCCTCAAAATATATTTATCTAGTCAAACGAACATCAGTGAATTCGATAATGACCCATGATTTATGGCTGATATTAGAGATCACAAACCTTTTTACCTATCGATCTTGATCGGTAAGTATGTTGATAGGTATTTGTCTGTTTGTTTGTCCGCGATATCTCACGAAAGCGAGGTTGAATCTGCTCCAAATTTTTGCATGTGCATTCATCATATCTCGGACCAGAAGCTTATTGATTTTGGATGAATTATGTCGTATAATTAGCGAGTTATTAATTAATTAGTGACGGGACACACGGTGTCACTATGGAGTGAGAGCGCATGAATCGATTGATAAGTCTTCGGTCTCTAACCGATATTCTCGTCTTTTCGTTTCGTCTTTTCGTTTCGTTGAATGTCTCCGCTGGCTAATTGCCGCCGTTTTTGTGTCGTACCTCCCCCGCAGTTTTGCTACGGTTCAACAACAATTTCAGAAAAACTAGGAATATTTTTTATCATAAATAATAAAGAAACAAAAGTTGCCAACTGGTTTTTGTTGTTTGATGACAGGCTTCAAATACTATAAGTCTCTGACTGGAAGGCCAAAGAGATCAGGTAACGAAAAAGATGAGCAACCGTTTTGAAAATCATGTTCACAGCCACGAAACCATTCAAAGCTATCCACGACCATCGTTTATTAATTAAGGTCTATATTGCGTTAAAAAAACAAATATGTTATACAAACCTAGAGTATTATGAAATTATTGCAAATTATACATTTCATCCCTTTACCTGTGTAACTTTTTTCGCTTTCATAGTATTCCGGCATCCCTTCGATTTTTACACTGAATCCATTGTCTCCGCTTCTTGGAAGGACAAAGTCGGGTCGAGTAGGTTCGGTGTTGAAATCGCAATTAGTAAAGTCAATCGGAAAAAATTCTTGAGAATGCGATGGTCGGAATGAAATCACAACACACATAATTTGCATCAGGAAGCAAAAGCTTTTCATCTGTGAATTCACACAGAATCGTCGCATGGCAAGACAGGCTTTTGGCGAGGTATTCATTTTGCATCTCATTCCAGAATCTTTCGAGTCACGTTGTTTTTGTGACATTCTATTCGTTTCAGACTCACTTTGGCATCGTTTTTAATATTATCATTGTTTTTACATGTTCATCAAAACCTCTAGAAAAACTAATTCCCCTAAAAATAAAAACAGAAGAATCAAAAATATGAAATTGTTTTTATACGATTACGTGAAATGAATTCTCATTGATCGGAACAATAGCTTATGTTTCAAATAGAATCACTAATAAAAATAGGATCTTTTGGGACCTCCGAATTCATCAAAAAACACAGTTTTGCAAAGTGCTCCAACACATCGTCTAACGCGATAGCACGCGACCCTAATTTTTGACATATTTAGATTCTAGACAACAGATTTCCGATTAAGATAAATTTTAATTACTCACAAACAGGATTTTCTTTTTATCATACTCACAGTAGATGGGAAGAGGGCCTGTTACTACCTAGATCTATCAGCTTGTCGCTAAATTTTTACTGATGAATCCAATAAAATCATTAAATTCTTCATACACAGTGGCGCTATAATTTCACAAATATTCATTTAAAATTACTAAACCTAGCAATAAAACGCTCTTTTGTTGAAACGAAAAATATTATCATGGAACAAATCAGACGACAAACAGTTGGTCGTTAGTACAGCGTGCCTAGACATAATACAAAGCAACCTATTTTCTGTTATTTGCCAATTGAGGTGGAATTTTCGTCTTTCTTATATCAATATTTACAATTTCATTTGGTTGAAATAGAGTGTCTTTGGCTGACTTTTAGCGGCCCAGCCTGATGTAAGCTTGAATAGATAATGATAAATTGACGTTTTAGCAGCGTTTTTTTGGCTGCCAAAGACGCAAAAATTGAGAATGAATATACTACAGTTTTTGCAAATAAGTATTAGTATGATAACGATAGACTATTACTTTTGAAGCATAGAAACTTGGTTTTTTGACAACTTGACAATCAGAGACAAAGTGAAGCGAAATAATACAGTCAAATCTTTTATAATGAATAGAAAAACCTTCACTGCGAACCGAATTGTTCATGATGTTGAAATGTCCTGTCTCTCTGTTTCCTCGCGTCTTCATATTATGACTTTGATTTATGGTAGATACAAACACAAGCTGATAGCTTCTCGCTACTGCTATGAAATTTAATATGTAACTATATATAAGGTTCTTCTCAATATTATTGAACTAACTTACTGTTTACCAACTAGTCCTCGTCTGCATGTTTGTTACAGTTGACCACCTTCCCACTTAACCCCTATATTTTGGTTTAAAATCGCATCTTTTCCTGAACTAGTCAAGTATAAAAGTATTTTTGAGGTTTCATTCATTGACGTTTTTTGCTCGACGAAGCATGTTTACCTCAGTCAGCGTATTTTACCTGATATAGACAACTGGTTTGAGTTGCGCAATATTTGGGCTTCAGTTAATCATTCATTCACTGTTCAGTCAACTGTAAAAGGTCCCACCTTGCTACGATGTAAAGAATTTGCGAAATATCCGAGGCGTCAGGAAATACATAAGATAATAACATACAAATAGATATTTGTTCGAGATGACTTAAAAACACTGGTCATCGAAGGAAACTTCTCTTTCATTTTTTTATAAAAAAAAAATGAAGATCCGAAGAGCATATAAATTATTATGTACAGAAAACAAATACAGCTATACTCAAAATTGATACATTTGCGCTCTCAAGGTCTCAACCTTAGCTATTAATTTCGACCATTGGGTGCTCATTAACATATTTCGTTAAATTCTCTCTGTCCTGCTGTGTTTTTGTTCGTCGGCATTCCTATCTCCAACGGCGCTATTTATGCCAAAATACTGCGAAACATAATGTATATCTCGAGAATAACCTGACTGTCTGGAATATTTCATTTTCTGCCAGACATCTGACATTATATTTCAGTTAAAATTGTACCAGCAAACTACACATGGGCGTAATACAAATCTTGCGTTATGTAGTATTAGGCTGCTATTTGAAAAAAAGGTTCTCAAATCAACATTTTAAAAATTGAGCATACGACTTCCATTCTTCTGTTGCTAGTCTAAATATTACACTTCTTACTATTATGTGGGTTTATCGCCACAGTCAGGCCCTTTGGTTCAAAAGATAATTTATTTTGGATCGACTTGTCTGAGTATTAGGTTTGATTTGTACAGATGACTTTAAGTATACTTCAACTAGATTTGTTACTGTGTTAAAAATTCTAAGTAGAATAGTAAATTGATAGATGTTTAGTGTCTTGAAGTGATACCGGTTCCACTTTGAAGATGTTGTTTTGGCAGCGGTTATTGGGTCAATGGAGGGTTGTCTTGCGGCAAACTGAATTTACTGAAATTTAGCCATGATCCATTTGTGGAATCAGTTCGATGATGTCTAGAAGCAATGATGTTGAAATTCGGGTACTGTTAGCATAAGTAATTGGTTTCATTGCGAACTTGACCATGTGTTTCTATACCTCTTTTGCTACACATTCTATGTGTAATTAGCTCTCTTCGTACATTTTAAAAGGCCTATATTCAAATCATAATTCTACCCTAACGGAACAATTTATAACGGATAATATACATGTACATTTATACTTATTTAGTGCAATTATTCCAACGTAAATGCATTCCTCATTGTCGTTATTTACTGTCCTGCTACTATAGACAAATGGGAACGTCACCCCCTAGCGCACCGCTATATACATTTAGATAAACCCCAATCATAAAACATATAGCCTTTGTTTCATGCCCAGTAAGATTCAAATAAACTTGCATTAAAACTTTTTTAATAACATTTCACAAACCTTTTATTTAATATGAAATGTAACTAAACTTTATTTCATGGCTAACCCAAAAAATTAGCGTAATACGTTCACTCTAAACATGGCTGTACCCAAACTAACTTAGATTCTTTGAACTGGTCGGAAGGAATCTCTCCAATCATCCAATTTAACAAAATTTAGCTGAGGTTTTAGACATGTTCCATGCAAAGTTCTCACTGGACAACATTTTCACTTAATTTAGGTATACCACATAATTGGCTTCCTTAGACTCTGCAATACTAGTACTCCAATTATTTTTCAAAGTTAGCTAACTTCCATCGAACGAATTTATATATATACACGATGCTTTATATAGAATAATTCCATTAAGAAAATTCACACATTTACTAATCTTAACTATACACGTGAATTTCCGGTTCTGTACTTACCATACTAGTGTTAAAATGAATAGTTCAGTGTTGATAGCAGCAATTAAAAAGATTTTGAGTCGCACAATTTTTACGCATACCTATTACTTATTAATTTGAATATTTTATCCCCTTATTAAAATGTTTACTTTAGTAAATATTGTGAGTAACGTCGATTTTGAATGGTCAAACGTGCTATACTCTTATTCCCTTTTATAAGCCAGTTCAATTTCAATACCGTTGATACTGTTTGAAGTAATTTAACACATATATAGTAATTTTGTACAGGGTATGCTTTGGTACAGGATATTGGACCAACTATATACCGTGAAAGATTTCTACCATTGTACGCTGTTAAAGATTGTTTTCAAATCGTTTCAAAGTTTTCCCGGAACGGGATCGAATCGCAGGAAAGTTTGTCATGCCACCATTTTTCGACTCGGAATTGATTTTTTCTCGAACACATTGGCATGTTGCTTCAATTGTCATCTTTCGCGGTCCTCTTTGACTCTTGCATCGTCGGATTGTGTGTACCTGAGAACGTGGTTCTCTAAAATTTGAAATGATAGAGAATTTATATCTGGAAGCGATATCACTCAATGAAGTGAGTTTGTAACTCTCACCTATAATGAGCTGCAGATTTAATCGTTCTCATATCATCCATCTGTGGTCCTGGCGAAACTTGCTCGATTAAACCCGACAGACTTGAAATAACCTGATACAAGAAAATTACAAGCTTATAAAGTATGTTTAAAATTGATGAACATGGTTGGATAAAATTGACTTGGTGTATTTGAATTAGTCTGATTCAACTTCATATTTTAAGCACAAATTTCTAAATATAAAAACAACACTGCTCATAACAACATTAGGATTCATCTGAATATATATACCGGTACATACGTTACCACTAATATATAATATCGATATGATACATACATTTTTAGCTTGCAATAAACTGTGATCAAGTTGATGGAGACTTTTTGTTAGAACATTTTCCAGATTTTCTAATACACTTTCATCTTGATTTCCAGGAGCACTACGAATTCTATCGAATCTGCGAAATGGTGTATCAGTTTAAACAAGTGTTACGGTCTTTATTCGGCGCTCCAGAAGTATGTGTACCGATAGGGAGGTAACTGATTTTCTTCGCCTAAGTTGTGTAAGAGGAAGCCTATGAGCAAGGGGTATATTCACTTGGCTAACACAGACAGTCTTGTAATAGAACTAAAACAAGGAAAATCAGAATAACATTATGATGTCCTAACCCTAACCTGGTAAATGCTACGGGAGTACCCTTTATTCAGCTTGTAATAATATTCAGAACAATACAAAGAAATTTCATACCCTAATTTTTGGCGTTCGTCAAAAGTTTTTGCTGCTAATTTATTAACTTCGTATAGATTTTTCTGAAATGAGTCAGAATTCCTATAGGGAGTTGCAGTGCGGCATCTCAGATATTCCCGATCATTCGGTTGATCACTGTGATAGAATTATACATTCGCTGTCAATTTTTTTCGAATATTTTCCGAATAGATATGCGAATTTCAATATTATGATGTTTTTTACAGTAAACATCAGTAGAAAAAATCCGACGTCAGTTGATTAATGCATTTTTCAGATATACGGTTTGATAAGAATAGTACAGATTTATTTACCTATATAGTTATATTACTGAATAAATTTGCAATAATGCACGACATTTGAATTGCTATGAAAGCGAGAATCAAAACCAAATGATAATTCTTGAGCTAATTAAAGAATAAAGGATATCGGAAGATAAAGAAATTTAAATTAAGTTACAAAAACATACATTTTTATTTGGTTAATATTTGTAGGCTAGACTCACTAGAGTAAACTATATTGTTCGGATATAATCAACATAAGATGGTATTATTTTGACTTCATTTTTATTCACAATTTGGTAACGGAATATGACGTAGCACAATTGAAAGATACTAGAGCGTAACTAAAACAAGTAAGTCATCAAACCCTCTGCAGCAATCATGAATTGTACGACACGAAAGATGACTCAGACGATTAACAATATTGTTGACATCGTTGGCGGACATACATCTGTACCCACAATGCATCGGCAATCTCAATTTCCGAACGTTCAGTCCACTCATGTTAACACTGTTTTCTGGAAGGTAATATTATGGTTAGCAGCTCACACAACAACGATATTGATCGACAACAAATTAATTCAATTTAAAACTGGAAGGTGAATTATTTGAAATTCATAAAAATTGTATGCAACTGTGCTTCGATTCGGAGAGGCGACACGATTTGTTCAAACAAGTTATGAGAATTTATAAAATTGTGTTTCCTATTTCTCTATTCATAGACGTCTCATTTAAAATTTACTTCTGCAAGCAGAATCTGCAAAGTCAATTATAGGCACATGTAGTATCTTATTATATGAACCAACATAAAATCTGTCTGGAGAATTTCCACATAGAAACGTTATAGAATTATTCATTGATTTATTATATCACCTATTGCAAATTATGTACAAATGTGAAAAATGTCGAGTCCCGTAAAGGATTTGTTAAAACTTTCAGGTCTTCTTATGGGAGAAGTCAAGAAATAGGGCGAATATAAAGTAATCCCTGTGTTGTAAACACAATACCTACTTCCGTAAGCTTTCTTTAGCTTTGCCAGTTTTTCAGGTGAAATGATAGGGCGGTGATTGGTTAGTATTCTGTTTCGATGTGATGGACAAATAGCATATCGAGAATTAGGATTGAAACGAATTGGGCTTCGCTTGGTAAAAAGCCTGAAAATAGAAGATCACTGTTTATTTATTTGGTATACTGCACATGAGTATGTCTTTTACAAGTGTTGTGCGTAATTCACTTCACAAAACTAAATGACACAAACCTTTCGCGGTGAGGGTATTTAGGTTGAATATCTTGTTGATGAACTTTCAGAGATATTGTGCTAGAAGTTTCAACATCGAACTCAGTTGTTTCACCTCGGATTTTTTCCAATCGTTTCCCAGAGGAACTTGATACACGGGTACGAGTGATCAATATAGCAAGCGCTGATTTGCACCGCTGTTTAAAAATATTATATATATAACAAGTCATACTTTGTATGAGGTACCTAATGTGCTTAGCCTGAAGGTAGAAAAAAGGTCAAAATACGATCCTAATATTCATATCACAAAAATTTCTATCTCCGTTTGACTATCGAAATGGTCATATGATAGCCTGAGCCCCTAGTGCACCGTTTTTTCCACGAGAGATTTTCAGGTGTGCCACAGAGCTTTTTGCAATTTTAGAAAATAAGCTATTCGTAATTCGTATTACAAACAGGCATGCATGCAACGAGCAAGCTTATGGGACTTGAGTGCGCATTATTTATTATAGGACTGATAAATAGTATTGCATTTGCCTTGTCGTTGTAGTAAGGGTCGTTGTCGTGTCATAATTGTATTGTTATGTCATAATGTATTTGTAAACAAGACGTCCACCTTTCACCATGTTGATTGGGCGATGAAACCTCGTTTCAATTGTTTCCCAAACGAGGCACAAACATTGCATTAACATTTGCAGAATAATTTCATTGAAGCTAACTTTATTTTATTACAGGTGTGCGGCAAAATATTTATTATTTGCTTAGTGAGCCGCGAGCAAAAAAAGTTTGAGAACCACTGCCCTAGTAAAATTATATATATATATGTATATATATATGCTGCATTGTGAAGGATCAGTCGTATCCCTTAAGAGAATTTACTTGAAGAAGTCAGTGAGTTTCCAAGTATTATAATATAGTACGAATATATATTTAAGTTATAAATAAACTTGCCTGCATTTTAAAATTTTCGTCTAATGTCTCCTGTCTCGAGCATTGCGCAGACGTAGTCCTCAGCGTATTCATATTTTGTGACTTGCCGACAGCGGATATCGCGTAATCCAAACGTTTTTCATCTGGTAGATCGTGAGATCCCTGAGGTTTCACCGAGTCATAAACGACTTGGCAGCCTTTGGATATCGCTTTCGGTTTTTTTGCTTGTCGTTTACATTGAATTCCAATATTGTGCAGTTCAGGGACTTGAATCGTAATGTCGTTCATTTGTTTTTCTGGCTCACTGGCCTGTGTGTGTCGAGATTTAAATTCGGGAACGTTTCTAGTTTGCGTATTCTTGGTGGCAATTCTTTGGTCGCTGAAAGTCAAAGTCGATGCAGATTTTGGTCTTTTTGACATAAGCAGAGATATTACATCTGGATGCAAAGGTTTTATTTCAGTTGGAACAGTTTTAACAGAATTGGATTTCAACGCGACTTTAGAAACCCTCGCCGTTTTCTTCTTCCTTCTATCATCTGAGGAAAGACTTTCTATGGAGCCGTTTCTTCTGCAAAAGCACAACAAGATATAGAATACACTAGTAAAGATAATAAGCTATAATTAGTACCCAAACATCACTAAAATTAGTAGGCTATGTGCCTCAGGTTCTTACATGTACATGTATATCGCAGTTGCCACTCACCAATATTCAAGCTCACACTTGCTGTGATTAGTTATTTAGGAGTTTTGCTGAAAATTAACACAAATTACCTATTTTTAGAAAACAAACTATAAGTGATATTCTAACAGAGAATTGAAGTATGTTTGTGTGAGGACCTCGGACTCTACACGTAAATAATTTTGAACCACTTCATTCTGAATCAACACAGCTTAGCAAAGTATAAGGCCCCAAATTGGATACGATATATATATTGGATATAACATTATCAGTAAACTTACCCATAAGTGGTATCAGAACAAAATAATTTGTTTTCATCAAACCGCACACTGTTTCCAGTTTTACACCTGTAATGTTTCTTGTTTTCATGAATCTGAAAAATGAAAATTAGCAATTTTGAAAAAATAAATAACGATATACTGTATATAATATATATACTTCAAATCGGGACGCCTCGAAAGACAACGACCCCTTAGCTGTGATTTTGTAACTTCACATTTTCCAATTTTACTACATAGGCCTACATTCCTACATTTAAAGCTGTATCGGCTGTCTTTATTGACCATATTGTTATCGAAATTTCATGCGCATATTCTGTCCAAATATCGGGTTCAGTTCGAGAAATAGGAAGGAATTGACGTTAACGATACCGGTACAAATAATTCGAATTTAGACTAATTAGTATTGGTTTTACATGCGATACGTCTGCCATCAATGGGAATCAGCGGGAAACGAACGCATTCGCCTTCAGTAAGTAGCCTAGCGCTGCGCTACACAGAAACAACAGTAACGAGAACATGTTTGTGTATTTTGCTGGAAAGACGGGACTTTTGGCTGACTTATCGGGACGGCGGGACAAAACGCTGAAAAGCGGGACGTATGGTAAGCCTATCTTTAGGTTACATCATACCACGGGCCATGGAATTGTTGTCGAGAAATACGCTGAAACAATCTCACGATTGTCCAGGAAAAACAACAATAAATACCTTTGGTGTTTCCGGTAGAGTTCTCTCAGATGGTGATCGAGAGCTATCTAGTAATGGATATCCACTACTGCAGTCTGAGTGTGATGATGAGCAAGGTGCGTCTGAGTCCTCGTCGATATAGTGGTCATTGTCAGCTTCCTCGTCTAACGATATACGCAACGAAATTGAATGTAAACTTTCAGGAGTACTGCAGTTATTAATACTTGAATTTGGTAGAGAATCTTCATCAGTATTTTTTCGCTTCGTTTGTTTTTCTGAAAATATGTTGATGGGTCCAATGATAATGACAGTAACAACCAGATAAAGCAACGATTAAATAAGTGTCAGCGTGTTGTCTCCTGACAAATGGGTATACGTATGGGGTACCTATGGCGTTTTAGCATAGCAACAGACAATTTTCTAGTACAAAAACTAGAAATACCTAATGGTAATGTTATGAAAAAAAGTTCGTTCGTCTTACCTTTGTCATCGCTAGCGTTATTGCTGGATCGACGAGTTATTCGATGCATGTTCAAATTGCTTATCTTGATAATGTCGGACATTATTCCTGGCTTGTAATACTAATTCTGCTTTCAACATCTATGATGTTTTATGAATAGATTCTTAACACCAAATACTTCTCGTGTAGGATGACATGTTTTAAAATAAATATAAATTTTTTACCTGTATTTCTCAACTAAGATATAAAACATACCAGTGTAAATGATTGCACTTATTCGCCTTCATCCATTGTCATAAATTTGGTTAACTGACTGGTTAATTTCAGCCTGACCGGTAATGACTATCTATTTAATTGTGAACGTAGTTTGATAATATACTGCTACGAGTTTTGGACCACTGGCAGATGATACACGAGCATCAGTCTCGTGTTCTGAGAAGAATGAAGTCGATCTCTGTACACATTGCTATACAATTAATGGACAACAATCGTTTTCTAAAGTTTGGTTGCCTGATCTGCGGATAGCAATCCCGTGGAACTAACGAGCTAATCGCATGTGCTAGCCTACGTAATCAAGTACCGCGTTGAAGCATACAAACAAAGCAGAGTTTCAATGGTCAATTAATTGATTGACGACCATAAGTAGGATATGGTTAAGTCAAGTATGCAGACGGTACATGATTTTGTCGGGATCCACTATTACGGACATTGATATTTAAGATGAGGTCATGTTGAAGATGCACGGGTTCTTGTTGTTCTAAGCGGCCACGTGCTTGGTCAATGTCACCTACGAAAAATTAAGTAGATATAGTAGGGTATTGACGCTTTCAAGTAATGCGGATACTTTCAAACCGCTATCTGTACTCAGCGATGGTTAAGAATCAGTTCTGTTGTGCATTGAGGAGTTATTGTAGGTGAATATAGTACCGTCAACCGCTTACATCACTCTATAATCTATATAGATCATCATCAACCCCCGGCAATACTAAAAAACACAAAGTTGCAAAGAAAAAATGATTATAAAATAAACGAGTAGACCAATTATAGTACAAGTGATGTATGAGTTTGGTGATATTTATAGAGTTTTTTATTATTTTGGTCGGGTACAATGTTAAATCACCATGTTTGCTACTTTTTTGATTGGATGGCAATGGGGTCACGCATTAGAAAAAATTCCTTTTTCCACCATTGAAGAAAAAATGATTATAAAATAAACGAATATGCTCATTGAGTAGACCAATCATAGTACAAGTAATGTATAAGTTTGGTGATCTTTATAGAGTTTTTTTTATTATTTCCGTCGGGTACAATGTTAAATCACCATATTTGCTACTTTTTTGATTGGATGGCAATGGGGTCACGCATTAGAAAAAAATACCTTTTTCCACCATTGAAGATGTTGGAAATGAAAAAATCCAACAGGTTTCAGTTCATAATATAATGTCTATGGCCGAACAAAACCGATTTCTCACTAACGACTGGAAAATTTACGCTCATGACAAGTTGTATTCCAGTAGATTATTTCATCATTATTGAACCAGGGGAGATGACAGACTAACGCGACTTAATCATATGGTGAACCACGGCCTCTCGTCTGGTTATTAGGACTTTGATGGTGGAGGAAGCATGCGGGGACGAGGAGTCGAGTAATTCCCTCCTCACGATTATCTCCCACGGGATTCAAACTCACGAAGGGTAATCAGACGTGCGGCGGCGCTTAGCACGATGCATCACACCGCCGAGCGACACACAAACAAAACAAGTTTCGGAATAATTTTGACTTTTCAAAATCAGCTATATCATTTGTTCTATAAATACATCGCATACTACCAGAGTGGTACAACGATCGTAATATTCAACATATGCCTATGCATACCAGCCATCATGAGTGCTACAAATTGCACAATTCAGTTCCGCCAGAAATAAAAGCTTTATTAGAGTTGTTAACACGATAGTTCGCCACATTGACAAAACTATAAAAATCGATAAAAGGATAATTTACTAGCATGCACACTTGCTATCAATAAAACATTGGGCGACTAAAGATAACTTCAATGCCGGAATCATCCATCAATTCCAGAATCTTGAACAACGGAGCTCACAAGATCAGACTGTATTTGAAAGAAATTAGCCTATTTTCTAACACCAACCACAGAACTAAATTAAAAATAATCTTTTAGTGAGACATATGATATAGACTTCAAATCTGAACCCACGGTTCCCAAACTAAAATAAAGTTTGAATAGATGGAGATATATTACAGAAAATTTCCACCAGCCAATCAGCATTGTTTTGGATATAAAAACTAAAAATAACATCACTTCGCAATTTAACTTATAAGCCATTATCATGAAGTTTGTCGTATTCATATAAAATTCGAATGTGTCATAAAATGCTGCTCCTGTCGCCTTGTGTAAACAAAATTGAATATTCCCATATTTTTACAATTGTTACATTCACATGCAGGAACATAATGAATTCATTAAATCAACTGTATTATAAAAATTCATTGTTACAAAAGAAAGAAATGATTTATTCATTTTAGTTCCACATGTTGCTTGATAATGTGATTCTGCACAAAAATGGACATTCTAAAAAAGCGGTATGGCGATTAAGAACTAATAAAAAACACAGGATTGATCAAGTTGGACACGATCTCTTTGATCACAAGCTCGGTTGATATTCTAAAACAAACTATTGTTTCTAATAATTCTGCACTAAAAGAAATGTAGTTTTATTTAATTGTGATTCAGTCTGAAATAATATGGAATTTAAGCGCTGACAAGACTACCGACCAAATAAATATATTTCAATACCAAAACAATTGCTATCGACACCAGCCTGTATACTGCATTTTGTATCAACAAGATCTTATGTGAGATCATTTCTTGGACTTACGTAAATCATGCTTTCCCTTCAAATACCAGAATTTTACAAATAAAGCTATCAACATTTTTAGACAACCACTAATACTAAATTTATTAAGCTAAATTAATTTATTGAATATTTCTACATGAAGCAGATAAATTCAGGAGAAATCAAAACATCTAATTTAGTCGATTATTACTATTTCATTACATTTTTCGGTAACATTTCATTTCCGAATTCTAAAAAACCCATGTTGTTCACTACCATTACCTAATTCTATGGCAAAATTTTAACAATAACATTTATGTTATATCTAGTTCATTCAGCTTTATTTGTATCGAGCAGAGACCACCATGTTGCAGTTCATCTACGCCTCATAATTCGCAAAAACAAAGCTATGACTGGATGAGTCTGAGACACCTCCATATTAACCACTCCTATTATCTAGTCTCTACACGGGCTCATTCGATACTGTATTCATTTTCCTCCTTATGTCGAAAGGTTGTTGATTATACAGGAACATCAGTTGTGTATTGTGCATTATCTGTATAATCTGCAGAAGTCTCTCAACAAGTAACTTACGTTTCTGCCTTCGCTGGAGCTGGAAGAATAAGAAAAACTCATTAGATGTGATGATATCTATTACAAGCATGTGTTAACAAGGTGACAATGAAAATCAATGTGGTATATCTTGCTATGAAAGTGGCCATGCTACCAAATAATCAAGCATTTGATGCTTCATAACTATCCTGGGTAAACGAACAGAACATAAGGTTCAAACTGTCCATATAGCACACGCATGGAATACTCGGCAATCTCTCAGTTGCATCTTTCTACAAAGTATTAACTACCATATATAAGACACTTTACTTTCTACCATGACAGCATATGCCCAACCTGTTAGTAAAACAGACACAAACTCTAAATGAAAATAATACTTTTATATAGTTTTACTTTTGTCATATCATACATACCTTGTGACTTCTGCTAAAAACTGTAAAATTTGTTCATGTGTTGCTGTGGCGAATGTGGCATCACTGGGCAAGTTTTTCAATGCTTTTTCTAACCAGGTTTTGAACCACTAAAATAAATAATAAAGGTAAATGAAAACCAGGACAACTAACTTACTGCAAACATTCGCTTTGGCTATCCATAACTGATGACAGTGATAGATGAAACCTTCAGCTTGTCTACTGGGAGGTAAAAATTTGAAAACTTGCAGATTTTGGGCACACAATGGCCTTGCACAGGGGCGGGCAAACTGTAGCCCATAGGAAATTGTTTGAGCAGCCCACGAAAGCCTCAAGCAAATACTTAGGAAAAAATACAATTCTGTAAAGTTAATTCATGTCGCCAAACTGCAATGCTTGGCAACGATTTTCAATCGATTATAAATGAATAAAAAGATTGAGAGTTTTATCCCTTTATTTGTAATATCTCTAACAATTTAGATATGGAAGTAAAAGAAAGACAATGGTTGACTCCTATGGAAATTGAGTGCATATAAAAGCGCGACCATCAGCTGACTTCTGTGCAAGCCGAAACAATTGCCCACACTAGTCTAGTGGCTGAAGAATTGGACTTAACTATGCTGGGATCACAGGTTAAAGATCTATGTTCAAACACTTATCCAGGTTCCAATAATATGGGTATGCAATGTCAAACCAGAGCGATTAATATATTAGCTCCTCCCACATCAGTTGCTGCATATACAAAACCTCAGAGTAAAAGACACGGAAAACATCATATAAATTTAGTTTGATTATGTGAAGATCGGAATGCGAGTCAAATTACAATTTTTAACATTTTTATACACAAATCTAATAAGGATAAGTTTTACTTCCAAGATCTATGATCATAGTGATTTCAGTAAGAGCGGTCTAACACTTGAGTTATTATCCTCAAGCATTGCAGATAAGAGATTTTATTATAGGCTCAGATCATCACCATGACCACAATGGGAAAGGTTATGAGCTGTTGAAGCTGGACAGAAATGACCTAAACTAATAGAAGATCCAAAGTCCAAATCCAATGAGTGTCTGCTTACCTAGATAGAGCCTTATACAGGGTGAAGAGATTTTTAGTAAGATTTACCTAGACCACAAAAAAGTGAAAACTACTTACTTCTCTATTTCTTTGCATGACAGCCCACCATAGTTCAGCAATATCAGGATATAAATATGATGGAAGACTAAACAAACTGGCATTGAGTGACCTTTGAACTATTTCTTCACCATACATTAACATGATAGGAACACCAGCATCCTGTGGTTCTCCCTGTTTAAATAATGTTTCAATCAAGTCACAATACATTGTTAATTTAATTGGCAGACATCAGACAATTCACGATGGACACCCCGAGAGTGAGACAAACAAATTTCGATAAAAACTTTGGCATATGCAAACTTTTTGTAATAGTCTGTTGAGGTTATTTAGCAAACTGAATCCTTTTATTTAGGTTTCTGTCAGAAATTTTGAAATTTAAATTCAAATTTCTAATAATCCAAAAGCTGATAATCTGACAGTGTCACACTGACACAGACTCCAAAGAAGGTTGCATACTCCAAGGCAGTAATCTTCAATCTTTTTTAAAATGCAGAACACTTTTTATATCAAAAATATTATGGAAAACACCAAATGCGTTTTTTAGTTTTTTTCAAATATCTATCCGCCGTACCAAAAGTATTTTTTATAACATGCGGTATGAGTTGTGATATTGTTGGTAAACTGGCAACTACTGGCAAATGTTAGTGATAAATTTTGATTTCAGTTAGGACTACATGAAAACTAAACGATATTCGCACAGATGATTTTCATTATCATGCAACAGACTTGTCTTAAAACCAAATGAGTGATCTTTGATTCTTAATTTGCATTATTTTATATCATAAAATGTGCCAATCAGAAAAAAGTTACACAACAATTTGACGTGGAACACCTGAAGGTCTTTCAGGGAACAGCATTGTTCCGTGGAATACCTGTTGGAAATCCCTGCTTAGATTTGTGTACACATGTTATTCCTGAGTCAGAATCATATTTTAATAACAAGAATTGGACATGAATTTTCTCCTACTTCACAGCCCCTTCGGAAGACAGTATATGTTTTTGAATACATACCGGTACGCCAACCCTTGATTCAATAACGTTCCTCAAAAATTTAGTCACGGATGTGTTGGCATCTCTATGATCCAATACTATAGCAGCAATGGCACATTGTAGCAGTGGAGGACAGACGATATGTGACAGAAACTTCAATGGACAACGTTCAACAAATCTAAAGAAAAACATATTTCTATAAATACCAAAATATAATTTCAACAAGAAAATAGAGATTGTCTTAATTTTTCTGTATGAATGCCATTGATAACCAGTAGTAGTACATCAATTTATCAAATGTACTTGATGTATAATATTTTGAATACTTCAATATATAGACACTATATATTATTGCTATCGGAAATAATTTCAATATACCTACTAATGTGAATAAAACCATGCAGAATATTATATAAAATAGGATAAACAAAATATGGTAAGATTGCTGAAAATGGCCATTGGCTAAATTTCATTAATAACAAAGCAATTCAGGTCCCTTAAAAAATTCCTTGCTGAAATGGAAAACAAAAACTTTCACCTGCTTGCAGGCCGCATTTACCTTGTGAACCAGGGTTCAGACTTCCCCCATAGTATAAGATAGCTCACCTGCAACATAGTCTAAACAAATCATCAACAGTATCAGGATGATTTTGTAAACCTTTCTCTTCATTCAATAAATCAAACGTTTTAGGACAAAAACCTTCCAACATTTCTAATAATATATTTGATGCAGACATATCACTTCCATATTCATCAACCTGCACAAGGTGAATTCTGTTATTAATGAGAACTCACAAATTGATAAAATGACATCAAAACTATTTAAATGTAAATTAACTAGGAGCTAACACAGTAGCGTGCCATCACACGGAATCAACTAGATTAACGATGGATTTTTGAACAACATTTGATGCCCGCACTCCAAAAAAGACTCTGCATAGGTAGTCAGTAAAAAAAACTACTATTTTTTGGAAAAACTGAAAGCTTTCTGGCTCAGCATTCCCTACTCAATTTATTACACTCTAGGCTTGCAACGAACTATGCATCCGCGATAAATTCGAAAACTATTGACATGAACTTGAAACAACAAAGTCAACAGTACCAATGAAGCGACTTGCTCGAAGAGAAATTCTCAAATCTGGTAGATTCAATAAAATAATTTTTAGGGGAACAACGGTAGAAAACTCAGACCGATGACAATTTATATTTGTTCATTTTTGGAAAAAATTTTCTTATGGACCCACAATTAGAACATAAAAACTTTCAAAGTAACATAGTAGGAAATAACAACTGCTGATATTGGACATTCGGCAGAAATGTAATACTTTAGATTCAATAACTGTAATGCCTTCTCAATGCGTCTCGATTTGTGTTACAGAAAAATAAATATGTCGTAGTTTGAAAATATGAGAACCTGGGGATAAAGGTGTAAAAAGTTGTGTAGACGAGTTAAAAACATGACCCCTGCTCAAATGAAAACATGCTGAACTACCTATACAGCCTGGAAACAATGGCAATCACTCACCAAAACACTTCCCAAGTACAAGAAACAACTGTGTGGTGAAGAATTGTAAGCTGTTGACAATGTGGTTGTTAAAGATGGAACTAAAGTACTAACAATAGCCATTTTAACACACCGAACAGCAAATCTTATACATCGACACCATCTTTCAACTATCCTGTTCTCCGCTTTGTGTTGTTCAAGAACGGACTGTAAAACCGGCCACATCTAGGAAAAGAATGGTCGTGATTAACAGACAAATACAAAGGAGACATCATATTAAAAGTATTAACGAATATGCTTTTACATTTATTTACTGAAAACTAAAAATTAAAAAAACAATCAAATCATGTTTTACTCCGATATTCGACATTTGGAAATATTGTTTTAAATTGCAAATAGTGAAATACTGAATTTTGTCCATTTTCTTGCCTTTTCTGCATCCCTATAAACAGCTTCAAGGGGTATCAATGAAAATTACATTCAGGATCGTGACTATTTTGTTGCGAGATAGAAGTGATACTGAAGAAGTGATATTGCCACTGTAAAACTTGAGCAACTTAATTTAAACCTAGTCAACTTAAACTTCCATTATCACCCATACCTCCTCTATTACTTGTTTGCATGGATGAACATATCCATTTGTTGCAGTGTCTTTTGTAGTAAAAGTGCGAAATATAACAGCAAGTCTGTCCAACCATGTCACTGGGTCAGTATGCGCTGGCTTATTACCTGTTATTACGAATAATAAAATAATTCAAATATTAATAGTGATGAACGGGATTTTTGATACTCAACTCAGAACACTGAAAAATGTGATTATTCAGTCATTATTCGCTGTTTGAATAAAATATCTCACCAAGGGTTTTCAACCATTATTTTTGCCATTCAACACCAGGCAAATTTTCAGAATAAGACTTGACCCTAGAATTTTTTTTGATGAAAATATAAAAAAGTATAGAAAATAATGAAAATATAAATTGGTGCTATCTTAGACAACCTCTGAAATCTATTATGCAAAAGAGTACATTGCAATCTAAACCACGTAGAAATCATCCACATAAGCAACAGCCACATTTGATTTGACGATGAAAAAAAACAAAAGTGTATTCCTGTAGTAAGGAACAATTGTGAATTTGTTACTTGCATAATTGTTCCGGGTAAAAAGCCATCGTCCATAAAATAATATGAGACAGTTATATAAAATCCTACATGAAAGACATCAAACCTGCATGTTGTTCGTTTGGCTGCTTTTGTGAGAGGTGACTCAATGCAACAACTTGAGATCTGCATAGTTCTGTCAATGCATCGTGAGCTTTGTCAACAGGAAGACAACTCAATACAGATGAAACTCCTGAGATTTACATTTAAAAGAACGCATTTATTGATAATCCCTCAACTTCAACAATTTAGTTCGTTCAAAACGAATCTAATATTCGTATACATTTAAAATCAGTAATATTAGATATAGTAAATATATGATTTTAAAAACAAATTCAATTATTATAAATTTGCATTGATTCCTGCAAATTCTTATGTTGAATAGGATTCAATTCAAACTATATTTGGAAAAATTATTACAAGATGTATTCGGAAAGTGCTCTTGCTACATCATTAATGCCTACTTCTTTCTGTTTATGTGCAATAAAGTCAGTGAAATCAAAATTTAAAAGTATTAGTCCAAATACAGAATATTTCTTGTAGTAAGTAAGTAACAGATAAGTAAGTAAGTAACAGATAATAGCTTAGATAATATGGTTGATATATTCTTAATATGGGAAGATAAAGTTGAAAATTGGATTATTTTGAAAAGAATGATAACTGCTAAGCAGAGATCTAAAACACTATTAAACTATTATTAAGAATTGGATTACCAATGAAAGATGTTTAAAACCGGTGATGTTACCTACACTTGACCTATCGTTCACAATCAAATTTTGTTATTTATTCAAACCTTCTCAAATTAAGGGATATTTTAAAATTAAGGGATATTTTACTATAGTTTAATTAAAATTCGACAATAATACTGACAGAACCTATAGATTTACAAAGCAAAAATGGTCAAAATCCAATGATTCCCAATTCCGAATAAATTCTGAAATAATATTTTTAAATATAGAATATACTCTTAATTGGGAGGTGTACAATAATAAACATACACAATACATTGCATATTTGTAGAGATATATTTTTGTGTAAAGTAAGAAAAAAGTTGTTTGAATTGTTTTTATACATTCATCAGCAGTTGAATAAATCTGATTTTAGTCAGAACGTCAGACTTCAATAGCACAGAATTATATTTTTAAAATGAAAATATTCAACATCATTTAATATTAAAATACGCTATTCGAAATTAGATTTATTTTGGACATTGCTGCATCGAAAGTATAATAATTTTTTTATGTTTTCAAAATAACAGCATTTTCAAATCTGTTAGAACCATATCGTTATGACAGGTTAAATATTATCAAGATAATGTTGGAAATATGTGTTAGAAATACGCTCGCAACAACACCTCTCAGTCTCAGTGGGTTCGCAGGTTCGAATTACAAGGGGCATAGTTATGTGCTAGAAAATTACTGGATTCCTCGCCGCCGTGGGGTGGTTTGCATCAACGCTGGTCGGTTTCAGCCCTCAACATAAAATTCATGCATATGAAACAAATAACTGGCTAACTAACCCCATACCCAACATGGACTGGTAAACGGACGAGAGGCCGTGGCAGGCCATATGACTAGGCTATCTTGACTATCCACTTTCCTCTCCCCCAGGATAAATATTTACCGGTACATCTTATCCTATCCTACGGATTCAATTTAGCAGCAAAAATTAATTTTATGATATATTCAGCATATGAATTCCCTAATAACTTAAGTAATGAATTGCGGCATATAGACTACTTGAAAATTCACAGCAACATTGAAACTAACAAAACTACAACAGCTCTATTCATTAGCAAATTATTAGATGAGATTCTACCTTTTAGTAATCCTAATGTAGCATCTGATGACACTTGCAAATCATCTGCAACCTAGAGAACATGCACACAACAAAGAAAAACAAAAAAGATTTAAAACATTGCCATGACCTGCAACATGATTTAATGGCATCCAATTTTTACACAGGGTGTGCTTTTAATTTTAGAAAAATAGTGAATGGAGGTCATCAGCCCTTTGAAAATGTCGAGTACAATCGGTAGAATTCTATTGCCGGCTATATTACAACTTATTTATAAATAATAACAGTAGAATATTAAAATAGCAAGAGTGAAATTCAACCCAATGTTTTGTTTCAACACTTCATATTGGTATTCATGTTCCATATCTTTTTTATTCTAATCTGTGTGTTATATTTATATAACATATATTTCAATGCTTTGCATATTTCTGTATACAATTAATATATATGTTGTTTATAAATTAAAATAGATTTGAAGCCTTGCTTGGAGTGAAACATCTCATTAGGTGATGGATAGTCTGATATTCTTAATTCAGAATCCCATAGAATCATTATGTCATTTTCAATAGAGATCATACTAACACTGCGAACAAGTCTTTGAGCTAGCAGAAAGAGAAAGCTTCAGCTGTTCGGCTTTGTGATTAAACGATTCAAACTGTTTAGGCCAGGGCTCATCAATAAATTAAAGGTGGGCATATGTTAATCAAGAAACTAAGCTATATATATAAAACTTGAAATCTCTACGGTGATGATATATACAAAAAATGCAATAAAAATGAACTAATGTATTGGCAATTACCATAACTAGGCATTCGAAATAATAATGATTGTTTGACAATTGCTATATACCTTGAATATGCAATACAATTGTTTGGTATTCAAAAATTTTGTTATAGAATTCAATTATAACCGATTGTAACTGTATATTGCATAGAAATAAAAAATTTATGTCATTTCACAAGCATTTTAATTTTTTTCACATTTATAGATTCCTAAATATTTTCGGATAGTGATCTCTATAACATCTACTTGCATATAAAAATTCAATTCTATCTAGCTATCTACAACACTCTACCGCATTATGATTATTAACCTTTAATAATTGATGAATTACGAAGCGCATACCTGAACTAACTGGATCAATGCAGTATAATGTTGAATCATTTGCGATTGACAAACTTCACATAAATATTGAACTGATGTTGCAGCAACAGATGAAAGTTCTTTGGTTTGTAATGCATTTGTCAAGTATTGTAATGTATGATCTATAAAATGGTGTTGTAGGTCATAAGATTAAATAGAGAAACCAATGGCTTAGCAATAGTGAATACAGTACTGAACTTGAATATGCCACCATCTAGGTTAGAGGATCTCTGATCCACAGGAAATATTGTGGTCCATAGGCCCTTACGCCGGGGGTGAGCAAGGTTTTTGGAGCAGGGGCCAGGAATTTTGCCCATCTAGACTGGTAGGACATGTAAGTGTGAGGTAAAAGTTACATTTTATGAACAATATTTACAGTGTTACAAAGGTGAAAAACAATAAGCCTTGTGCCGAAACTACGGTAGATTAAATCGCAATTTCTACAAATTCCCTGAGTTATTTTTAACTAAGACGTTAAAATTTAGTTATTGCTTGGTTGTGGTAGCATTAGGCGGGCCAGAATTACCCATCAAGCCGGTTTTGGCCCACGGGCTGTAGTTTGCCTATGTCTGCCTTACGCAGTCATTGGATGCTCATAAAAAGTTTTTTACGAAGTCTATGTGTGATACCCTATAAAAAGTTAATAACAGCACATAATTGCATTATAGTAGTTTCTGTTGTTTGAAACTGATTTTTGTTCCTCACTCAATTCTAATCTTAAATTATTTAACTAGAGTCACCAAAATAAGCCTCTGATTCAATCTGGATAGTACAGTCATTCATAATAGAAAATAACATTAAACATCATACTCAGTAAATCAGGATGTTTTTCGATCCAAGTTGAAAGTTCACCAACTAATTGAATACTTGTATGCCGAACTGCAATATGTGTGGATGGTGGAAGAGAAAATATTGCTTGTAATACTTGTGGTGTGACAGTGACCTCAGTTCTGAAAATAAAAGGAATAACTATTCTATGCTTTCACAAAAGTTTAAGGATAAATAAACTTATCTAGTTTCAATAAACTATGTCAAGTATTCTTGTCTACCTTCCTATTTTTTTGAACATTTCATATGAACTAGCCACAGAACACAAAAAAAGCAATCAAGTGTTTCCAGTGTCATTTTAGACTGCATAAAATCAAAAACTATTAGTCCAAGAAAACCATAACAGTATTATTCGACTTACGCTTTTACATTCTTCGCTATTGCCGTCATCATAAACAGAACAGATTCTGTGATATCCCACGTTACAACACCTTGTTTCGTACCATCGGGTGTTTGTATTTCTCCGCTTAACATTTTGAATAATCCGATAAAACATTCAGTTGGTCCAACCAAATATACAACATCCTTTACTAAATCAGCTGAATTATTTCTGAAATCTGCAAAATCATCTGCTGAATCCAGAATTGTGTCCTAAATGTAAGTTCATGAACCTAATAAATATTATTGATAGTTATATATCTGGATGTTTTCAAATATTAAATACAAATAAAATAGAAATTTCAATTTATACCAACTTTATAATTCAATATAAAACATGTCTGTGCAGATTGGTTTAATTTAGAATATTTCAAATACAATGAAACACTTGAATACATTGAAATATCAAACCCCTGAAAAGTTGACACAACACACAACACTGACTATACATGAAAAAGAAATCATGTATCATGGTGATTTCTAATAAGATAGGCGATCTTGGGATCTTCAAAGAGTTTCTTTTAATATTCGGAGAAATTCTAGTTAGGCAGAATGCCAGAATCTCAAGTTTTACATTCACTTACATGATCTGGTTCCATTTGACAATGTCTAACAAGTGCAAAAATTAATCCTTCGGCATATGAACTATATATTTCACGAACAACTTTATGATCTAATGCATACAAAGCTTCAGATAATCTATACCAGTAGTTGAACGTGATGTCTGCGACCTGAACAAAACAAAATGAATAAAAGCAATGCTAGTAATATAACATACAGTTGAATTCAAGCTCTACAAAGCTCCCGTAATGCGTGTACCAGGTTAGGGTTAGGCCATAATTTTATTCCGATTTTCCTTATTTTAAATACTATTACGACTTACGAGTTTGGCGACTGTCTGTATTAGCCAAGTGAATGTACCCCCTGTCCATAGGATTACGTAACTTGGTGTAAAGAAGGTGAACAAAATTAGTTACCTCCATATTAGTACACACATTTTGAAGCGCCGTGGTGGGTGACGTGTTGGGCATGGGGTTTGAAACAGGGTACTTCAACCTGCAGTGGCAAAATAGTCCAGGTACAATGTTCTAACCACCACTCACCCATCATAGATCACATACAAAACCCGTATGGTTAGTTGTAAATCGTAATTTTTTTTTATTTTTCGAATAGGGATTGATATATGGTCCTAACTTCTATATGACCTCCATAGAAGGTTATTGCATCGCATATACATAGCAAGTTATATTTTATGATCTACAAACCTCATATTGGCAATGTCCGACACACATCAATAGAATATCAAGAATTTCCAAATCTCCCAATCCTTCTCCAGGACTGTTGACCAAAATTTCTAATAATGATTCGGCAAGCTCAGTAAATATTCGACACAAATTTAAACATCTAAAAAAATGAAATATGGAGATAATAACATACAAATATAATTGAAAAGAATCATAGTGAAAGTAGCAATGGAAAGAGAATACTTGACAGGCAATGAGCATAAATGAAAAATTTATCTTAAAGTTGAAATGCTAGAGTTTTTATTATATAGAGAAAGCAAAATTAATTCAGAAATTACAAATACAAGATTGTTCAAGCAATATTAACCATGCATGAAGAATTTGGCTGTAGACAGTGGAGTTGTTAGAACTTATTAAAATAAGGATATGGATTTTGTCAGACAAGGAAAAATAAAAGTATGGCATCGGTATGGATGAATTATATTCCGCTACTGATTTAAGATAAGATTTCATATTTATCCAAGAGAGGAAAGTTGGTAAAACAACTCAATCATATGATTAAAATAAAACAACTGCTTCCGCTCAAGTAGGGGTTACATCAACACACCCTACGATGACAACAAGTCCAACAATCCTATCACACATAATTAACCTTGATTAACTTGTGCAGGTGTGGTGGTAATTACTGGAAAGCATGTTCCTACAGCTAAGCACAATGTGCCAACAGCCTATCATGATGGTATTGGTACCCCAAACAAATGTTAATTTTACGCCAAACCAGTATTCAGAGAAAAGGTTTATAACACTTCCGGATAAATTAAACCATACATTTTTATTTTATGCTACACTAGCAAATTGAAAACAGATGTATATAAGGTAATAGTTCAGGTGAGCTTGAACTGGTTGGCAGGCCATATTAGTTGTGTTGTAAAAGTTGATGAAATAGTTACAATTTGGTAATTGCAACTTGCAAGTCGGCCACAATTTCTATTATGATCAAATAAACAAAACAAGTAAGGCTTACTTATCTATATCTTCATTAGCATTCGCATCAATGTATGCTTGCTTAAGTCCAAGAGTTTTTGTAAATAATTGCTGAACTAAATCTTGATTTCTGCTAACATCCTCTGCAGCGTACAATGCAGAGCAAACACAGTCTGTTGCCGCCTCATGAAGTGATGAAGATGACGATAAAGTTCCCTGAATAAAAATTGAGATATTCTAATTAATTAATTACTGGCCATTAGAATTCATTCGAAAATTATCTATCTGTTCAATTGAATATATAATCAATAAAACTATTTTCCACCCAGAATTTCAAGCATTCCTAACTTTAAACATATTAAATATACATTGACTTATATGTGTTCATTGTTATTAAACATGACCAAATTTAGAATCTATATTTAATATTCCATGTAAAAGATCATATTAGAGTACTTAGGTCATGGCTTGGAAATAATTAATAATATCTAGATGAAATATTACAATGCATGCTTCCCCTGAACATTACCTATAGGCTATAAAATATTCAAAATCAAAGAGCCATCAAATACAATTTAAATTTAGTACTTACCAAAATCTGGAATGGTGCATCCAATATATTGGACCTTGCAGCATGATTGCCAGGGAACACACCAAGATAAAACCAACTTCCCAGACATTTGAATATTTTTGAAAGGATACGTTCATCTTGCACTCTCGCTGAAAAGATATATCTTTAAGCATGCTTTTTCTCTTAACAAGGCATAGCACATGAATCAATTGTATGGCAAAAACAAAAACAAAACTGGTTAAATCATGCTGACCCTTCCAAAACCAATGCATTAGCCATTGCCTTAACTGAAAAATTCAAAGTAAATAAAAATAATTTCCTCATTATTTAAAGCTTGAAATGATATAAAACTGAATCAAATTTAGGTGTGGCACTTACTCAAACACGCTTGGATGACTTCGAGAACCATTGGCGCCGAATTCTCCATATCTTCTATAATATCTGTTCGTCTATTTGCACCAAGACGTAAATGGCGACTGTTTACCTGCTCAAAATATGCGAATATTACAACAAATTCTTTGCCTCAGTCAAATATACTAGTAGTCTAGGACTAACTAACTAACATTGGCCGCATTTAGAAACTTGTGAATAAGGTTATGTCATGACATGTCCGAAATACAAATTTGAAATGCAATAAAATGTTTTATACAAATTATAAAGACACACAAATTAAATTAACTTTATTGGAATTTTATTTTTTATTTGCATTTTAATATAAGTCAGTAAAATTTAACAAGACTTACCTCTTCTGGTAAAACAGTGAGAATCTCAAGTAAATATGGCAACGCTTGAATATCTTTGCTGTATCTATAAAAGTTCATTGTCCGAATCAACATAAAGTTTCACTACACAATACAAAAATACAAAAAAAGATTTTCTTACTTCTCAATAAATGTTAACGCTGGCACTTTCCACTGTGGCATCTGCAGTGCTAAATCACAAACAGCTAATGCAAGCTGAAAATAAAAAAAATAAATGAATATGATACTAATGAACTGAACCAATTGCTTTTAAATTTACATCAGATTAAGATGGGCATATCATCCATAACACAATTATTACTATCACTTTCGTCTTTCAGTGTTATATTTTAAGCTTCACTCAATTTTCTTCATATTATGATTTTTTTGAAAAAACTTGAAACTAATCGGAAAGCTCATTATCAACAAATCTGTGTTTATGTGACAGTATTTCACCTGTAGCATGTTTATTGTCCACAGAATTGTGCTTAAATCTTTTACAAGTTCAAGTTCGGTCATTGAAAAACTGACTAAAAAACTGAAATTTTTAAAAACGTATAGCTGGTTAAAGCGTTAAGGATATATTTTAAAATCTGTATAGCGGATAAAACTTCAACCTGTGTCGTCAAAGCTGGAGAATATCCACATAATTGTTCTATATGTGTTAATAATGATTGCTTCAATCCTTCATGTGAATCAGGAGGTAGTTCACGAAAAGAATATAAAATCTGAAATGGTTGATAATTTTTTAGTTAATAAAGTTTCGTACAAGTTGCCTCTGTTAAAAGACGATCCACAAATTACTCTCTGATATCTTTAACAAGCCTTCAAAACAAAAACTACATTTGCAAATTGTCACCCAAAATGGTTGTAAAAAAACAAGGCACATAATGAAACTAGAGATCAGTGAAAGTTTGCATTAAATCGAAGGGAAATCCTAAAGGTTTATTATGCAGTGAAGAATAACTAAACATACTGAAGCATATACGCCAGATATTGAGCAATATATCGTTGCTGGTTTATACACTTAACCATGATGTGTAATTTTTCGCATGCCAAAAATATGTTTATTTTGCTATCATCTCATGCATATAAAGCAAATAGAACCACTTCTCAAAATCTCTATGTGGAAGCTTGGCATTGGGATGGAGATAGCTGATGAAAAACTCTTAGTTGGTTCATCTACCAATCAAGTCCATGTGAGCATGATAAAAACTTTTCCATGGCCGACCATTAAGTAATATATGAGAACGGACCAGACTATGAAATAAGGTACAAGCTTTAACTAATTTCATCGTATTATCCCATTTTTCAATCAGAAACAGCATATTTTAGCACAATTGATTCAACTTAAACTCAAATCAGTACAATTCAATATTCTGAAATTAATTTAGTAATATAGATGCAAAATACATACCTTTGTTCTCATTGTTTGTGCTGCAAAATATGTTGATTCAACATCTTGTTTTAGATGTAATAATTGATCTGCTGTCTCCCATGCAAACACCTAACATGGTTATGATATATAATTAATTACTTGTCAGGTAGTTAAGCACAATGGTTGGTTGACAGAAAATTGGTTTATTCATGGTGGCATCATAAAAAATGCCTCCAAAGAAATCCAGTCCCAAATGAATATGACAGTAATGGCCAAATAAACCACAACGCTATTCTCTTCACTGTGTCATCCAGGAGTCTCCTTTCCCATAGCATAAAATTGTAATAAATGGAATATCGAAATTAACAACATGAGAACCACAAAAATAAAGTTGCATAGTAATATTATAACTGAAAATTTTTACTAGTAAATAACATACCGATCTCTGAAACTCTCCAAGCCAAAATGAAGCTTTTTCTTTTTCTTGAACATTGGGATTTTGATACAAAGTATTTACTGCATTGAGAACAGACCTGGCATTTTGTGACAATGCATTATCAGCCATAGTAAAATGCCAGACTGGTGCCGATGATCGTAAACAAATCGTCCTCAGGTTTTCAGAGCTTGGACTATAGAACTAAGCAAAGTCTGACCCCTTGGAATACTATAAATCGGTAAACTTATAGCCAGAATACAGTGCTGGTCATAATATAATAATAAAAGCTGCAAATAGTATTATCATTCATGTTAATTTCATATGAAACAATCGAAAAATAACGCTATCAGCTATCAGGTTACCATCTCTTATCAATATACTTAAAACAAATTTAAATTAAAGAATCATCTTGGATCAATTTGAAAACATTACTTGACTTAGTTAGATAACTTTTGTCCAATTTTTGTTTTTGCTCCAAACATCATGTAATTCTAATGAGCAGAAAGCAACATGCAAAATGACAGCCTTTATTAAAGTAAAAATATAGATTTAGAGAAAACAAACTACCAATGCAGATTACAGATTTTATGTAATTTGCTCAAAGCAAGGCCATGTGCAGACACAGCCGACCTGCACGAGCAAGATATAGAGAAATTTATACTTGTGAATAATGAGTAATCTCTTCTTCCAATTCATAATTGACACAATAATTTGTTACAAATACTGCTGTACTGAAATTAAACAGGATAAATTGTGCAATGCGGTACCGTACATTGAACTCACTTTTATTGGAGTATTACAGTATTAATTTAGGTAATGATTTATTTCTGTATTTATGCTTTCGACATAAGTTGGCTTGATATCAATTGTTATTTTTCACAAAGTTCAACTTTGAGTATTTTTGTTCCAGTGTTTCACAAATTTTAAATATATTCAGATGCTATTGGTCAGTTACCTGTCTTTTTTATTGGTCATAATTCCAATTTTCTTTATTTTTCAAAGTACCTACCGGTACCTACCAGTAACAATTTATGGGTCTGGTATAGTTTAGTACCACATGTACTTCCAGTTGGGCTGGTTCAAAAATTTTTGCATATGTCAATCCTAACCCCCACCTGACTACGTCACCAAAAAATGACGTCACTACAAAGTCCCAGTAAGTAGCGAAATAAAGCCCTCCAAAGTGTACGAACGGTCGTCCACTCGATCACTCGAAATCGAGCAACCTATTTCTCTCGTTTTCTCGTCGCAACGATATCGATATGAGAGGGATCGCAGGAGTTAGCGAGTTCGTTATTGGCGCGCAAATACCGTTTCGGGAGAACGTAGCTATACCTTGGCAAGCTCTATGTGTGATTGTGACGTCGTAGTGACGTAACCGGTAACTTTTGGATGACATAGTCAGGTCTCAGGTGAGGGTTAGAATTGACATATGCAAAAATTGTTGAGCCAGCCCAACTGGAAGTACATGTGGTACTAAACTATACTAGATCCCAATTTATTATTTTCAAATACAACTATTAGACTCAAGTGCAATCATTGGATATTCACTTAGGCCAGTGTTTCCCAACCCGAGACTGCGGTGTCAAATGAGTCCGCGAGGCGTTTGAATGAGTCTGCAACGAGCCAGCAATTCACTGCAGGCCACAAACGTTTTTGCAAAAGTTAACTATCAGCCAAGTTACGATTTACTTTAAAATTCACATAAAACATAGAAAGCGAGTTTATTCACATAACATTGATCAAGTCAATTATTACTAGTTACTGAGTACTGGATTATGGCTGGGCATATATTCGAGTATTCAACTATTACAATAGCAATTCACTATTCGAAAATTTGGTACCAAGTGACGCGACTGGTCAAAGCGATTGGATTTCACAACTCACTAACGAATTTCCGAAGAAAACACGACCACACGCGTGGTGTTTCTCGCGAGTTCGAACAACAAGGAATAATTTTTTTTTAGTAAGTGTCAAAGGGGGCAACCCAAATTCTCCAAATTGAAAAGCGGCAATACAAAATACTAAAAATAAAACGGAGAACACCACAACTTTATTGGCTATTCACACAGAGTAGCTACGGTTGCAATAAACGCACCTTGAGTCCGCAAAGGTTTTCGCCAGTAAGAAATTAGTCCGCGACCAAAAAAGGTTGGGAAACGCTGACTTAGGCTAATCACTGTGACTGATATTTTTATTTTCTGTCTTTTTTATTGGCAATAAATCCCATTTTTTTTTTTTCAAAGTGCCAAGAGCATATGTCAATCAATCAATCATTTATTTTGGTTCTCTGACATGAACAATACAAAAAGTAAACAGATAAAACAAAATGCAAAGACACCTGGGAGACGGGCATAACTTAAAAAAATTAAAAGCGTACCGTACAATGTACGTGCCCGCCCACCAAAAAAAAATAAAACAAACACAGAAAAACGCGATTTACAATCGGGCAGTAGGCTACTTTGAAAGCAATTTGACAAAAACAGCAAATTGAAGTAAATAATTGAATGCAATAGACTTCTACCTTTTAAATTAAAATGTGAGACGTGTATGTGTAACACAACAGTGCTTTTCAATGTGGTGATCAAGCCTGTGCGCCTCCTTATAATGCTGAAGCAAGTCGGCTTTCGTCTTTCCTGGATAAATACCGGTAGACTACTGGACTACAGTAAGGGTACCGGTAGTTCTGAAATAGGTACCGGTACCGTGTCCGTATGTAAATCCAGTACCGTACCGATAATGTAGTGCAGCAGTATGTCAAACCATTCTGCCATAAGACTGTTAGAGCATCATAAGACAAATATTATCTAATATCCAATACCGGAAAATCTTCCGATTTACCCAAAGTTTGTCACCATCAGGTCATTGGCCATAGGCAACGGCCGACTTGTTAATGTTACACACAAACACGTTCATGGACGCCATCTTGTGCCATATTCGAGAAACGCGAAACAATGGAGTCTTATGGGAAATTTTCGTCCTGTTGTTGGACCGAATCGAATAAGTCAGCTGTTATAGGGGGCTAGAATGAAGCCGAAGGGTGGATTTTGATCTTTAAGCCATATGCTATCTAAATATATAACGCAATTGAAAATGAAAAAAATTATCTAATGCGTTAAATTTGACCACAAACACAACGTAGAACCATTTTTTCGAAGATTTCATAGTGATACGCCAATTTGACGCTGTAACATGTCTCCGCAACAATCCTACCATGGCATTTGTTCCTCCAGCACAGCTTGGAGCTGAGCAGTAGGGCATTATGGAGCTTGGCAGACGAAAAATGTTAATCCGAAAATAGAAACGGCCCCTGAAACGAAGTTGAGCCGGCTGGTAATTTCGACGAATAAATACAACTTCTAATCTGTGACATCATAAAGAACGCCATTGTCAAATGGTTAATTATGACGAGTAGAATGGCCAACTTACTTCGGAAGCCACTCGGTCCCGAAACCGGTATACTTGTCTTCAAAGGCAATTTAATGTACTTAAAATGTAATTTAGCAAACATGAAAATATATCATCCTGTTCGGCTAAGATTCTTCTTCAAAATGCGACCTTCAAAATTGTATACCTAAATTATTAGTGAAAATAATAGGTATGTTTCAATAATTGTGTGTGGACTTCTCATAAGGCGCCATGTTAGATGGCCGAGAACAATAGGCACAAGATGGCGTTTATTGTCTGAACGTTGCCTCGTTGTATTATTGGACACGTTTAGTGGCCATAACGATCGTTTCAATATTATGTTGTTGTTGTTCTTGTTCTTTGACACGTTTTTAAAAAACCGCTTTTCTCTTCGAATACTGGACCAATTGCTTTGAAATTTTCAGTGGTTAAAGATTAATTTCTTCGCTAGAAGGCTATTACTTTTATTTATTTCAAAATTTTGCGTGAATTCTATGAAATTTGATATTTCGTCTAAAATTTTGCTGTATTATTTTTTATCCATGGGAACACGGATTTTAGTCAGTGTCATGACTGGCTGTACGTTTTGATTCTGCAAAATTCTTGCTACTGGAAATTCAGAACTTTTTTGAGGGTACCGGTAGCGTCAAAGGTACCGGTAAAGACTGATTCGCTCTGGTCTAACGTGTCCATATATTTGTGCGTAGCTCTCTTGTTTGTATTATATATTCACTTTGGCCCAACGACTAACATACCGGGGAAACGACATTGGATATGCAGATTGTATGATTATATCCAACATTAAGCCGTGAAGCTCCTTAATTGAATGAAATTATATTTCTTTTAACTTCGATGTTTATGTGAAATAAATAGGCTACGACATCGGTGAAAAAGTATATTTTTTAATCACCACATAGCAAACACATCACATATCAAATAGAAGATAGATTCAAAAGGTCATTTATTAATCTTTTTCGCTAATCACTCATAGTCACAACATATTTAAATTCATCGATTTACGAATATTTATGAAGTTTATGTTCAGCTTTCTCAGCTCAGGAAGGAGGTTATTCTGGTGAGCTTTAATTGTTTGACCACACGGCTGGCTCTTTTTGAAATTTAGGCACATGTTCGCTTCCGTCTTCATGCATCAAAACCCCAGCTGCGTGAACCTTTTCTCCGAGTTTTTCCTCGTCGATTTAATAAAAACGATTGAGAAGTCTTCATTGAGATTGAAGCAGGCGACAATGTGAAAGCATCTAGTGGTTTCTTTCGAACACAGCCTTCAGGCAATGGAATATCCGGTAAAATATTGCAGATAGAGTTGTATATCGAAACATATTTATGCTGTATAAGGCGAAAACTGCATACCGCTTAAGGATGAAGAAAAGTTGATATCGCCGTGTAAATTAATTGCACATATTCCCGGGTGCACACCCTTAACAACAGAAATCGTATTCTTGACACTGTTTTTCTGAAACGTTTCAACGTCAAATCTAATTCCAAGATAAGTAGAAAGTCTATGATGAGATGAGGGATGGTGCACAATGATATTTCATGTACATAGACTCTCCCGCGCTTGTTTTGTTGATAAATCCTCAAGTGGAAAATATTTTTACGGGTAAGCGCAATATCAAATTGATGTTTACAACTGACAATGGTTGCTTCATTATGTTTGGACAAATTATTGAACCGTATCAGAAAATCCAATCAATCGAGGATCGAATCGGATCGTTGTTACGACGGTCATTCGTTCATCGTTGAAAGAAAAACAAACGCCTCGAGACGTCCAAGTATGCTTTCTGGTCATGGCGATATTAAATTAAATAATATTACGTATATTAACAAAAACATATTGTCGTTCCACAAAATGTAAGCGAGGTCTTGCCTATGTCCCTCGGACTAGGTTTTCAAGAACTTATGTCACACCATATTGTCTTCAGTTAATGTTGCCGTATATATATATACACTGTTTTCATTCATCAAGTCGCCTTAGATGTTGGTACTATCGTTATCACATCGATACGAACAAATTAATAGAACGATATTCCTCCTCAATGGCGTGGTCTTATTATTACTCAAATAAATAAAACCCTGTAAATCGTAAACAATATTGTTCTTTCAAGAAAATTTCTTATGAGGTGTGATACTATTCTTCCCACATAACAAATTCCTATGTTCATATAACTCGGAAACATTGCGTTGCTCCAATAACATAGTACTTACTTGTTGATGATAGAGATATCAGCAGTGAAATTCTACTTATAATTCTCAAATTTTGTGTGATGTCACAAACAAGGCAAAAACTTCGGGAGGGGTCGCGAATAACTTTCACTGTGACACAGAGGCAATTCGGAGATGGCGAAAGAGAAAGAGTTTTAGTATTCAGCAAGAAATGCAACATGAAGTATTTTCTGATGCGCACCTCGCTAAAACAGAATTCCGGACTTTAATGGAAATGAGTCGCATGATAGGAGGGGTGTAATGTCCCAAGTAGAATCCGAACTAGTGAATTAGTGGAAGTCAAGAAATAGCACTCATTCTATTAAACTGTACAAACTACATAAAATAAATGAATGCTTTATGTAATGCGTTGCTATTCGATTATTATATGAACCACATGTCATTAGAAAAACAAAATTGTGAGGCGACCGCTATTTATATAAATATTTAAAAAATTGAGACCACTGCTCTTGAAAGAACAAGCATTTTTTTCGCGAGGCAGAATCTCACAGACGGATGTTTCTCCGAGCATCTTTTTTATTCATTTCCATAACGTTGCCTAACAAGAAGGAAGTCAACGGTAATGGCATAATTGAAATTTTAACATCTCCTCGACACTTTTTTACATTCAGACAGATTTCCAGGTATAGTTGTAAGCATTAAACAGTTAACAAACTAATTGTACACCTGTGATTAAATCTAGATTTCCATACATAACTTATTATAAGCAAGACCCGAAACCAAGTGGAAAACATTCACCCATGGTAGACGCCATTGTGAGGTAACAATATAAACTACGCAACTTGCCGGACTCGAATTCTGCTTTCCTAAATTTCTGGTTTCACATGCGCAATTAGCTAATTCCGACAAGATTCATATATTATATTTTCATAGATTTCATCAGCGCGCACATTAATCAAATTTTATGATTGTGGTAGGCCTATATTTTCGCTGTTCCTTTAAAAGAAAATGACTATAAAAATGCTAATTTGGAATAGAATTACTACTTGTAATGACTATAAATTATTTGAGGTCGAACCTCCTCTTTTAAATTGTTGAAAGACCGCAGAAGTTTCTAATAACGCGTACGATTTTTACAGGGTTAATTTTATCAAAATAGGAGATTGTTCTCGTCAGCCTGACGTCTCGTTTCAGGCTTTGGTAAATTTTATTTTCGAAAATTCGCCCTTTCCCTGTACGTCTTTCGCCACGAGGACGTTCATAATCAGCTTTCTTTGCACAAGCTCGGTATTATGCGAACATCGGCAACTAGACGCTAACGATAATAAAGGAGTGAATCTGCTAAATGTAACCGTCCAGTTTACCACGCATATGTCCACAGATTGCCGTGGTATTTGAACTAGAATAATGCTTCGATTGTGTCTAAAGTCGACGCATCACGAGTTACGTTGAACACAATTAGCACAGCAACCCATTTTGAAGGCACGTATCGACCACGAATTAAATGCTTTAACAGAAAATCAATATCCGCTGAAAAAGTTAGCTCTTTTAACGAGTAGCGTAATAATCACAGCGACTTTTTAGGAGCAGTTAAATGGGGATTTCCGATTCTTTGTCCAGGGCGCTAATGCGTGGTCACCCCAGGCGCGGGGTGAAAAAGGCGAACAAACTCAGGCGTTTGTATTTCTGTAACGATTCGTCTGATTGATTCGTCAGACTTCCACGCTGTGTATCAGTGTGCAGGAAGACTTTCGGATTAAATAGAATAGTGAAATTAATTCTTGCTATGTATATGTATCCCCTTGCGCGAAAAGCATAAAACATAGAAAATAGCTAGTCTGCTAGTCTCTCGTAACAGTCGTAACCCAACTATAATTCCGTTTTTATACTTGGGAAATAAACACAGCAAGACAACGTTTTGTCGATGGATAACAATTCACAGTTCGGGCGATAATTTAGAGGAATTTACATTCAGATGCAGTAAAAATAACATCAACATTTGGAAAACATTGCACACCAAACGTCAGCATGGCTGATATTGATATTGTCAGGATATTTCAGTCAATACAACAAGAACAAGTCAAATTCAGTATGTACCATTTTTAAAAATATTATATTCTGATTACGTAACTTTATAATTTCAAGCATTTAAACGTTGACAATACTGTTACTATTAAGCACTACATAGCTGAATGAAAACAATGTTAAAATTATATTTTAAAAATAATAATAAAAGTACACTACAATCATGAGTTGCCCACTTATTATTAAGTTATTTTAGAATGCTGGTAATGGTAATAGCACTACATTGGCACTGTATTCAGTTTGGTACAGCCAAATTAAGCCAAAGTATAAATAACAATCATAACTGCCCTCTGAAAACAAAAGTAGAAGATGGCTAAATGCACATAAGGTGAAATGAGAAATTAACTGCATTACAAGTAAACAGTAGTAGTTAATTTCAGCAATCACAAATTTGTCACCTTGCTTTGAAAATCATATGTCTTTGAAACACTCAACTAATAACAATAGAGATTGTGGCTATGCCTTAACTATAACAAAGACGTAAAGCACATGACATCACTTATAAAATTTCTCAAAATTATTGACAAACATACAACTGTATTTATATCTCCAGTCGATGATAAAAATCAGTATACATCTTTAAAACAGGGAGTGCTATAACATGGCGACTCGAAAGGAAATCTTCTGTTAGTAAGAAATAATAAAAAAACTTGAAGCTCAAAAGTTACTCTATATTTGACAAATAAATGTTAGCGTGGCATAACAAACGAATGTCAAAATAAAAATAAGTACTTCTTAAATAATTTGAATTCTCCTATACAAAAGACAATTTCAGGCTTGATTACTTGTTTTTGAGGTAATTATAGACAAAACTAATTCATCATTAATCTCCAGAGCTTGATAGACAACATTGCACAGGAATTCTAAATCAGTCAATCGATCACTTGGACTAACAAGATATTACTGTGAGAAACATTCTATTTTGGCACATTCGTTAAATTAAATGTTTGTCCTTTGAAGCAACGCTTTTCAACCTCTGAAATAGTAGTTTTTACATTAAGTTTACCATCTCCAGTTAAAGAATACGCGAAGTATAAAATACGCAAACTAGTTTTGTTTGATAAAGTGAAAAACAATGTCAACATTTGAGCAAAAATTGTCTAGTATAGACAATATAAGTGACTTAATTCTTCAACGGTGGTATGGTAGAGAACGGTATGTATTTTCGATTGAAGACTAGAATGTTTTGATAAAACCATTTAACTAGTTTATGTAGTAAATACCAAAAACTAATCAACCAAAACAATGGAGTGGGTGACTTTCCAACTCTGTATCTGAAATCGATTCTACACATGCTCTAATACGTTTAAGTGCATAAGGTTCCAGAGATTGAAAAGCCCCGCTCCGGTTCAAAAAGTATTTAAAAAACTTGCTGTGCACTGCATAGACTTGTTGTATAACACAATACTCAAAATGAGAAAATCATTATAGTTAAACAGCATATCTGAATGACAAAATACAATTCACATAAAATTTAAAATGTTGATATGGTAGACAAATTAATCAAAATATTTTTTTAAGAATAGTTTGCAATCTAAAATTGGATATTAAGAATAATTATAAATAAAAAGAGAAACATGCAGACGACAATACTTCTTTGTAATCTCCCTACATGGTGATTGGCATTAGTGAGAATAGTGCACATTTTATAATCATGTCCATGATAGTGCTCTGAAATACATCATGGCATGCAACGAGTTTTGAATGAAGAAGGTGATCTTTATAACACTAAACAGGGCTTGTGTTTTGGCTTCTTCTTTTTACTTATTGCTAATTGAGTAGCAGTTTCAAATATTTTTCTCACACCCTCCTTTGTTTTGGCTGAACATTCAAGGTAACCTTGTGCTCCTATTCTTGCCGACACAGATAGAGCATAGTCCGCACTTACAGGTTCTTGTTTGAGGCTTTTTAATTCTTTCATCGTATGTGGGTCATTCCTATAAATACAATACAATGATGTACAAACATGAACATTCGAAGATGGAATCTGATTTGCAATTTGATCCAGCTTGTGATTTGATCGAGATTTAAACTTGTCAAAACCATGTACTTGTATATGTTATGCTTTTTAAAAATTCATCATTTAACATCAATCAAGTGTAAGTTGGAATTGTTCTCTCTAGTGTATTCAATTACCTACCTCAAATCCTTTTTGTTTCCAACTAAAAGTATTGGCACATTGGGACAAAAATGCTTTACTTCAGGAACCCATTTTTCTGGAATATTTTCTAATGAATCTGGGGAATCGATAGAAAAACACATCAAAATTACATCTGTATCAGGGTAGGACAGAGGTCGCAATCTGTCGTAATCTTCTTGACCAGCTGTATCCCATAGTGCGAGTTCAACCTGGGACGCAAAAAATATTATCAACTGTCTGAATCATTTTTATAATAGGTCATATTAGGTATTGTAAAAAGATCCAAATAAAGTAGATTGATTGAGATACACTTCATTTTTAATATAGTAATGTATGTATTCAATACCATAATTAATGGCACAGAGATTGCAAGTGTTGCAACCTTGCTTATTTTCAACACATAGCATTCAGTTCAAATATCATCGCTTTGAATACTTACAGCTTTGCTATCAACTTCAATATCAGCAACATAATTCTCAAAAACAGTTGGAACATAGACTTCTGGAAACTCATCTTTTGAAAATACAATAAGTAGACATGTTTTGCCACAGGCTCCGTCACCAACAATTACAAGTTTTTTTCTTATAGCAGCCATTTTTAAATATTATTTATAAATTCTGGTCAAAACAAATAAATAGAAAATGGTTCACCACTATTGCAATATAACAAGTTTACCTTAAATATGTTATGACATTACAAAGGATAATCTTGTAGTTTATGATGGTGAGTACAAATCACATTATAAATTTCCATGAATATTGTCGAAAATGTCCTAATACAGTCATAAATATTTGACATGATAAACGACCAGCAAGTGATCATCAGACCAACTTTAACAAATAGGCAGCATAATCTGGCAATATCAAGCATGTAACTTGAAAACAAAAACTAATTATGATTCTATGACAACTGTATGAGACAGCATACACATAGTCTACTTTAAAAACATTTTTATGGACTTTTTACCCAAACTTGATTCAGTGGTTTAAGTTTAAACGCACCAGAATTGGAACAGTAGCACTTGCAGACTGGGGTGGTGCAATTAGTTCAGGATCACGCAAATTTGAAATAATCAATTCGCTAACCTAAATACCGTAATATTGCAGTCATTCAACCTCATATGGTTTTGGGTGGTTGACTTCTGACTTGAGTGATCATATTGACATATAGCTGTATGTGTATCTGTGTAATGGTATAGGCTAAGCTGTTCAGTTCCCGTACCGAGTTGGGCAATCCATGAACATACTGACAGACAGACAGCATATTCGAATCATTCAAAGTGAAATTTAAGACCATGCACAGATCTATGGCGTGCTAAGCGTGGGCTTAACATTCTTAGTACAGTACCGGTACCGTAGTGTACCGGTGGTCTGGTAGTACTGTCTGATTGTAGTAAGTAGTAAAGATTTTAAACGTTTAAACCAAGTTGATTTTGCATTGGCTTACAGCTGTACAGGTTACAGGGTTAGGTAGCCTAATGTGTTAGCTACCGGTACCGATATCAGTGTGTTTCGGGTCCACTGGCTGACTGGGTAATCTAACCGATTGTTTCTAAATTGAATCACTGCCTGCTTGTTCCTTATTCCGAATGTTTCTCTAGACAGCTAGAACAGGTCTGATATAACAGTACTGCAGTATAATGATACTAAGCAAAATTCTGAGTACGAGTAGTATTTTTACCAGGTCTGCAGGTTAGGGGTTAGGCCACTAATTCATCCGGACCACTTGGGTCGGTATTCGAGCATGCTGAAAACAGACAAAGAAATGCCGCTTCAAATCAAACCTCAATCAGTCAATATTACAGTAATATGTTTATTTCAATACAAAACTGTTGGCTGTAACCTGTAACAATTTCTCACTGTCTTGGTCAAAATGTCAAAAATCCTGATGGTACCCTATGTAAAGAAGCTACTGTACCGCGTACAATTTCATATACCCCACCATTTGGCCAAGTAAATCGAACGAGTAAACAGACAACATCACTAATGCGACGCCATGGAAGTTGATCATAAGTCTTATATAATGAGGAACCACCCAATCTATAAATATTCACCAATCAAAAGCCAGTATTTCATTTTCACTCAAGCGTAACCTTTGAAGAATGAGGTTTTTATGACATCATCAAAACAATGTTATACGCTATTGCACCAACGCACAATAGCCGTAGCACAAAACTTACGCCATTATATGACTATAGCCAATAACAAAGAATTGAAGGAGGTATAAAAGTCATTGATCGACCAAAATGGTGATATACGCAATCAGGTTCGGGAGTTGTTGCCATCTTCCGCTTGATCTTTCCGTCTATGCCCACAGTAAAATTCCATTTTTATATCATGTATATTTTTATATAAATTGCTTGTTCGGCGATTATCTAATGCCTTTTTAACTTTGACATCGTTATTATCAAAGTAGAAGATAAAGGAATAATTAGAAGTAGAATGAAAATTTTAACGTATATATATATATATATATATTAAATCAATTTAAATGATAGGCCTATATACCAGAGTTCCATTACCAAAAACAGAAATATATTCGCTAAATGAAATGACCGAAAGTGTTAGTAAAGTATCATTCATACTGCATACATATTTTTTGGTGATTCTCTATAAATTCAACTCTTTTTCACTGATTCGGTATTCATTTTTCCAATCGTCCTTTTTGTTTGTTTGTTTACTCAGTAATATATCTTTCATTTCTCTTTTTTCCCTTCTAATTTTATTGTATCTCCATGGTTGTGGTGGTCTCCGTATGTATGTACCTGTGGATGTGAAATTGTTTAATACTTTCGGTGAGCGAACACGTACAACTTCTTTTGACAACACGTTCCAATATAAATTCTGTACTTCTCAAACCTTAATTAAAGGTCTCATGATTCTGTAATCAGTTTTATTTATATATTTTATTTTTTCCCCGTCTGTCATGCTGATTATGGAATCGAAATAAACTTATAAACAGGTGTTAGGGCAGCATATCATATATATATATATATATAGCAAGTAATAATTTTCAATTATTGGACACGAAATGAACCTATGGATCGTTTTGTTATTGGTATTGGACATGTGTATATATATGGATCGTTTCGTTATTATTATTATTATGTTGGTCTTGTTCGTATTTGCTTCTTCTTATCGTTAGGAAAATTTTAAAAACATGAAAATATTTTTTATCGCAATCTGAATTTTTCATTGTAAACGTGGATGTATGGAATCTTTTATTAAAAAAAACAGGCATTTGACCACGTTAGCAAGGAAGAATTGGCAAGTCAAAATCTCTGACGATGCCCAATTTTATATGTTATCCGAGAAGAGCAGGTAGGTAGTAAAGATAGTAAACACCAACTTTTGGATTTTTTTGGTGAAAATTATTATTAGGCTACACATAATGTTATGTAATTTTCTGGAAAATCTTACCGCTCTATTCAAGTCCCCAAATTAGGGCCAAAAATTCACCAAGCAATAAGCTATAGTAGTTCTAAGACGTCGAAAAGATGTCTTACCTTCTATTAGAAAGACGATAAAGTGCTACGATTGGGTTCAACTGAAAAGTATGGTTAGGATAATCTAAATCATCAGTAACTCACATAGTAACATGCTTAGTCTGACACCCATACATATGATGTATGTGGTTAAATAAATTGCAGAAGTCCCGAGTTATGCTTTGAAAATTACATGTAAAGCGGTGAGCGGTGAAATTTGCATTTCTGGTACTCCTGGAGTATGCGCACCAAGATGTCGCATAGCCTGAACCCTAACCTCGTACACAACCTGAGTTCAGGTTGTGCGCCATTTTGGTGCGCATAAGTCAGGAGGTCCGCATTTCTTTTGGAAAAAACAGTTACGTAACAATACCAGGGAGTCGTCGATTTTCGGCGTCGTGTGGTTTGATCGTACCGGCACAATTATGAAGGCCGTCAGAATGATGTCGAAAGCAAAACCTCTCAGTGGCGCACAGAAACGCAGAAAAAGGGCAGAAGAGAAAGAACGTATGAAAAAAATTAAAGTAACCAAGATAAACGAAAAATTTATACCAATATTGAAACAAGTAGACTTGGGAATACCTAACGTAACTGAGGAGGAATTAGGCCTAGCAGTAGCACCGGTTGTATCGGTAGAAAACTCCGGAAACCAGATGCGTGTTCAATCTCCAAAAGTGATGGCGCCGGCGCGAATGAATTTTCTTCCAAAACTTACACACAATTATTACAGGTAAGCTACTAATTTTAGAAGCAAATTGAAAAAGTTGCATAATTTGGTTTAAAAGCGACCAAAACTTAATTTTTAGATGACGATTCGCTGACGAAGCTGACACAATGCCAGTATCCATCGGACATGGGGAACTTCATTGGCGTTGAAATCAACGCACAAATTAAAAAATTTATAATAGACGCAGGCCCGTGTCGACCCCGAGGCCCTTTCCTGAAGAATACACAGCGGGAAAATAGATGTTTTTCCGTATCATATTACACAAAACAAACAAAGATAAAAGATTTGAGCCTAGAACGGTCATGGTTATGCTATTCTCCAAGACTCGAAAATGCATACTGCGAACCATGTTGGTTATTTTCGCAGCAAAGAAGTGGGTGGTCAGTACTGATGATTGAAAAGAGATTTCAAAGAAAATTACGCAACACGAAGATAGCACAACGACGCACATAGAATCGTGTCTGTTATATCAGAAATGGAAAAGTGGTTCTACGTTTGACAAACTGGTCGAAGAGGAATTTCGACGCAGTAAGAATTTTTGGAGATTAATCATTGAACGCATTATCTCTATCATACTTATGCTTTCGGCGCGAAATCTATCGCTACGGGGTCATAGAGAAAACCTCTTCGATGGTAATAACGGCAACTTTTTGGGGGTTGTTGAATTGCTTTCAAAATACGATAATGTTATGGAGAAACCTGTTGAAATGCCTTCAGGGTCAGGAAAGTATCTCAGTTTCACGTGCCAAAATGAAATTATCCAAATGATTTCTGGCAGACTGAAGCAGACAATCATTACGGAAAATAAAGCGGCTCCTTTCTTTTCTATCATTTCGGACACCACGCAAGATATTTCAAAAATTGACCAACTTTCCGCAGTATATAGATACATACGTGTAGTAAAAAATGAAGATCTGCCAATCGATGGGAAAATTAAAGAAGTGTTTATGGGATTTCATAAAGTTTCTGGACAAACTTCGCACGAACTTGCAACCCAGCTAGAATATCTGTTGCATGCAAACGGATTGGATCTTTTGAAGTGCAGGGGACAAGGATATGATGGTGCAGCAAACATGCAAGGGGCATATGATGGCCTGCAAGCAAAAATTGCTGCAAAACAGCCTTTAGCAGTTTATGTATATTGTGCTGCACATAACCTGAACCTAGTCATAAACGATGCCGTAAACAACGTCCGTGAAATTTACGATTTTTTCTCTATAGTCGAAAGGATGTATGTATTTTTCGGACACAGTATTAAAAGACGGGATATTCTTTCATCGTTTGGATCGAAAAAAGACAAAACACTGAAAAGATTGAACCCAACGCGCTGGTCGAGTCGTCTCAGTTCACTTACAGCTTTACATTACCGTTACGCAATTTTTATGAAAGCTTTGAATTTGATTATTCTGCAATCCAAGAAAAATGAAGAGAAGCCGTATCGCTCCGTAACAAATTACAAAATTTTGATTTTATCGTCATGATAGTTCTCATGGAGACTGTTCTACAACCAATCGATTTATTATCCAAAATTCTACAATCACAAAACCAAGACTTGGGCATGGCAGCGGCTCTACTTGGAGACACTCTGAAAAATTTCCAAAAATTTAGGAACAATTATCAAGAAATACGGAAGAAGTCTGACAAAGTTGCGGAAACTTGGGTCGTTGAGCCGAGGTTCTCTATCAAACGTCTGGAAAACATACCAGCGTTTTACGACGAAATTAACCTTGAACGAACCACGCTAAATAGTGAATCACGGTTCAAAGTGAACATATTTTATCGGTGTCTGAATATAGTGATTTTTCAATTACGACATCGTTTTGAAGGCCATCGTAAAATTCACGAGCGGTTTCACATACTTTACCCAGAACAATTACTCAAAAGCGACGAGCAAGAAATTTATTCCGCTGGACAACGTTTACTTGAGCAATATAGTGAAGATTTAAGTTCTGCTTTACCAGAGCAGTTGCTCAAATTAAAGTTGTTCATGCAACAGGCCTTCCCAGCGTTGAAAACTTCAAAAGAATTAGCTCACGTATTAATGGTTGAGCATAGAATTTTAACAAGTTTTCCTGATATTTGTATAGCCTTGGTGATCTTTCTAACGTTGCCCGTAACTACCTCAACTGCCGAGAGATCGTTTTCGAAACTGAAATTAATAAAAAATTATCTCAGGAGCACGATGTCGCAAGAAAGGCTCTCTGGACTGGCGCTGCTGAGTATTGAATCTGAACGCTCGACTCGACTTGATATGACGAAGATGGTGGATGAGTTTGCTAACGCGAAAGCGCAAATTTTAGGTTACCATTGCCTTTTTATAGCGACATGTTATGCGTTTTGACGAAATAAAAAAAAACGTTGTTTCAGCTTATGTTTTTAGGGTCATTTCTACGAAATATTTTTGCGGGGGGGCCCACGAGAATCTTGCTACGCCACTGGATAGGCCTATATACCAGAGTTCCATTACCAAAAACAGAAATATAATCGCTAAATGAAATGACCGAAAGTGTTAGTAAAGTATCATTCATACTGCATACATATTTTTTGGTGATTCTCTATAAATTCAACTCTTTTTCACTGATTCGGTATTCATTTTTCCAATCGTCCTTTTTTGTTTGTTTGTTTACTCATATATCTTTCATTTCTCTTTTTTCCCTTCTAATTTTATTGTATCTCCATGGTTGTGGTGGTCTCCGTATGTATGTACCTGTGGATGTGAAATTATTTAATACTTTCGGTGAGCGAACACGTACAACTTCTTTTGACAACACGTTCCAATATAAATTCTGTACTTCTCAAACCTTAATTAAAGATCTCATGATTCTGTAATCAGTTTTATTTATATATTTTATTTTTTCCTCGTCTGTCATGCTGATTATGGAATCGAAATAAACTTATAAACAGGTGTTAGGGCAGCATATCATATATTTATATATATATATATTTATAGCAAGTAATAATTTTCAATTATTGGACACGAAGTGAACCTATGGATCGTTTTGTTATTGATATTGGACATGTGTATATATATGGATCGTTTCGTTATTATTATTATGTTGGTCTTGTTCGTATTTGCTTCTTCTTATCGTTATGAAAAATTTTAAAAACATGAAAATATTTTTTATCGCAATCTGAATTTTTCATTGTAAACGTGGATGTATGGAATCTTTTATTACAAAAACAGGCATTTGACCACGTTAGCAAGGAAGAATTGGCAAGCCAAAATCTCTGGCGATGCCCAATTTTATATGTTATCCGAGAAGAGCAGGTAGGTAGTAAAGATAGTAAACACCAACTTTTGGATTTTTTTGGTGAAAATTATTATTAGGCTACTCATAATGTTATGTAATTTTCTGGAAAATCTTACCGCTCTATTCAAGTCCCCAAATTATGGCCAAAAATTAACCAAGCAATAAGCTATAGTAGTTCTAAGACGTCGAAAAGATGTCTTAGATGTCTTACCTTCTATTAGAAAGACGATAAAGTGCTACGATTGGGTTCAACTGAAAAGTATGGTTAGGATACTCGAAATCATCAGTAACTCACATTTATGCTTTGCAAAAATTACATGTAAAGCGGTGAAATTTGCATTTCTGGTACTTCTGAAGTATGCGCACCAAGATGTCGCATAGCCTGAACCCTAGCGTGACCATATTATCAAACCCGAAAAAGAGGACACATCGTTTGGCAGAACAATATTTCACATGTGCCCGACATATACATTATATATCTACTAGATTCTTTAGGATTAAAAATAGAAGTAACAATAGACGAATTGACGACAATGCAATAATGCATTCTTGTCTTGTCAACGAGCAACTGTAGTCACAAGTATAATGCACTGCGCTTCACTATCAATTATATCTGTTCTAAATCTAAAGCATGGATACTTCTGCTTTAGTTCCTGAGTAAAAAAGGTTTTTCTTTCCGGCATAATTTACTGGGTCTACTGACATAATTTAGTGCTTAACTCGAAATTTTGAAATTGCTAAAAACAAAGATGAAATGACGTGAAGATAATTGCAGAACAACACGATTTTTATGTGATAAACAAAAACAAGTATGCATTTAACCTAGGCTTACCATATGTCCCGCTTTAGGCGGGACAGTCCCGCTTTTCAGCGTTTTGTCCCGCCGCCCCGATAAGTCAGCCAAAAGTCCCGCTTTCCCAGCATAATACACAAACATGTTCTCGTTACTGTTGTTTCTGTGTAGCGCAGCGCTAGTCCACTTACTGAAGGTGAATGCGTTCGTTTCCCGCTGATTCCCATTGATGGCAGACGTATCGCATGTAAAACCAATACTAATTAGTAATTAGTCTAAATTTGAATTATTTGTACCGGTATCGTTAACGTCAATCCCTTCCTATTTTTCGAACTGAACCCGATATTTGGACAGAGAATATGCGCATGAAATTTCGATAACAATATGGTCAATAAAGACAGCCGAGACAGCTTTAAATGTAGGAATGTAGGGCTATGTAGTAAAATCGGAAAATGTGATGTTATAAAATCACAGCTAAGGGGTCGTTGTCTTTCGAGGCGTCCCGATTTGAAGTCACAAAAATATGGTAACCCTAATTTAACCTAAAGCAGTGGTTCTAAACTTCTGCGTTTCCGCCAAACCCCAAACGCTATTGAGCTATAGCTCCAGTAAAACCCCATTCAACGGTTTAAATACTGAATTAGGAGCGCAATTAGTACTTAATACACAATAGAGAGTACACAATAGAGAACCTAATTTTGTGAATGGTATAGAAAATGATCATCGTGCTGTAACCTTAGATATCAATATGCAGTGTGGAAATAGTCATTGTTGTGTCACAGTGATGCTGACAGCAATAATCTTTTGTTGTATAAAAATTGCAGTTTTGAGATCGGGAAGATGATATGATACCTCAAAAATGTTGGTAGCTCAGTCATTTCTCAAACTTCAAACTGCATTCGAATGCGGATTAAAGCGTTTTTTCATAGCTTTATGCCGGAATTAACATAGTCTACCTTATGACTTAGCGTTATTTTGAGGCCGTCCAGAACGGATGATAATTTAACGAAGCTCTAATGAAATGTTTGTTGCCACAAATGTATTACTTATTGAAACTAGAAACGTCTTGATCCCATATCAATCTATATACACTTATTTCCTACATTCAACCAGTTCGTAAAATTGAGCTACAATTTCTGAATTTTTTTGGTAGATTAGAAATGAGGTGTTGCGCACGCAATAACTTAAAACCCCAAGATTTGTCATTTTGGTTTATTAAGGTATTTATCGACATATATATATATATATATGGTATCTCAATGTATTACTTACATTACAATTTTCTCAACCCATCAAACAATGTTGAATATGTCATAAAAAATTTTAAAATATTCAATCCCTCGAAAAAAGGAGGACATTTTGAGCTTTTAAAGCGTCTTCGGAGGACATAAACTTTTTAACGAAAAAGGAGGACAAATCCTCCAAAAGGAGGACGTATGGTCACCCTACTGAACCCTAACCTCGTACACAACCTGAGTTAAGGTTGTGCGCCATTTTGGTGCGCATAAGTCAGGAGGTCCGCATTTCTTTTGGAAAAAAGATTCGACTTCAAATCGGATTGTAAATGAATATTTACGGGGAGAAAAATCATGTGATTCTAACAGGACCGGATCAAGACGATAAGAGAGAGACCCTAGGGCTGAAGCTATGCTCGTAGTGAGGCCCATCTTTAACAATGACGGCATAGCTTTCATGAAATTTATTATGCCTTCATAATAACAGTATGCACCCCAAATCGATCCGAAAATAGTGAACAGTATCATAACACTTATATTCGTTGTTATTCAGACAAAATAGTAGGCTATAGCTATATTTTAACATTTTAATTTCATGAAATAAAGACATTATTAGGGTAAAAAAACTGTTCATTGATTTCGTGTCATGCAAAACCTTAAAATAAACCTTAAAAAAATATATATATTACTTGACTTGCAGAAATCAACCGATACTTAGTAGGGTTACACCAATAATTAGTAACGTCCGCTGACGACGTAGTACTGAGGATTTTGCATTAGGGTAAAGGCAATTAAAGCGTTTTGTGTACTTGATTTGAACCGTATAAATCAGGTTCCGTAAAATATGAAAAGTGTTCATTAAATTTATCTACAATTTCCGTGTTACTACATTTGAGTTCAATTAAAAGACGGGTGAAATTGGTCTTATTTTTACCAATTAGTTCATTAATTGTTTTCCATATTACTTTAATGTTGTCAAATGTAGAGTGTAGACATAGATTTCTTTTTTTGGAGTAGTCGAGCATGAAGATTCCTGCATTCATTATACTGTGATTTGTGCTTGTCATCTGTGATTTTATTATTTTTTATTGTCTTATATATATAGTTTATGTTTGACTTTGTTGAGTTTGCGTAACTCAGTGTCATACCAAGATTTGTCCATCCGGGTCGTTTATGTTCTGTACACAAAGATTGAGAGTAGACAATAGAAAACTTGGATCTTTTGTACAAAGCCCCCGCGAAAGATCACCCCCCGCCACCGCCTAAAATGAGATAATTAGTAATTGTTCAGGTGGGTTCGGAATGCAAAATGCAAATTAAAATTTTTAAATTATTGATTGCCCTCGCCCCAACAGGATAATTACTAATTTGTTATTTTAAAACGTGCCGGGACTGTTTTTTTTTTCAAATCTAACATTTTTGCATTAGAGGCGGCGACTTGTACAAAATATACGAAAATTTATTAAAGAGTTTTTCAAAGCATGTGTTGGGATCCTGGATGTTACTCAAGTCATCACCAGAATTCAATTTAATAGTAAAAGTGTTTAAGTTGGATGAGATGAACTGGTGATTGAGTCGTTCCATTATATTTTGAATATGCTTTTCTAGAAACATTGTACAATTTCGATGATCTGAAATACTTTCTACCAAAGCAACACTGTTTATTTTCTGTAGTATACATTTGTCCATATGTGATACACTGGTATCAGAGCTTGGGGTCATTATGATAGGACAGTTTATCCCAGAATGATAGGTCAAGCTGTGTATAATATCATCGAATAAACAGGTATTAATATTCGATTCATTCGCGCATTATATAATTTAACCTGTCCAACTTTGAAAGGAATTTGGACAAAATATTTCAAAAGTTAGCATGGCTCAATTCATTAGTTAGCGATGATCTATAATAGTTCCGCAGGTTATTATTTGTCATATCATTCTCTAATCATAATGTCAATAAATATAAACTCAAAAATCGGACCTTGCGGAAGATGCATTCCAGGTCTTTTCGAATGTAGAGATCAATAACAGAAAACATAGCCACCCCATGATTTGAAGTGGCTATTTGTACCAGATACAATCCATGTTTCATTTACAGCAATTACGTGTGGCGCACAATTCAGTGAATTTATAAGTGCTTCAAGTTTTATGTAGTTTTTAGGAGAATATAATAAGATAGAAGTTTATTACTTCAGAGCTCATGTATATTCTGTTTTTGAATGTCATTTCCCAATTTTTTATTACCAACAAGCATCTTTGATGATGTGCAACGCAAATGGTTAGTCACATTTTTGTTCCTGAAATTTCGATTTGACGATTTCCGCCTTAAAAAGAAGATGCAAACAAATAGTTTGTCCTACTGACGCCGTAACACGTATTACCATTTGTATTAGAATGGGAAACTTATCTTCAATAGCATAATTTTTAAGCTCATTTTTTATTCTATTAATTAAGAACGAGCACCTCGAACTCGTACTTGTCTAGATATCGACAAGTTTAAACAAGATAATGATATTCCGTAGCTTTTCACATCGGAATGTGGAATAGACATATAAAAATTTTGAACAAAGTTTTCGAGTATGCCTTCGATAACCTTGCACTCTCACCACCGCATCTAAAACAATTTTTATTTTTGCAGTTAAAGCTATTTAGTAACGGAGATTGGACTTTCTATCTGAATTGGCCTTTGTAATTGGTATTAGAGCATGAAACCATCTTTCAGCGACAAGCACCTTGGCTTTTTTTGCTCATCGGCGCTTGATTATTTCATTGTGCTCGATCTTGGAATTTCTCATCAAATTACAAGAGTTTACTTTCATCAATAAAGTCCGTTTTATCCTCTCATACGTTAAATTTTCACTACCATAAAAATACCACAAAATCACCGATCTCCCGTAACCAACACCACAATGGATCACCAATTGGAATCATAGATGATGTATATAATACAAGCGAAATTTTCAAATAGAAAGTAAATTGCATAACTTCAGTAAAAGAAACCTTTTTTTTTCTAAATCTTGAACTAAAATCAGTACAACAAATTAGATAGTAGATAGACACCTAGAAGTTATTCAAAAGTAAGGAATTGTTAATCCAAAGTCAGTTTAATGTATTCATGCGACATTTAAGTTCTTTGCAACATACTCCACCATTTCCAGTGTATTTATACTAAATAAAATTCGCAACAGTAGAGTTAAATCTGCTGAAAAAGAACACAAAACTTTTTGCATAAAATGCAATAAGGACATTACTTATCTGTCTAATTGACATTTATCTAAATACTATTGAAGTCTATCTAAGCTACATATAGGGAAACACAAACAAGCTCGATAAAACAGGAAAGAAATTTATAGAATGTAATAAAAGCATCTGAGCTTTTTGGTCATAAAAATATGTTAATACTTCACGCACATATACACAACAATTACTGGCGAAATTTTCATAATGAAAATCAAATGACAAGAATAATTAGAGGTAGAAGTAATTAAGGAGGAAGGGAAATTATATATATTACAAGCAGTAACCATAATACTCCAGCAATTATTGCAAATAAGGAACTATATTTTCAATAAACCAATCATCAGAAAACTGCAAATGCTCTCCGTTTGTAGCAAGGAAGACTAATTTTCCAGCTTCATCCATCTTTTTGAGTCCAAGCTGATCCTGTATCGATAGATTATAAGTAGAGATATTTTTCTCCTAAAATGATTACATATTATACCCGTTGCGCTATTAGGTGCATACTTACATTCTTGTACAGTTCTGTTTCCTGTAAGGTCAAGATGTTGTTATCTTTTCCCGGAGCATAGAATCCAAACCACTAGAAAAAAATAAAACAGACTGGAAAATATATCAACATGATTTCAAAATGAACTTATGAAAAAATTCTTGTTCAAAAATTCAGTTTTGGTGAAAAATTCCGGAACAAGACTCTACTATTGCATACATTTCCTTGCAGTGCACGAGATATTATGATGCAGAATCAGGGCCAAAATCATACATCAGGTGTGATAGTACTTGGACAACTTGGATGTTATCTGAATTAGTAAGTTGAATATTTAGATGAATTCATCAAGAAATGACTTATAAATGTGCTCTTTGGCACAGACGCATACATTTTGTATGTATAAGTGAATATTATTAAATCATCTCGCGAGTCTCATAAAAAGTTTACCCGGGCCACATGTGGCTCGTACATGGTACAGGTCTGCCCCTCTTCCCCTCCTAAAGCACAACTGGGTTAATCTGATATATTCATAAAATATAAAGATACCACACCTCGCTTTCAATTGGTTGAACCATTGTATCATTGTTGAATTTCACCATCACAAATTTCGAAAGTGATCTGAGACGTCTGACATAAGTACTATTTCTGACATTATCATTGTTGATGACAGGGAGAAAGATACAATCAGAAAAGTATTTGTCTTCGTGTATCGGATCATGCCAATACTGAGCTTGAACAAGTCTGAAAAATATGTATTTTTATATAAGAGAAATACGAAATAAAGAGGAACCTCATAAAAAGACACATTTCAAAGCACCTTGCTACTTTTCATACTTGACTTTTACAGTAACAATAAATAACACTGACAAATGAGATTGTATTGTGAAATGTTTGATCAAATCACTATGCCTTACTATATTTAGAGGGATTGCTTTCATTGCATTACTTTCTGCAATAATTGGATAAGAGTCATACAAAATACATACAACTGCAAGTAAGCATGTTATACAATAGTTGTTTCAGCACTTTAAGAAATGTCAATTGTGCATTTTATTTGCACAGACATGCAACTACATACTCTATCACATAGCCACTAAACACTGTTGTGGTTGGCAGTGCATAATCCAGTTAAGTACACCTCGAGATACTGAAAAAGAACAGTAAGTCCAGCAGACCACGCTACTAACTTAATGATGTACTAGCATTGTATATTTAAATCGATAGAAATTTGAAGATTGTGTTTAGAAAATTTTATGGAACTCATTGACTATTAAACAACTGCATTATTAACTAGATATATTAACCTAAAAAGATATATTAACCAATCTAAATGAGCAGTTGATAACAAAACTTGGAAATGAATAAGGAAAATCCTTAGTCCTAGCAAGTGCTAGGCAAAAAAACAGTACAATCACCCTCCTCTGATTGTCAGGCAACAGGATTGTTGAATGCTAAACACCAAGTGAATTATTTTTTAAAAAAACATACCTGTTTTGAATAGGAGGAAAGTATGCTCCCATATTCAAAAGTCGTCTTACATAATCACACATTTCAATATCATCACCCATACAGTTTGGAAATCCATAGACACCTTGGTGTTGCCCCCCAATCGAAATCAGGTTATGGACTGTTATACCATCACATTGCTGAATGAGTGCTCTCCTGTGAAAAAAGGCAGAGAACAATCACAATTAATTGCAAATTAAAGAATTATATAATGAACACTTGAGAAACCCTCATTCTGTTGAATCATAAATCCTTGAATGATAAGGCTTTATAAAACTTCAAATGGTACAAGTACTGAGTCTATATTAGTATGTCCACTACTTACAGAAACTGAGCACCTTGCGAAAATCCCATCACATTAAAGCCATTTTGTAAATGAGGATCATTTTGTACTTTACTACAAGCGAGTTCTATCTGAAAATACAATAAAAAAAGCTTAAATTTTCATACAAGACTTATTGATTTTTTGACCAACATCCATCCACTAATTTTAATGAAATTGCATGAGTGATATCCAGTCATTTTTGGTAACAAAGATATTTATCAAGAATTGGTTGAAGATGAAATGCACGATATCCAAAAAAATACAGTTTGGATAACTGCTACCAGAGATAAAGAAAACAGTTATAGTTGGAATGTTTGTACAATTTTATAAGTAATTACTTAGTTGTTACCATCATATTTAGGTCGATCACCAAGTCAAACAGCTACTCAATTGAGAAAAATAATTTGGTGTTTTATTCCTATGGAATAAGTGTGGAGCAGAAGATTTATCGTTATAGCAATACCACTAAAATTGATGATTCTATTTTCTATCGTTCATAACATTCAATTGTAATTTTCAGCACCTGTTCAGGAACTGGCATCAAAAAACCATTCAAAGTGTCTTCAGAAAACGTGGATCCTATCTGAAGCGAATGTACATAAATTCCTGAAATTTGATTTTCAACCATTTTTATTATTCTGCCCATGCTTAGTGGATTGCAGCATGTATCGCCTAAAATAAACAATTAAACATAAGAGATTAAATTAAAAAGGGAAAATTCTAGAATCCTCCAGGAAAATACTTTGACCTTGCATAAAGTAGTCAATCAGCTTAAGTCATTGTAAGTTATTTTTTCAAACTGAAAGCCATTCTACTTTACCATAGTAACAATACGATATTGTCTTATTGAGTTTTTGAATTCATGAGCAATACTATTAGCAAATACACAGAATAGGTGAATCAATAAGACTTCGTTTCAATTCAATTCAGATATTTATTTTCGTCATGCGTTGTACCAAAACAATATTTGAGACCACAACCGACAAGGGTACATGAAAGACTATTTAGTCGCCATATCAGCGACACTGTCTTTGCTGAGTTCAGCAGCAGATAATGTCAAACAAACATCAAATTATATTATCTCATTGTTTTTCAATAAATCAATGAATACAATTTGGAAATACAAATCGAATCAAGTGAGTCAGCCAGGAGATTGGTGCTTATTAAATATTCAGTATAGCCTATTGTCTCAGATGAGCGCAAATTTTCTTTGCCATGTTGACAGAAATGAATAGTGATTTGATAAGGATAAGCGGCTTGCTATATTTATCCTACATATCATTGTATCCATTTCAAACCTTCAGTGGTATCTTATGTTTACTTTGACAACAATAAATGTTTATTCATGCAACACTTCATTTCAACTGGTGGGAAACAACATTTGGAAATTTAAATTTAGTACAAAAACAGTGGGATATATGTAGATAGGCCTTGAATACTGCAATACATATAGACATAAGGTACACTCTTATAACACATATAACAACCCCACAGATAAAACAATCCCATAATTCTGTTTGCAATCAAATACACAATAAAACCCTAAACTACCTTAAAAACCTTATTACTACCCATAGTAGTACTGCAAGCCGCGCACAAGCACTTTCTAGCATCTGAGCATGGAGATGCTATGTATGTATGTTTATTCGTCTTGTCTTGTAAAATCAATATAAAAGAGTTAGCATTAGCAATTATCAATACTGAAGACGGGATGTCTAGCTCCCTAGTTTTAAAATGGGAAACCTTAGTTACGGCTTCCTCAACCATTAAGTCCATGCATCTGAAATAAATAACTGGCTTACTAACCCTATACCTGACATGGGACTAGTAATCCTGTAATCGGAAAAAAGGCGATTGTTCGGCATATGATTAAGCTGTCTTATTGTCTTTATGCTATAATATTAGCCTAGCTCAAGTTTTAAAATGGGGAATGCTGAAATTACATTTTCGCAATTATGAAAAATATTTCCAGTTAGGCTCACAAATAATACTGAACTAGAGAAATACTACAATTTCATTTCGACAATCAATCTATAAATCAAGTACAAGAGTATAGTATATATATACGGTAACGGTATATAGACTTATATTATATCATTCTTACCCATTCCATGCCATATCACGAGCGGCGTCGGAACTCGAAGCGCAGTAATATAGGAGCACTCAAGAAGGAAAAAGAAAGCAATCGAGGCTATAACACTACGCATTTTGATTTACTCCAATCATGTATTATTAGTCAAAACGCAGGAGAACGTACATCCATCCACAGGTCAGAATGGTCCCAAACACAAGAGCAGCAGTGCGTCGTTCATTCTTATATACCGTATCTACTAACTAAACGTTTACCTAACTGCAAGTTACTGACAAGGCAATGTGTAAGCGTGTAAATACGCGATGTCAGTGAGCGTAAACAACTCAAGTTAATTTCGACTCCATGCGAGTAGAAAATATTATTGCCTTTTGACATCCTGCTATACATTATTGTTTCAACAATTTTGGAAAATGACGGAAGAAGACTATAGATCCCAAGATCTGCTATCGCCATCGCGCTACCCTTCTTCAAAAGAGAAATTTGGCTGTCTTGGAGCTTAGCGAGAGGTTGAATGAGGATATCAATAATATTTTAAAATCTTGAATGGAATACCATTGATTCCAAAACTGGAACTCGACTTCTATTCGCGCATAATGTTCATAACTATATTTCTAATGATGGGAATCCATGCTTCTCAAGATATGAGAGGCGGCTTTTGTCACAGCCGGCTATGGCATATTGTCAGGGAAGCTTTGTGCCACTTGGGACTGTGCTACTGCAGTACTGTATTCGAGTCCAGTACAAGTACATGCATTAGTTCGATTTTTACCAATTAGTTCATTTATTGTTTTCCTCACCAACTTGATGTTGCATTTGTACGCATTGCATTACGGTATATAAAATTATATTTTTAACATTTCAAATTGAAACAACCCAATATTTATAGCAGATGCACAGTGCATAACACATCCACGCATGGTGCGGGTTTAAAATGCATCATTGGAACACAACTGTAATTTAGAGATGTACCGATACCACTTTTGTCGCCGATACCGATATCAGCTTAAAACGCCAATACCGTTACGCCGATACTACAAAAAGGCCGATATTCCGATACCTATACTATGTAATTATTACTTAATTAGGGGTGCTGTAGGCTATAGGGCAGACAGGTTAAAACAATGGTCTTTGAGCGTTGTTCATAGTACACATTATTTCAGATCGAAATAAAGATATATCACATAATATGAAGTTAATGTTTGGTGTTTGCTTTAACTGATTAAGATACATTGTACAGTAACGCTAGTAATCTCGGTGTTCAATTAGAAAACTTATAAGCTGGGATGTCCAATTTGAATTTAATGTTAATATCGCAACCTTCGAATATCGTTATTCGTGTTTAAAAGAATATCGAATATCACCCACACATTCTAGCGCCGCCGTCCTACGTTCGATTTAAAAGCATTTTACAAATATTTTATTTCGTGGCTAATCGTAATCGTCGACGCAATAAGTCAAAGCCAACATGAAAGAATATCAATCAGCACCGACAAAAAGAAGGCCTACCTATAACCGTCGAGGATGTTTTTTTACTTTACTATTTTATAATATTTTACAATTGCCATCATATATTTTGAGACAGTCTAGGGTAGGCTTGCACGTAATTGACAAAAATCAATTCCGTAATTACGGCCAAATCGATTACGTAATGACCCCGTAATTGCGATATTTTTTCACACATTTAAACCTATCATAACAACCAATTGAATCCACTTCATTTTCGATTGGGACATCGAGTTTGGGTTTTCATATTCCTGGCAATACTACACGCCGGCGACAGATGTTAAGACAAGAGTGAATTCAAATTAATTTTCTTCTGATTTTTATCTTTTGTGCTAGCTTTGATTTCCTTTATCACCTTCGCAAATTAACCGTCCCAATTTTATGCGATCAATTTTATCATTACCGACACTGGTATACGGATATTTATGAAACGATAGTTGACTTTTTTAAAATCGTATTAAAAAAAATGTCGGGTTTCCAATTTATCAATGCCACGACGAGCGTATTCTCTCGTTTGATTATACTTGCGCTTGCCTCGCGACGAAGACTTGTTATAGTACCGTTTTTAACATTATTCGACTTTACTACCTAGTCAGCATTTTATAATAATTATTGATGCCGACTTATTGACGTTTTTCCGATTACCATGCTTCAGTTTACATTAAATCATTTCGCGGCCTAAATGTTGTAACATTATTTGCAACAAATTTAGATCAAACATTAATTATTTGCGCATAATTTAAATGCCTAAATATATGATATGGCTTTTCCGAAAATACAAAGTTATATCGCAAAAAAATGCATATTGTGACATTTATTTTGCACTCACGAAAAAATTAACTTATTTTTCTAACTCAAGTCGACGATCCTATCGGCCAAGATTGACACAAATTTGGTCGAGTGTCGGTGGTTTTCAAGAATCAAAATAAATTGGCGAATTTGGTAAAGACAGTTAATCATATTTGGCCGAAATATTGCGAGGCATTGTGGAAAATATATTGAGCAAGGACAAGTCCGGACTGATATAAAACGATAAAACCGGTAACAGAACATCAAGGTTTTGTAATTGAAAATGGTTCTCGCACAGAATAAACACACTGGCTCATACTTGATATTTGATAGTAGTCAAATTGAGAATATTGAACTGTTAAAAACAAAAAAACGATCGTCGAAATTCTTGAATCTCGCTGCCTTGGTTAAATATAATACAATGATCAGGACATTTTCAATCAAATACTGCACAAAGATAGTTATACATTAAACATTTAGGCTACAATTTAACGGTCCGCAAAGGATTTTTACCGGATCGCGGGAAATCCCGTCATATTGTTGTTTCTCTGTCGTCTCAATCGCTTTACCGATGCCGAAAAGACGACGTTGCGCTGGTTCATTACGCAATTTCTTTTTCGTCGTCATATTGCTGTTTGATAAGCGCGACATTAATTATCACGGTGACGTATTGGCAAGAGGGAGAAAAGTGGGAAAAACGGCTGCAAATACCGAAGCTCTCTAACTCCTTCTACTTTTTAAACTTTCACTTTTCACAATCGACGGAATTGACTGCTCCAAAAAGAGCTCGTTTCAATCGCGAAAGTGCTCGACCAATAATTACGACTTTACGTAATTCGTAACTTCCCTTCCGTAACTCGAAATAATTCCGTAAATCTGTAAATTACGTGCAAGCCTAGTCTAGGGCTAGGCGGTTATGTCTATATATCTATAAAATAATTGTGTTTAAACACAATCAAAATTAATACCTGCGTAGAGGGATAATTGTGTCGGAATTTAGTTTATCGATGTCGACGGACTAAATGACAGCACTCGTACTTGACGACAAACAGTCAGAATTTATACCCGTGCCAAAAGACTATGTGCCGTTAATAAGGACCCCAATTCCACTGTATGATTTAAAACTGGGCGCCTAATTGCTTTTTGTTATGTGCTGTGTTGATATATTTCTTCATAATTACTATGTAATATTAAAAATGTCAATATAAAAATTTGACAGCAAAAATAGCCAAATTAGTTGAACTGGTTTGGCTGATAAATAGCTAAAAACACGTGAATCCTATTCTCTCGCGGGGGTGGGGACATGTATGGCTCATAGCTCACGATCTCTCCAGACAAAAAATAAATTAAAAAGTAGTATTCGAACTAATCTTTTAAAACATTCTGGACCATATCAAAAAGGTAAATATATCGGAAATATCGGCCTTAATCTAACCGATACATGGCCGATACCGAAAAAATGGCCGATATTGCCGATACCGATACATCGGTACATCTCTAAACTGTATGCCATATGTCCCAACACAAAATAGGGATAATATCGAGGTGCGTCTTCTATAGCTACTCTGAACTTGTGAAATAAAGAGACATGAAACTCCCAAGTTATTTTTACTGTTTTTTAAACATCTCTGCCTCTTTACTTAATTGGGCAGTCGCGGAAACTCTTCAGGATGGCACGGATGAGAAGCGTGCTAAACTGCGACGCAGAATTGCGGATCGTTTTGCATGATAGATGAGTCCATTTACGATATATATATAATCTGAATTACTCGTTGAACATTTTGTGACCCAAAACTGGGATTTAAGGCAAATCACGACGCTTTTTATTTCTAACCATGCACCCCTGACCAAAAGAAACTATTTTGAATTAATAGACTGAAATGATACCAAAATTAGTCCATGTTCATGTCGGGTATGACTTATGAGCTCTCATTTAGTTAGCCAGTTATTAGCTTCAGATACATGGGCTTTAGCGAATGGCGAAGCAAGTAAATCGCCCCATGGCGGCGAGGAATCCAGCAGTCATCTCGACTATATTTATTTCTCACGGGATGCGACCAACACAGTTAATCAGAGGTACGATGGCAAGCAGATTCCTAACGCTTATCACGATTTGCTAACCTCCAAGCTGGGCCGACGCGCTTTGGATTCAGATATATATTCATTTTTGTCGTTTAAACATTCCTCTTCCGATGCTCGGAAGATATAGTACTCGTACTTGGGGTGCGTCTGCAGACTGAGCGCCTGTTCACCCTTTGGTGTCGGTTATTTCAGTGGTTCCAAAACTTTTTCCGCAAGTCAAATTTTTGTAGAATAGAAAATTCGAAAAAAGAGAAATTAGAATAAAATATTCGAAACACCCCAACAAGAAAAGTATAGCAAAATAATGTATTCTATTTAATCATCCTAATGAAAAGTGAACCTGTTTACTGCCTGAACATTTTAGGAACCTTAGTGGGGTAGTACACAACGGACGAAAGAACAACACATAAGTGCAAAACAATGAAATAGGCTCGGAGAGTTTATATCTAACTCCAGGCAACATCTCTTCCCAAATCACATTCTAACATGAAAATCGGAGATGATCGAAAATTAAGAGGATTTATCCTAGGGATATCAAACTCCCTCGACTGCGGCCCTCGAGCATTCATCTATAATTGTCGTATTCTGATTATATATATATCTAAATTTACTACATTTTTCAGAGGCGAGATTAAAACTCAATACCCTTGCTAAAAGCTGAATTGAATTATAACAAAAACATTGCATCCATTTTGTATTTTATAGTGAATACACAGTTTTATAAATAGCGTTTTTATTCTTAGGGGTAACAAGCATTGACAACCCCTACGACAAACCTCAAGCTAGCAAAAGAAAACCCGTGCGTAGAGGGTAAGAACATGGCGTTTAAATGTAATTCAATATTTTAAAAAGAACAACACCTCTTTTGCCCAATTTTTTATGACGCAGACTACACTTAAGCAAGGCAGTCCCAAGCAATATCCTTCATGCAATGAGGCCCCTTTAGACGGTTTCATTACATTTGAACCCACGTACATTTGAACCCATGAAAATTGCACCTGCATGCTATTGCACCTATGGAATTTTTTTTGTTTCACGGATAGTTAAACCCATACTAACCCTAACCCATGGGTTTTAGCACCCGCATATAGATTGAACCCGTGGAATTTACGCATGTAGGCCGCGAGCCGAGGCCCTGAAAAACGCCTAGAAAGTGAGTTTCGTAGCGCACATCAGGTAACTACCTGAAAATGATTTTAAAATGTTCCTTAAAAATTCAGTAACAAATATTGCCTTGTTCCCACTTCCAAAAGTTGCACGTTTTACGGAAAAGACGCTTTTACTACAAGAAATATGTGCTACGACCTGTCCTATATTCTCTACATTTTCGGCAATGAACAATGACTTCTGCATGACGTAACAATTGAATCGAATCAGCTGTTAGCGAGCGGATGAATATTAGTCATTACTGCTCGACCTTGCGTTGAGTTGGGCAGCCTTTCCATAGCCCTGTTTAGTTATTATTGGTTAAGTTATGCTAAGACGTTGTTGAAAAATGTATAAGTAAGTTATTAAACACTTGTAGATCCTTACCACGGATATGGGCCGTGAGACGAAGCCTTGAAAACGCCCAGAAAATGAGTTTCGTAGCGCACATCTGATAACTAAATAAATTCTTCAGTTTTGTGTGAAAATGAACATACTGAACGCATTACAGCTTGTTCCACAATCCCGATGCGAAATTGAATATAAGAGGTTCCCGGAAATTCAATAACCATAAGTTCACAACACATACATAAGAACTATGCAATTCGAGAGCCCTACAGCACACTAACACAAAAGTATTCCTGTAATGTTCTGCCTGACCAAAATCGGACTTCCTCAGTCAATCATAATTTATTAGGTAGATTACGAAAAATATGGCATACATGTAACCAACAACAAAAAATATTTTAATTGTGTGGCAGGAGTGGCGAGTGACCTCGAAAGCAGCGACACCAACAACGCTGATTCACATTAGCGAATAAATTTTATGTAATAACTACAAGCAATTTACAACAAGAACAGCATAAAAAGCTACATCCATTTTATAGAAGCTATCAAACGTATTTATTTTTAAGAAATGAAGTCACAAATTAACATCGTGAGCACGAAAACACAAATAAATCAGTTATTTCTCACCTAGAAATTTACCGGAAAAGTCAAGAAAATTAAATGAATGAACAATATGTACATAACATAGTGAACAGAAATATTACAATTAGTCTTTTTTTAGTTTGTGTGGTTATGTATTTGAACAAAGGCAATATTATTTCTAGAAACAGGACTACGACACTAACAAATGTTCGAAAAAAAATTAAAATAAATGATACTTATTAAATCAACTGCAATATCTAATTCACTTTCTTCTCAATTGTTTTCGAAATCCACTATCTCGAAAATCGACTTTTCCTCTATAAGTGTACTGTGATTTTGCAGTCAATACAAAAACAAAAATCTGTGCAATTTAAGTTGATTTTGGCCCACTTGCATAAATTATTTTGACTATTTTTCTTACACTTGCAGTTTGCCAACTCAAGAACTGATTTGAGGGCCACGTGCTTCTTCAGTGAATCATTGTTGGGTATAATCCTTATGTTTGCCAGTTTTAAATAGACGTGGCCTGATATCTTTTACATTCTTCATATCCTCTTCATATAGTGAACAAACAAATTCCACAGCTTTATTCATTAATGCCTCGTTAACCTCAAAAGATCTTCATAGTTGAGAAAAAATAATTGAAAACCTTAATGAAGTCTCCAACATGAGTTTGATGGGCAGTTCCAATTGCAGAAAAGTGTTAAAGTATTTTAATATGAATAGCCCATCTAAGCTGTTTGCAACTATTATGATTCTCATATACCTTTACGCTTCAAGACTTCTTATTTAATTTATTTTATAGCACTGATAGCAGCAGGGATTAGAGCCTGCGTTAGGTCGGATTGGTGGAACATTGCCGTCTTCTTTTGTAGTACAGCATCTAAAATGAAGAAGAAAATGATATTTGGAACAGCATGAGTGTAAAAATACCACTAAATACTAACTAATACCTTGAATACATAATGCATTTTATCTGATGTACTCAATGAGCGTATATATGCTCATTGCATGTACTACAGTCCAGCAGTGTTTGCATATCAGTATAGACTATATCTACACTAAATTTTGATATATCACAGTCTGAAGTGCCCTATGACAGTATGAGTATGGACTATCAGACTATAGGCCTAGACTATATTTTAAAACATCAACTGTCTGTCTACAACTTGATTTCTCACCTCTCAATCGTTTCCAATGCTACTTTTCTTTCCACTCCGGCATAACTTACCGTAGCGTATCATTGCTTCCCAGGTTCTTGTCGACTCTATGAATTTAGATTTAGACCATCGACATTAGTACTGTAGTAAAATTGATTATTTTCTCCTCTTTCACACAACCGTGCATTACACTGTTACAGAAACAGCCATTAATTTCTATTTCCAAATATGCTGTGGCCTATATAGTAGTATAAGTCTGCTGAATAGTCAAGAAGAGTCATTAAATTAATCATAAACATTTCATGCGAGCCAGAAAATATCGTTGTTTGTGACATATTATTCTAGGTCTAGCCTTTCTTGGAGTTACCGCACCGTACCTATTTAACAAAGTCTTATGAGCAAGTGCTCAACTAAAATTGCTATTTATGGTAAGGATATACAAGTGTTTAATATCTTACTTATACTTTTCAATACCTCCTTAGAATAACTGAACTAATAATAACTGAAAAAAAAAACTATGGAAAGGCTATTCAACGCAAAAGCGAGCAGTCGTAGTACACCTGATATTCATCCGACCACTGGGGATTCACCTACAGCTGACTTATTTGATTGTCACATCATGCAGAAGTCTGCGTTCATTGGCCCATGATACCGGAAAAGCAGAGAAAATAGGACAGATGGTAACACATATTTATTGTAGTAAAAGCGTCTTTTTCGTAAAACGTGCAACTTTTGTACGTGGGAACAAGGCAATATTTGTTACTAAATTTCTGAGGAACATTTTAAAATCATTTTCAGGTAGTTACCTTATGTGCGCTACGAAACTGAAAGATAAATGGCCTCGGCTCGCGGCCTAATGGGTTCAAATGTACATGGGTTCAAATGTACGGTCACCCCTTTAGACTGCAGATACTATTGGAGAGAAAGTTTCCAGGTCGAGACAAAAGTTAACAACTACCTCATCAAATATAATAATATACACTCAATAAAGCATTTAACGAGGGAATATTATTGACGCTCCTAACAATATCGTTTAGTCGCATTTACTACTACCCGATCAGCTCAAATTTCACTTTCAAGTTTCCAGATCCTAGTGACTTGTGTTCGTCGTAATGCAAATCAAGTCAAAGCTAGTCATCTATCGTTCTCTAGTAATAAAATAAATTTGACTCTGTGACAACTTTTTGACGTATAGTTAAATTTGACTATCGAATCACGTTTCAACAGTCGTCGACTACAAACACAAACTGTTGCTTAAATCCCTAAGATCTATTATTGATAAACTACAATTTATATTTGAAAACAAATGGATATGCTACGCAAAAGTCCGTACTGAAATTAAGAAAAAAATATTAATTGACGAAAATTATTCTCAAGTACAAGGCCAAGATTCGGGTCATCCTGTACTGAACAATATAAACATCGCTTGGCACAAACGATGGTAAGTCCTAATCACTCTTGGGTTGTCGATACTGGAAGATCTGTAAAAAAGATGATAAAAGAAGGCCGTTTAGATACAAATTAGTTAATATGGACACGTATAAATTAGAAAGATATCCTATCTGACTTTTATTTGGTGACTATAAATAAATTCAAAATATGCAACTTACTACAACGCAGCTTACAAGCAATACATTCATTCGACGCCTTGTTGATAAAGCATTCATCTTCCGTGCAGTCATTTTTGCATTTTTCCATTAACTTGCTCCAAATCCTTTTTCTCGCGGCTGAAAATAAGCATTTGTGTTACTTTAGCTAATTTATTATATTTTCAGTTTACAAAACCCATAATATACGTTGATAGAATACAATTTGTTAATTTTGTTTACGCCATAGGTGCAATATATATATGCGTAGTGTGAATCAGAGAAAAAGCTTTCTTGGGTTCGAATTCGTTAGATAACATCTTATGCTCGACGAACAATTTTGTTCATCAGAATCACATCCTTCGGTATATAAGTTTCAAGGAAAACTTTACTTTACTAAACAATATTAACATCGCATGACACAAACGATGGTAGTCTTAAACACACTTCGGTTGTCGAAACTTGAAGCTGCAAGTACGACCGCGAAATGTAAAAATTAGAGAGAACAATTTTGTTATAAACAATTTTAGTTTTCTACCTTTTGATAGGCAGTAATCCATACATTCTACACATGAAGATCTATCAATAACATCGGAGCAAAGGTGGTTTTTAGAACATTCTTTTCGTGCTTTGATAGTGCATTTCAGGTGATCAAAGAACGGAGTGATGTCACTGTCGTAAGCTGAATAGAAGAAAACAAAAATATTACTTAAAAGTATGGAATACTAATCTTGAGCGTGACATTTAGATAACCTGTGAATGCGAAGAATGAATGTAAAAAGCAACCATGATATGCCCACCTAATCAGACATTTTAGCTTTGCTATTTTTGTTCGCATTCTTTCTTGCAATTGCTCAAAGAACAGTCGCCTTGTTATTTTTTTTTGTCCAGATCATCGTCCTAATATGGTTTATATCCTTCATTGAGAAATGTCTAAAACGATTTACGGTTAGGTGGATATAAGTCGAATGAATTACATAATTGAAAGATACTGGCATTTTTCGAAAGATAATTACGACTGTAGTTTTTAATCGTAGAATAATAGCTTGCTTTAAAGTGCTCTCAACTTTACGGGTAACTTTATGACCTTACTCCTAATATTATTTAGACCGAATTATTCCATTACATCTTTCTTAGAATCAGTGTATTAGAATGACCAGAATAAATAATGCATCTGGTTAGTATTGCATGACAATATATATACATATATTTTCTTAAAAATCAGATAATGTAGAAATGCACTACATTTGAAAATTTCGTGTTGCTTGATGCAGTGCCACGTCAGGGTGATTTGTCAAAAAGAAGATATTTCTAATCTGAAACCAACTTTTTCTTGAACCTTCAAATTCAACCCATCGTATATTCACGTAAGATGCATCTAATGGAAAAGAATCTATTGATATACAAATAAACATTGTTCGGTGCACCTTGCTATCGCTCAGGTAAATGATAATTCTTGGTCGACAGATTTTGCCTAGGTATTTAAGTTTATACATTATATTGTTGTTAACCACGTACCGCATTTCGTTGAGATACACATATCACAATGTGTCAGATGTTGCTCACTTGATTTCACACATGCTTCTCCACAATAAGTTGTCAAACAACTAGCATCTACAACTTCAACGTACTTTAATTCAAACTCTGCAAATTTAACTTCTTGCATTTCTGTCACTTTTCTCGGCTTTACTGCTCTGATTTCGCGTCCGGAAGCACAGAAGACTAAAAATAGAACATATTTCCACAAAATGGAAAACATATAGCAAGAAAGAAACTATTCGAAGGAAAGAATCGAAAGTTTTCGAAACGATGAATAACTAGTAGATTTTAAGCACAGTTGTTTCTATATAAGCATGAGTAAATAATAACGTATATACGCAGCAATTTGCTTACCCCCAGAAATTGAGAGAAGAAGAATACAAAATGGGAAACCCATCTTCATGCAGGAAGAGCCTATATATTCGTTATTCTCGAATACTTAATTTACCTCGCTTTTATGCTGAACAGTTTTAGGTAATTACCCTTAGGGCTGCGCTTTGAATCATAGAAATTTGGGAAAAAAGACATTTTATATATTTGCACTTGCGTTAATTAATGACCCCCCAAATCTAATCGTCAATCAGATAATAAATCGTTGAGGCAGAGCTTGTACAAATATCTAAAGTCATTTGCGATGCATTTGCGCTATTTAGATAAGATATGACCATATAATTACAGTTACCGGAGTAATGAATCGTAGTTTAGAAGTCAACATAAATGATGTAATATGTTGAATTTGGAAAATTACCTGCAGAATACTGCAGACTATAACATATTATTGCTCCACTCTCGACGCTGCAGTAGGCCTACCTCAGTGTAATGAAATAGAATTTCCTTCTAATTTATAATGTAGTCTATGGAAATGTAGCAAACATTTATTTTAGTACTGTTCTCACAAAAAAAGATAATACTCTCAAGTAAGGATCCGGAACTTGTCCATGGTAAAATACCGCACAAACTAAGGCAGTCAGGTTTGACATTTAAATGATTATCATACATCTAATGCAATTTTTATTGGATATATAAATACATACTCATTGTTTGGTGAATTTAAACCATATCTATAACGGAACTAACAATAACTGTTGTCAAACTACGTAGAGCAGGGGTGTCAAACTTGCGGCCCCAGAGAGCTTCCAATGCGGCCCTCGAACGCTTAACAATAATTGTAGTATTTTGCACGTATTTTTATTATCCAAATGTAATACATTTTTCTAACATTTTGAAGTGAAATTGATTATTCACACAGAAAACGACAATTTACTGAAAGTAGATTTGAAAAATTAAAATTTTTCTGTATTCAATCTGACCCAATTATGGATACACCTTAAACTAGCAAAAGAATACTTGAAAAAAAAAAAACTTCAGGATTTAAATGAAACGCAAAGTACATGGAGAAGATGGCATTTTTGAAGAAAAATGGGAGTTGCAATATTTCTCAAAATTCTAAAGCACATTTTTTAATTTGTCACATTTCCATCAGTACAAAGAATCAATATATATAAGTAGACATTATCAGAATAAGCTCAGAAGTCAATATGGCAAATTTTAAGACAATTCGAACTGAAATTTTTTAAGTGTTGTATATTATCATAATTATACAACTACCTAGTTACTAAAAATTAATATTTATCATAACCCAAACGATTTTATGCCACGTAAAGGTAGGAAATGTCTGGTATGGAAGTCAGTCATTCTGGTATGGAAGTTGTCATTTTACAAATGATGAACGTAATATTTTTGCATTACTGTAATTAAATAAAACATTCTCAACGATCCAGATTAACCGATGATCATGTGACCTCGTTAATTAGAGTTGGTACTGTAAAATCATTTCAGCCTGATATTAGTAAGCTGGTGGCACAAAAGAGATGCCAAACGTCAGTACATATATAGTAAAAAAAACATTGAGTATATCTGTAGTATTCCTATAAATATTAGGTCTATATATATAGATTAAGTCATTTTCCGTATATGTATTATTGTTTCCTTATGCTTATCGAAACTCTGTTCAAAACTTTTTTGGATAGTTGTACAAGTTTATGATTTTTTGCGATAAATGCAGTAAATTAAAATAATAGTAAAATGCAAAAATTAATGTGTAAATGGCATTTGAAATTTAAGAAAATACCAAAACTTCATTCGGCTGTTCAATTGCATCACAATATATGTCACGAACTACACCTATCTAAAAATATGCTTTAGGTATACATTATCAAAATATATCAAAAACTGTTTGCGGCCCTTTGCACAATTCCCAAAATGCAATGCGGCGTCGTAGAGAATCATGTATATTCCGTTTCGAATTATTTTTCGACATTTTTGTTCCAGCATGTGACTAAACAGTAAAATATCGGCAGTTCATTATCACGTGATAGAGGTGAGAGGAGCTTTATTAATAATTATTAATAATATGCGACTGAAGGGTGACAGCCTCATAGTCAAGTTTATTATTTGCATAGTTTTGATTAATATCATTCAGTGAAGAAACGAGGCTATCCCTTTTTCGATAAAGCTGACAGTCAATCTTGGCCCCCAACTCTGATCCATGAGTAGGGTTTCGTTTTCATTCAACACTGGGTCTGTTTTGAACCAATTGTTATTTCTTTTATGAAATAACCATATATATAGCAATGAAAAATATTTTTAGTCCCAAGTATATATCAGCTCTCTATTTTTGGGCCTGGTCAATCCCAAACGCGAAACTATAACCAGCCTTCATGCAATATCATTTTCACATTAATTCACCACTGCCTCAAAATGATCTAACACACATTGAACTTTGGCAAGATGTAGTCATTTGACTTTCAAAGCATTTACTGCAAACACTAGTGCATAGCCGCATTGCCGAGCCCTCTACAACCTTGGTGAAGCGTGTTTGGGCATACTGGTGGTGCCCATCGTGTATGATCGTCTAGTACAGTGGTTCTCAACCTTTTTTCGTTCGTGGCCCATTTTCGTTGCCCAAAAATTCTTGTGGCCCATCAACTTTTATTGCAAGGGGATAACTACAAGAAAAATCAAGATCTTTCTGCGAAAATGAACACTTCAACGTTTATAATTATTACAGGATTTACCCTCAGTAGCAGAAAACAGCATCGTCATTGATTGCAGCTCCAATCAAAATTAACTATTGTGACATAAATAAAACTAGCAATTTTTAATAGTTCTGTGGCCCACCTTAAAATATTTCTGCCGTGGCCATTAGCACATAGCAAGTTTGAATATTTTGAATTAGAGTGATATCTTAGAATAAAACCTCAACTATATATATATATCCTCACACCGGTGGTCGTTGAACATGGAAACACTATAGCGTCGAAACCATTGTCCTAGAAGGGTATGTATAATGAGGACGGGGCATTTCATCCTTTCATTAATTTCGACTGAGATGAATTAGATACCAGATGAATGAAAATGAACAATTACCAAAAAATGTTTGTAAACCGATGATAATAGTCTATGACACCGGCTATAAAATGGTGTACTTGTGACATTACACTTTACTGAACTAGATCAGACGATTATAATTTAGTCCAAGTGAAGCTGTTTATTTTGTAGATTTTGCGTACATGCTGTCGTTGGAATATATCGCAAATCACCTCTAATGAAAGCAGCAATTGCGGCGGTTCAAAGATCCGAGTTTATTGTCACAAAAACACGACCAAATGTACAATTTTGAAACAATAACATAAGAAAAAATATACCGACAAATACCATCACGTCCAACTCTTGTGTTAAACAGGTAAACTACAAGCAACATTAACAACTCCTAAATTTTATCCTAAATTTTTATTGCAGCTCTTGTTGGTCTTTGATAAGGCAATGTAAAGATATCATATTTTGTCGTCATCAATATGCTACAGCACCCGGCTTCTCATTTTATTCTTCTCGTCGAGAAAACAAACGGAAAAATCCGACGTCTGCAAAATAAATAACATTGTACGAATGTTACCTGGGTAAACATTTAGTGCATGTGTATACTCATTTGTATGTAGACGATAAACAGCATAATGCTAGATTAAATAAATGTTTAGAAATATTCAACTTGCGCGCGTCACACGGTATCCTATAAATCCTTATGGCTCCTCACGTTTCCGTATTTTATTTATACTCTATCGTTGTTGTTTCTTTGTTGTTCATTATTGTATGTTATAAACCCATGAGTGACTGGATAGTCTTTCGCGACTTCTCATCAATTGCGAAACATTGTGTGTCTTTGTTTTATTTTGTTATTATTACTATTTGTTGACAATGTTTCATGTATGACGAAATAGAATATTTGAATCTGAAACTTACTGCTACAGCGCCTTCTACAGTGTTTGCAGACTATCCCGTCAATAAAGACGTTGCATTTTCTGCAGATTTTAATAGCTTCACACGCGCATTTGCTGGTGAGTGTACCTTAAAAAGAAGATAAGTAAATAAGATTCGTTTGACTCAGACAAAAAGAAATGTTTTAAAAGTGTTTTTCATTATGTTGCCATTCGTTTTTAACTCAAAGAAGAAAAAGAAAACTTCCTATGCTTACTGAATTTCATTGTTGTAAAACTTGTACATCTTGAGTGGTTTCAGTAGTATATAGCAATGAAGTATAGTATATAAACTTAGCGCAAAAAATCAACTAAATTTTGACCAAAGTGTCCAGCCCCGAAAGCTTTATTACTTTTTTTAATCACGACATTGGTGTTATTTGAAATTCGACAACTGTGTAATAATTATTGTGAGATGAAATTGTATTTCATGAATGCCATTGCTTTTTATCGTGTTTACTTTCATTTAATTACTAAATACATAAATACTTACTACCGCAAGTTGATCTAACGCAAATTCTACATGTTCTGGTAATGAATGATTTGTTGTGTTCAATACAGTTATCGACGCATTCACCGACGATTTTGCTTGGTTTCGTGGTAGTTGTTGGGGGCGGGGTAGTTGTTCTCTGGAACCACCACCGAAAAGGAAATCTTGTTTGTCTGTCGGGTCGGGTGAATCTTGAGAATGGTAATTCGGTGGTTTGTTTGCTTGATTCTGGTTCAACTGTACTTGTTCTGGTGAAATATTTTGTTGTTGTTTTCGGCCTCTGGGTTGTAAATCTACCGATATATTGTGGAGTTGTGCCCTTTGTAGTTAGTTCTGTGTAAAAGGTTGACGTTCTGCCTTGTGGTTGCGTAGTTGTTTTCTTTGTTGGAATATAATGAGTAGATGATGAAACATATTCATTGTCCGTGGTTACGTACGTCATTGTTGATGGTTGCTTATCCGTGCATTTTACTGTTGACTTTTCAACTGCTGGAGCATTTGGTATACCTGTACTGTCAGGTGGGGTAGGTGTTTGAGCAATACTTATTTTTGTTGAAAATGGCGACCTCGTCATCTTCACAGCACCTGTAGTTGAATGGCTATCAAGTGTAGTTGTTGGGATAACGGTTGTGTGAGGTTGTGACGTAGATCTACTGTCAAGGTCCTGTGTTGTCATGACAGCGTTGCTGACAGTCGTCGGAGAATAAGTTTTTGCTACAGGTCTCTCGTCATCCATGTTTGTGGTTGTCTCTTCACTGCTTTCAGCAAGGGATTCTTGAGTTGTAATCAAAATGTTTGTACCTGTATAGTATTCTGCTGTACTAGAAGTAGTAGATGGCTTTTCGATACTGACAATGGTTGAAGGTGAGTCAAACTTCGACGGGATTTGTGTTGTTACATTTGTTGTCATATATATCACGTTTGTATTAGTCGTGTTCGAATTTTCAGAACTCGTTACAATTGGAACGACTGCTTCCTGTTGATGTGTAGTGGCGATATGATACGGACTTGCTGTGGACGAAACGATGACTGTTGTCGATTTCGGCGTTGATTTTTCGAGCCTTATGGCGGTTGATGTTTTCAACGTAGTCGTGCTTTCCTGCTCAAATGTGGTCCCGGTAATATTATCGCCAACTGTTGTTTCTTGTGTCGTGGCACTACTTTTAATTTCAATTGAGGCAGCCGTACTCATATCCGTGGCGATGCCGGTTGTGATATCAATGGTGGATTCCGTTGTCATATCAGTGGTGGATTCCGTTGTCATATCAGTGGTGGATTCCGTTGTCATATCAGTAGTGACGTCGGTCGTCATATCAGTGGTGAAGTCAGTTGTCATATCAGTGGTGAAAACAGTTGTCATATCAGTGGTGAAAACAGTTGTCATATCAGTTGTGAAGTCAGTTGTCATATCAGTGGTGGAAACAGTTGTCATATCAGTTGTGAAGTCAGTTGTCATATCAGTGGTGAAAACAGTTGTCATATCAGTTGTGACATCGGTTTCCATTTCTGTCGTAGCAGGTTTCATAGTCGCCGAATCTGAAATAGATGCAGGATGAAAAAATGTACAGTTTCGATTTCATAATAAGACAATTCACTCACTAAATTACACAAAGCAATACAGTCATAAGCATTTTGGAACCGATGCCTAACGAATAGACAATATATTAGTATATATCAGATGAAAATCAGAATCAAATAACATTGTGTTTTGAATAATGTAATCAATAAGTTGTGGAACATGATAAATATGATTAAAGAATGACCTGGTGAAAAGCATTGCTCGATGCAATTCTCGCACACCTCAAATTGATTTCTATCTTCTGCATTCACATCTGAACAACTTGCACATCTACTACGAGAATTCACCAGACATATTCTGTCTTTGTTTCCTGAAAAATTAAAAGTACTTTATTGTGCTTTTAAAAAGTGAGTTAATTTCAGAAAATCCACATTCAAATTTAATCATGGTCCAAGGAAATTTTCAAAAAATGTTATTCAATATGAATCCTGTGGAGATTCCTGACAAATCTAGTAGTCTAATGAGAGATGCATATTACAGCTCGATTTATTTGGCCTTAAAATAAGTGAACTTTTGTTGTCATAAGTACGGAACAGTGAATTGTACACACACATATATATATATATACATAAGCATATATTTCGCTATAGGAGTTTGATTTAAAGTTGAGAGATCTATTTTAACGCTTTCTGTTCGAACTTACCATCACATTCGTATAACAGACAGCTCTGACAATCAGCATCCAGGTTTAAAAATGTTGTCGATACTTTGTCCAAATGAGGACAAGATCCGTCGTTTACGCAAGATTGCAAACATTCATGTACATCGCCGACTGATATACTTGTCCCCATCAAAACACACGCCGCTAAAAATAAAATTATTCTAAGTAAAGTATAATTATTTATGGGCAAAATATTAAACTTTAAAAAGCTGTATATGGTCAGAATGTGTTCCATCTAGTATTATGTTATATCAATGGATGATATATATAGGTGAATATAAAGTTTTGACGAATGTGATGAATCCTTTTTTTATAAAACCTACTACTAAAATTATGTAATATTTCTTATATACATATCCATTTCAAGTGAAAATTAAGTTATCCTCGCGTAATCATAGGTAAATAAATCATAAATAGTTGTGGAGTAGCATTAGAAGTCACAAAACGCAAGAAGTCGCGTATTTACTGCTTCCAGCATGCAGTAAAAACTTGTTAAGGATGGAGATAAAAACTATACGTAAGACCATTTCGTGTCTACAAATACAATAATAAACAAGCTCAGCACATAAAACAAAGACTTCAAAGCGAAATTGTACTCAGTAAAGAGGCGAATTTCAATTATAATAAATAAAAATTCGAGTTAAAAATGTTACTATTTTCAAGCAAAGCGTGTTGAACGAAAACAAGTTATTGCTTCTCACAAACAAACAATGGGACGCTACTCGAATTCAAGTCTTAGTGTTCATTTAAAAATTAGATTACCTATTTTTTTATCACTTATAAATGTTATTGTGACCCGTCAGCGGCCACTGACAATCAAATGGCTGATGTCTACTTCTTTAACGTGACACATACGTCAGTAGACAGTAGGGGTCGGAGAACCTACCGCATTTATAAAGAAACACTTCTTCTAGTTGCTGTGAAGCCACAATAATAAACTTACATAAGAAAAACAATCTGGTCGCTCTGTATGTGTCCATTTTCTTCTTGGCGTAACATATAATGCAATCCGCCTCTCACTGTGAAAGGTTCCAAACTATGGGAACTATGCAAGAAAATTACCAGCAACTCAAAAGAACACCTTTTTTCCAATGTCGGGTTATCAATAGTGGATAGCTTTGATTCGGCTTACGCAAGAAAACATTTAGAGTTTACAAAATTAATTATACACACATACGATGCAGAGAATATGAATGCATTTCAAATTGCTATAATTAGGCTTTTGTTAAACAAGAATCAATGGGAAATTTCGTCATGTAAATACAGAGTTGATCCAAAATCCGCACTGCTCATTTTCAGCTTTAGTTTAATTGCCCGGGGACATTTGGTGTTCAATTGCAAATGCTGCACAATAATCACCCTTATTAATAATAATAAGATATTTATAAAAATGTAAGTGGTGTTTGCTTGGTGGAGTTGCTGCCACATCTTGAAGCGCTAGAAATTTCCTGAAACCTGCTGTCCGCAATATCGCTGTACATGCTGTTTACATGTTCATCAACGCTATATACATACGAAGTTATGGTAATCGTAATCATATATTCATCCATATTCCTAATTGCGCATTTGATATAATTATATTGGGTGCTGTAATATCATAGCGAGAAAATTTTTGGTACTTTTAAGCATTGCTCAAACCAAACTAAGATTTCCGATTGTGCTGAAAATTCTCAATTACCTAATATTATCAATCAGTTTTACCGTGGAAAAGAAAGACTCGACTCGAGAAAAACACGTAACTAATTTAAATCCAAGGATACAAAGTACAAAATTACTGTTAAAGTTTTTATACTCGCCCAAATAGCAATTCAATTGTATAATATGCTTGATTAGATGAACACAAACCCTATATTCGGACAGGAATTTAGAAAAGACAAACACTTCAGCGGATCTCAGTTTTATACCTCTAATATAACACATGAATAGTGTTGTCGAACTGAAAAATCTTTGTGCCCAACTAAATTTTTCGAATATTGTCATTAAAACTCAAATATGAGTTTTATTGAAGCTTCCCAAACTGGAGGTCGAAACACAATGAACACAATTAAATATATATCGTAACTGAAATAAACCAAGAAACCTATGCCTGGAAAATCTATTATTACGTAACAGACTTTTCTTATAATGAAATATGTGCTCATTGGATCTTGATTTCGTTTATTACATAAAATCAGTATGTTCCCCAGCTTTTCTTTTTAGGGGGGGTGTTTCAAAATTTAGGGGGTGGTAAATAATTTGCTATTAGAGATAAAACTAGGCTATTTGTATTCTTAAAAAAATGGAATGTATTTAAGAAACGATGTACATGGGGGCCCTCCAAGTTGATTGACGGCAAGCCAAAATCCACAGCAGAATGAAATTGTAGGGCCAAAAAAGGGGAGCGAGTAAAAGTGCGGGACGACACGGCTGGGGTTCAGGGCGCGCTTAAGCGCCCTGAGAAAATTTTGAGAAATAGGCACCAAAATAGGCTCTAAGCTTGATTTTAGATACACCTAGCATCGCAGTTTGTTATGTAATGAAATCAATAATTATAATATTTAGCTGATAGAATTCCCGGGGAATAGATAACAAGCACGGCTTTCAACCGTAAATATGTACTCCTACGTTTCAACAAGTAATTTGCAACTGATAGTGACTAATGAATTAAGTTACTTGCTCATCTGGCATTGTATGAATGGCTACTTATGGCTTGTTTTGTTACACATTTCTAATTTTTTTGAACAGGTTTGTTTGACTTTTGTATGAATTAAATTTTGAAATACGCTCGTCAACTGATCATAATGTCGCATAATGTTGTATTCCTTCAGAGCTGAAATATTTTGTTGGTAAGAAGACAAATCGCTGAAGTTTGATTCTTTTCAATAAAGATATTAAAAACGCTGTCATTCATCTAAAAAACGTCTGTTTTCAGTGCCTAGTTTTCGTTTTGTGACATCTTCAAGCTTTCTTAATATACGGCTGATATCTAAAATACCGCAGTGTGTTATCCTAATACCCATACGTATACATAAGATACCGGTATAATTCAATTGTTACGAAATAAACATGCATAAACTGTGATAATGATGTAACAATAGACGGTATCTAAAACTCAAAAGGTACCACATGAAGGATTAAACCATTTCACTCAAGTTCGGCGGGCCATTTTAAATCGTCACGCGGGCCGTAATTGCGGTTTAGAACCCCTCAGTGTGGAATCGCACCTCAAAATTAGGAGGGGGGGGGGGGTGTTTGAAATTTTAGGGGGGGTGTTCACCCCCTATAGGGGGGGGGGGGGGAATCACTGCATAAAATATGCCAAAATATTCAAAAATGAAAATGGGAAACAGCAATTTGACGCGGAACATCCAAAGATCTTTCACAGAACACCAGTGTTTTGCGGTCACCTGTTGAAAACCATCGTAACTAGGGGACCCGTATACAATGAAAGCAAATATTACATGTCAATAGTCATCAGTACAGTGGCGGCGCGTGGTCATTTTGACAACCGGGGCAAGCTACTGCGGGACCAAGTCACCCCCATCTACGGGGACAGGATGAGCGCTGTAAGTTCTCCCATCATTTTATGAGTATAAAAACCATTCCATCGGTAACAACCAATCGGCAAAAGCGACAATTTTTAACGATAAGAAAGTGTCTTTAAAACCGGTCCAAGTCAAGGGATTAATAAATATAGACATAGTTTATTTTGAAACCTCTTTCAAAAGGAAAGGCAATATTTACCCAGATAAATACAATGACATATTAACAGAAACTTCGGGAAAGCAGACAAAACCTAAAATAAGGTTTAAAACGTTACTATGAAGAAAGGAAAGGTAATGCAAAGATAAGGACATGCGTCGCTCACTCATAGATATACGACGCTCAACAATTCGCGTCATTGCGAAGTTGGAAAAGACAAAAAAAAACGGTTCGCACCAGTTTGGTTGACACTTTTGGCTTGTGAAAGGTGAGTGCCAAAATGGTGCCAAGGCTGTTGACTGAGGAGCAGAAAGCTCAACGATTAAATGTTGCCCAGTTGACATGCATTTTTCCAAGTTTGACACAAAATTTAATGTTAATTCATTGCTCAATCGTCATTCTGCAATTGAACCCCCTATCGCCAAAAAACTCAATCAGATCTCGCACGGCAATTTTTTTTTCAACAAGCAATTAATCACATTCACCTATGGCTCCTAAAGAGCAAAAATAATTGCGATATTGTGTCAAAAAAGCTGTTGAACAAAGAACACATATTACACCACACTGTAAAAGTGTTGATTACCAATGGTTAATCGTGTTGCGCAATCTGTGACGTCAGTCTCGTTTCTTTTTAGCCACACCTCGTATATGCTGCTAGACTTCTACTGCTTGAACATATATGCAACACGCCGCGGTTTCTTGGAAGCAAAATGCTCAATAACGCGCTGATTAAAGTCATGCATCTCAGAAATAACGTCTCTGTGAATGGATAAAACAGCCAAGGAATTTAATCTATCTTGCTTCATTGTGTTTCGGAGATACGTTTTAATACGCTTCAGCGTGCTGAATGTTCGCTCTGCGTCGGCGGAAGAAATAGGCGTCGTCAAAATGATGTCCAGGAATTTTGCAGACGCCGCAAAGGTAGTTACTAGAGTGTTATCTATGAGGAACCCATAGAGCGCGCAAGTTGATGTGATGTTCAAAAAAGTTTGATTGGTGTATATACATCGCAATTAATTTTCCAATTTACCCACGTTTATCATGGGGTAAAATTTGGAGACAGTAGCCAACAAATGGATGGGAAATTGACGTGCAAATTTTGAAAATTTGTTGGGGTTCATCAAAAGAACGCGGCAAGGTGTTCAGTGCGCAAACGATCGCCTATTTGATTCACCAGAATGTCACAGCATTCCTTTGCAGACAAAATCAAACGCTGCGTTGTTTGCCCGCGGCGTAAAGAAGCATTCCATGTGTCGTCGTATTTTATTGTTTCCCGGATACGAGATACAGCATCGCAGAAGTCTGAAATACACGACTGCACAGACGCTCCATCCATTAGCCTTGACTGCAATGCGCCGTATAATACATCCACGTGATAGAATATTGTGGAGAAAAAAAGCGAGAAAAAATGAAAACTCACCATCTTCTAGCAGACGCTTTAGACCTGCCGCCTCCCTCACAGAGCGTTCGTCCCAAACCGGAGAGCTCTGAATGCCACTGAAACACTCAATGAGCTCAGACCTAATTTCTGACACGCCCTGCACCACGCGTGATTGGAAGTTCCAACGTGTTGGTGCACAAGCTGGGAGACGGCGGCTACATATCTGGCGAAGGAGGTCAGAGCGCTTCGGCGAAACGAAAAAAAATGAAGAAAACCCCGAAACATTTGCAAAAAATATACGGACGAGAGGGGTATCAAGACACATATTTTTAATAACGAGGTTAAATTGGTGTGCATAACAATGCAAAAAATGCGCATGAGGAAAATCTTCTTTTATATAAACTTGAACACCAAGTTTCGACCCACTCATGACTGCCGCGTCGTCATAAGTTTGAGCTATCAATTTTGACTTCGCGTTGTAAGGCTGTAACACTTCTTTCAGTACAGATGTCCCTTTCGAAACAGTTGCGGCATCAAGAATATCAATACTGTATCTAGGGATGCGGTGTATTCCACCATATCCAAAAATACCCCTCTATTAGAAGAGCCAGCCCGTTCATCGTGCCCACAGAGGGACAGCCCGTGACAACCAATGAACTTCGAAACATCTATCAATCGACCGAGAACATGGCGGTTTTTGTCGACGTTTTGGTTGTGCCGACGAATAGAAACCGCGCGTCCTTCATCCAACTGTGCTGCAATATTAACATTTCCGAATGTTCAGTATTTTACTGCATTGTCCAGATGCTCCATAGAAGATTGATGATCCCTGGCACGCTCGGAAAGATGTTTAAGATCTCTAAAACCAAATTTACACCAACGTGAGTCACGGGCGGTAGCAAAAAGTAGGCAATAAAAACAAAAAAGTGCATTTTTGTCCTCGCTGTAACACAACCATTCGTGTTTTTTATACCAAGTTTCTGCGCAGAATGTACGCCGACGCTTTCCACCGTCATGGGATTGTTCCAGTGAACAATTTTTTGGTTGATAAGGCCCAAGACGTTGTACCTCTAATTTCTGTTCCAGCGGCAGCTGCGAAAACGGAGTGCGAAGTAGTGCATCAACCTTATTCATTATGAGGTCTAAGGCTAAGAAATGCGAAGCCGGAAAGAAGTGAGGAGCTCAAAAGGAATGTGGAAAATCGAAAGCAAATGGACTAAAGGTCTCTAACTGATTCAAATAGCGAAACAAGCGACAAAAACGAAGGCGAGGAAACTATCAACTCTTCAAGCAACCAACGAACGAGAAGGAATGCGTGAATATGTCAACACGTTGTTGTAAGAAACGTCGGCATTGTGTCGTCATAATTTCGGGGCTAGCCCCGATCGGCCCCGATGTTTTAGTAAAAGAAACAGAAAACAAACGAGACAAACGCGGCGAGTGAAAGATAAAAGAGAGAATACGATATACAATGAGCAACCGGGGCAAAATCGGCGTCGCCCCGTCGACGTTCGGCGAAGGCTTTGCGAGCGAAAAATGAACCATGTTGGGAGAATATGGCTAGTGTATACAGTCTGTGGTCCCATGATGCGCAACTCCGGCATTTTTGTCCGAAGATCGTATTCGATAGCACGCTCCAATGCACATACTTGACGAGACGAAAACGAGCGGATGTGTGCTGCTTTCAAGGCGTAGCACGAATGGTGTTCGTGCCTGCTTTGGCAGTTGTTGTCGATTTTAATGATATTTTGGAAAGTTAAGGTAAAAAGAAATCGGAAAAAGGTAAGGTAAATACTATTGTTGTATATCACACCCGGGCATCGCACTGTTAAGTACATGTGGGAAAGTCAGCCTTTGTCAAATACTACGAAGTTATTAATTCAGTACGGTACGTGGTTGCCCATTTGCCGAAATTACATATTTACTTACCCCTTATGGTTTCAAATAGTTCATGCACCTCCAGTTAGATTTTTTTAATCAGTGAGGATATATACTCATTGTTGATTGCTGCTCATTGTAACATACTATTGCGCATTCACTTTTATTTGCGTATTGAATCAAAGTGTTAACAAGTTCACCTAACATTTCACTCATACCGGTCTATATTGTATAGTCTGATCTCTCATGTATTTGGAGCCACGAATGCTTGTAATTTTCTGACTAAACCCTTTTATTAGTTGGTTTATATACCAAATTCAGTAAAATATTTTTTACATAAAACATGAGATATTGGATTTATTAGCTTTTCCATTCTAAATCATATAGACTGCTTTATTTATTCTTAACGAAAAATTAATAAATCATCTCTTTCTTCAGATGTGAAAGTTGTGGACAAACCTGTCTAAGCATTGTAAGACTCTTGCAGCACAAGAGGCAATAACAGAAATAGTAAGTATATCAATCAAGAAATTAAGCCGACATAAAGCAAAACTTTCAACTATTCTTCTAATCACAATTTCCTATTATTTATTCACAGGACAACTATAGCAGAAGGGGAGATATCAGAAGTCTTGCGACATATCAGTGACATGCAAAGACATTTGACCCTCCGGTAGAGTTGTGTATGGCCCCTACATCCTGCAGGGCTTGAGGAAAATAACTAAAAATTGCAAAGCGTAAAATTACATACTCGGTCTTATTTGTAAAAAGGCACAAAACACGCCAGACATACTTAAAACAGCTTTGGAAAATGAGGATTACGGGTAACTCACTGCACCTGTGTTATATTTGGTTCATCAACTTTTGGTAGTACTATGGAAGAAATTCCGGAAGGGGTATAATCATCATTCATGATAAAATACTATCATATATTTTTTGGACAACTTCAATCTAGACCAGAGATCTCAAACTCGCGGCCCCCAGAGAACTTCCAGTGCGGCCCTCGAACGCTTAACAATAATTGTAATAGTATTTTGGAAGTTTTTTTTTATCTAAATGTAATAGATTTTTCAAACCTTTTAAAGTGAAATTGATTATTCACACAGAAAACAATTTACTGAAAGTAGTTTTGGAATATTAATTTTTTATGTCCACATTTTGACCCAATTAAGAATACACATCAAGCTTGCAAAAGAATACTTGAATAAACACTTGAGTGATTAAATTAAACGCAAAGTACATGAAGAAGGTGGCCTTTTCGAAGAAAATGGGAGTTGTAACATTTCTGCTTTTCACAAAATTCTGAAGCACATTGTTTAATTTGTCATATTTCCATCAATACAATAAAAAAACACAATAAGCTCAGCAGTCAATATGACAAATTCGAAGACCAATTTCGAACAGAAAATTTCCATGTGCTTGTATATTAATATAATTATACAACGACTTAGTTACTAAAAATCAATATCAATATTAATTCAAGCAATCCTATGCCACGCAATGTGGTGCGAAATGTCTTGTCGAAAAAATCTGTCATTTGTTTTTTTACTGATCTATACATGAAATGATAAAAGTAACTTTTTTGCATTACTGGAATTAATTAAACATTCGCAAAGATCCAGATTAACCCATGATCATGTGGCCTCGTTAGTTAGAGTTGGTACTATAAAATCATTTCAGCCTGGCCTTAGTATGCTGGTGACACAAAAAAGATGCCAAACGTCAGGACAAATGTAATTATTAAAACATTGAGCTTATACTGTAGTATTTTTGTTAATTTTAGGTTCATATATTTAGATTAAGTCATTTTCAGTGTATGTATTATTCTTTCCTTTTTCAAAGCTTGTTCAAAAATGATTTTGATGGTTGTACATAGAATTTTATGATTTTTCATAATAAATACAGTAACTTGCAAATGTAATTGCATTTGAAATTGAAGAAAATAATAAAACTTAATCCAACTGTTTAGTTGCATCACAATATATGTCACAAACTAAAACTATCTTAAAAATATCTTTAATACATTATCAAAAACTGTTTGCGGCTCTTTTTACAATTTCCAAAATGCAATGCGGCTCTCGAAAACCCATAACTTTGACACCACTGATCTATTCTAGACGATTCAAGAATTGCTTTGGGAAATAATATCACTTCAATTAAATTGAAATAATCTCGCTATATTAAATACAAAATCGTTGCTATCATAAAGGTAAACCAATTCAGCCACTCGAAATATATTGGCCTTCACAAAGTAATGGAGGCAAAATTGAGAGTTCATGAGCTATGAACATTTGTTCTTTTCTTTGTCTTGAACTTTTCATACTCCACAGCCCCGCCCCTATTAATTTTTTTTTAATTTTAATTACCATGTGATGGTCATACATATCTTTAACTTGTATTTTCTGTCACGATGTATTATCTCAATGTGCCAAACTATTAACTAGTGTGCATATTTTGCTCCCAGATGACATAACTGTATTGTCTTGTTTATTACCTCAGCTTGGTATATTGACAAGAAAAACGTACCAGTAAATTAGATAAAAAAAAATTTAACTCTTTGTTATAATCAGAATTCACAATCAATAGGAATTATAAACAGCCAACAATCAATGAGAATTATATGCGAAATCCCTCATAATAAATTTGTCTAAAATAGGTAGTTTCCATCCACACAAGCATTTCAAGAAGACTTGCTCGAGCCAAACTAAATGAGCATCGTCAGGTGGTCGGTAAGGCTGCAAGTTGAATTCAGCCCTGCAACCTACCGCATAGAAGATAATATTAATTAGTGGGCTATGAGCTAAATTCCTAAATTCAAACAAACCTATCTACGGTGCATTATGTACCAGCAATGTTACCTACGATTAACTGAATATGTAATATGTCTAATAAATTCACCTACAAAAGCAAGTTCGATAGGTGCAAACTTTGTGTTATGGAATTGTATCACAGCATAGTTTTGTATGACACCCTCTTTAAATGAAATTTCAATGATTAAGCGCAAACATTTAAATTACTAACTTTGAACTTTGTCATAATCTGCAAAATGTTCCACACAAATCTTTCCGCTATCGCGTTTGTAATCTTCTCTGATGAAAAAACGTCTATGATGTCCAGAATTGCTCTTTACAGCTTGCCTGCCATTCCAGCTTTCCAAGTGAGCAAAACTTCTTAGATATAGAGATTATTTTGTTTCGTTACAGGCGCAAAAAGACAGGTACTACACGTAAAAAAGACGCCGAGTAGCAAAAGCGAGCGGAAAACGGACGCAAAAGGCGACGAGAAATATGTGCATTGGAGCGTATCATGAAATACAATCTTTCGCCTGTAGTCTTATGAAGTGACGTCAGAGTTGCCTATCATGTTGTTTAATGTCATTGGTGCAACCGATATTGAGGTATTTTTCGAATATTTTTTATTATACCGCAAAAACAACCGGGGCATTGCCCCGGTTGGCCCTATTGACGCGCCGCCACTGATCAGTATATAGTCATAGTCAATATATTTATTGTGGTTAATAAAATCCGTATACGTGATAAACTCGCTTTCGTCAGTTCTAATCGGTTGACCTACTAAATCTTTCTCCATGCGTCGCGAAGCTTTCAGGACTTGCCGAGCGTGACGTGAAAACAGCTGACTGGCCGAACCGTCAAAACAAAGCGAGGGCTATAGAAAACAAAGGGTGTTTGCTCTCGGTTTGTAGCGTCGATGATTTTCCAGTGTTTGTAGAGCGTGTTCTGGAAATTTTTTTCTTTTTATGTGCGCGATATGTTTTGTCTTACGTCGTTGCTAGTGGAATAGAATATTCTCGAAAGATTTTACGAACATTGCCAAGCCAAAATCATCTGTTGTTTTTGTTTATTTCACTTTATAATACTGTAGTAAGGTAAAAAGCTAAGATACGGCAAGGCCTAAGTTAAGGGTCTCGTGTAGTCAGGTCTGCAGGTAGAGATAGGTAACAGTTGTTAGGGTTAATTTAAAACACATCAGGGAAGAAAAATTATTTTCTTGCAAGTCTTGAGTTTATTGAAACTTTTGTGAGGAATATCTCAATACTGCAGTAGATCTGAAAATATGGCCGATAATGTTGCATCCAAGACAAATGAAGAAGAAAATCAGAATGAAACAGATGTGGATACTGGTAAGTCCAGAAGTCTGTTAGTGGTAGATACTGTTATAATACTGTAATACTGTAGGTACCATGCGTATGTTAAAGACATCACAAATTTAACAATCAATCTCATGTTAATTGTCAGTCCACATTTTTTCTTTGAAATTTTAATAATATTCAACCGAGTTGATCTATGAAATGTCGAATATCTGAATACAGGAAGAAGTCAGGTTCATTTCATATTTTTCTATATGTAAAACTAGTTCAATATTCCGGCGGACATTACTGGTTTGCCAACCTTTTGATTGCATTATGGCAGTATTGTATGGCGGTATGGTATTTTTAGGTGTAACAAAGCGTTCTCGAGAAGTTACCGTTACAAAGAATATGTCACCGAATTCTGATAAAACACACAGCAAAGCAATTGACGTCACCAAAGCTACTACAGGTCTGTATTTTACTTTTGATAATGTTAGTTTGAAAAATTGTAATTGATTTGTGCAAGCTTGGATTCAACAATTACAAGAAAACCTGCATTTTTTTACAATTTCAATTTGGTTTGTAACTGCTTTAACATTAATTACTAGTAACTGATTGGGTTTAAAAAGCAACTTCATCCATGTTCAATATTCTGTTATTATAATATATTATACTATTTGGATCAATGTTCTAGTCCAGGGCTACTCACCTATTTTTATCGAAGATCCGCATGCAAAACTTCAAAAATATTTGGGTCCGGTCTTTCCAGAAATTAGATTTCAGCACCCTTAAACACGCACTCCCTCTGCTGACTAGTGGTTATTAGCTAATCAAGTCTGTTTATTATTGTGTTATAGGTATTTTCATATATATTTAAATCTATAAAAGTGATTTTATAGAAGGAAACTTCAAAAATGCGGTTAATAATTCAAAATAAAGAATTAGGCGCGGTCCGAATCGAATAAGGTCGAAAGAATTCGGACCGCGGTTCGCCAGTTTTGTAGCCCTGGTCTAGTTCTAGTCCAGTGGTTCTTAAAGTATGGGTCGCGACCCAAACATGGGTCGCGGAAGGTTTAAAAATGGGTCGCGACAAGGTCGTCAATGCAAGGGCAATCTAAGAGGAGATGGACGAATTTTCAGCTTTCCCAATGTTTCAATTTAGCTTTTAAATTCTGTTATTTAAAAATAATGGAATACAAAATTTCAACGGAAAGAACTGTCTTGAGCTCATTGTTACATCACAATTCTGATATGCCAGTCATGTGTATTATTTTTATGGTATCGGTAACCATGCACGTCGCTTGTCGTTGTGTTGACCGCGTGGAATGTCGTCTTAGTGGATTAAAATACCCAAAAATGGGTGTCTTTTTGGTAATGTAAATTGTAATAGACGACGCAATGAAGAAGCTCGCTTCTCGACATTAGATTATTCAATATCTAGAGAAAATGTGACTTCATCTCGAGGCACCATTTACCGCGAACGAAGCAGTGTGTGCACATTTGATGAGTAAAAAGTTGTATATTGCGAGAGATACCGAAGGCCAGCTAGGATGTCGTGTTTGCGACGAACAGCGGACGCCTTTTCTGCTACAATTCGCGACAAGGCACTTGTGCGAGCGAGGATATTTGGCACTGACGGTTATCAAAACTAAGCTCGCAATCGCCTCGATACCCGTGACAACTTGCGTATTGCGTTAGGTAAAATAGAGCTGTGTATTGAAGATATAATGAAAAGGAAATTTCAGTTTCATCAATCTCACTGAGTCAATGGACTGTTTCTAATAAATAGTTGTCTGTATTTGAGTCAAACTGTAGTAACATTAAAAACACATTTTGCGTTATTTAGGATTGGGTCGCGAGTATTCATAAAACTCAGATTTGGGTCGCGCTCGAAAAAGTTTAAGAACCACTGTTCTAGTCTATTATTATGTATAAAGTATGCTATGAGTACTCTTAGTTGATAATAAATAGCTTATTGAAGTTGAATCATATCGAATTGCTGTCAGCTATTATGCAGCAAAACAAGGTTTTACTTGTTGTAAAGATACTTCTATCATTAAGAATGAGTGGTTTGATGTATTGATATTGATTACCTTTTTGAATGTGGTTTGGCATTTATTTGAAATTGAATGAACCGGAAATGACCAGTTTATACAGGATTAAATTACTGGATTTATACAGGGTGGCTATATTGTATTAATTAAGTTAATTTGCATTTGTAGGAATTTCTATTTTATATCCAACTATTGTTATATTTATCCTTCTTTCCAACTCCCTTTGGGAAGTTTTAAAATGCTATCATTGCTATGGTAAAGAGACAGTAATAAATTATTTGCTTATTGTGTGTGATATTAATCATTTTGGAATGCGTTTATTAATATAATAATATCGCTAATATTGTATTATCTTTATTATTTCAGGAAGTTACGAAAACGCCCAACAGGATGACTCACCAAGCAGTAAGTCAGATAAGCATATGCAGTATGTGCGACAAATATTTGTAAAATTGTTTGTTCACATTTTCAATCATGTAGAATCTTAACTTTTGAATGCAAATTAAGTACAACTACTCAAAGATTGATATTTAAATATTTATTGTATCTCACTAGAGCATTGGTAAAATGACTGCAGTTGGACACAGAGGCTTGTGTAATAAATTTTCTCATTTGGCATTAACCAAACAAGTAATATCCTTGTCACACAACTCTGATTTTGATAGAATATATTCGTGAATTTCAGCATCTCCACCCCGAAAAAAAATAATTTCGACATTAAAAGAAAAACTGGCAAATGAAGATATAGCCTACAGAATGAAACTGGCTCATGAAATTGCAGTGGATAAGGATTTCAGATTGTCAGAGTCGTCTGTTGATTCAACGTCACCTCCACTTTATGACAAGTCGCCTGAAGCTAACAAAAGTAATCTCAACTTTAGTAAAATAATTGATTTATTGCATATACATACTACTGTTTATATACTCGGAGATCTGTACAATTAGAGCAGTCGGCATTTAATTCCTAATATTATGTCTGTAAATAAACATAGGCCTATCTATAGAATTTACTGACACAACGAAATTCAGCACGGAAACCACTGTGCAAAAGTACATAATTGGCACAGTCTTCTATCCGGGTTCTTTTGATGTTAGCTTGTTAGGTGAGTTTCATGAATGTCTGGGTCATAAGAGAAAAGTCTGTCAAATAATATGCTATCACTGACTGAAGAGAATATGATTTGAAATTTGGTATGTAATTACATATTTTATTATGACACAGTAAGAATGGAGAAAGCAGTTAAAGATATTGTTCAAAAATCATTTTGGGATTGTGTACGAGTGAGTCTTGAAAGTAATCCGCCGAAATATGACCACGCATTTACACTGTTACAAGAGATCAAAGATATCTTGTTGTCACTTTTACCCGCAAACAGAGTGACTTCATTCCATAAAAGGTATGTTTGTTGCTTTGTAATTTGATATTATGTTTACTGAGGATGTCCAGATTCAAATTCTACATTATTTTGGAATTCTTCTTTGCAACAAATTACATTCTAATTACCTGGAAGAAATCTGTTCACCAACAAAATTATGATGTGTTATAATGTTTTGTAAATTTTGACATGGATTATGATCTTTTACACTTTTTCAAATACAAATTTTGAAATTGGTATCAACTGAATTCTTTGGATATTGCTTATGTAGTTCACACACTAATCAGTTGTTAATGTATGTTGCTTTGGGTTCATAATAGAACGATTTTTTATTCACAAAATGATGATAAAAAATTTCAAAGTAATTTTATTATATGCAAAATCAAAATGATTTTATAATTTAGAATACAGGAATATATGGACATAGAATTATTCCAACAACAAGCACAAAATGATGTATTGGATGTGAAGGGTATAGCATTATTTATCATTGACACAATGGCAGCAATTTGTGCACCTGTTCGAGATGACCAGGTTGTCGCACTGAGATCAATAGAGGATGTTGTTGACATGTTTAGGTAATGGCTGCAATAGTTTTCAGTTTTAAATTTGGAATTTTCCCTTGTATATACAAAATAACTTACGGTATGTTTGTCATAAGAAAATGTGACATTATATTATACTGTACGAGATTTGAAGATTGAAATTTACATCTTTAGCCATGATATTATAGTAGATTCAATCATTCAAGATATATTAATGTATACTAGGAATTTTATTTGAAAATTTGATGACATTTTAGTAGATAATTGATGCAATTTATTTTAATTTATCACAGGGAAATCCACAAAGCTTTAGATTTGATGAAGATTGATTTAGCGAATCACGCAATAAAGTCAATACAACCACATATTCAACAACAACAATTTGAATATGAACGTTCACAATTTGCTGCTCTGGTTCAGGAATCACCAGGTATGTTTTTACTGTAAAGCATTGAATGCAATTGTTTTAAAATCCACTTGAAATTCAACTTTGTCTTTTCAAATTTGTCTTCAGCTAGAATTGATTAAAAATGTAATGATTTTGTATGATACGAAGTATCTTAATGTAGCGTTTTTTATCAGGTAATAGGTTACATTTTTGTGTGGCCTAGTGTAATGTGATTAGCATGCAATATGGAATCTATAACCCTTTCGCAATTTATTTACTACATCTGAGATATATCCTTATATCCCTCAAGCATTGGAGTGTTAGCTAGCCTGACGATGTTCCAATTTTGATATAGCCTACATCATTGGAAAAAACAGAGGCCAATAATTTGCATTTCATTTCAGCTCAATGTCACATAATATTGAATGCTTGATTCAAGTTTTTAACCACGATTAACTTATGAAAACTTAGAGGTCGATCGATTCTTGAAGATAATTTTGAAATCTTGTACCTGGGTATAGTACATACAAGAAATTGTATAGAATTTAAACAGTATTTACTAATGTGTAATTTATTTAGATGGGTTGAAGAAAACACGGAAATGGCTAACTATGACGTATGGTGAATTACGTGAAAGCTTGGATCAACTCGAGTCTACATTAAATCTCAAGTAATTTGCACAATATTTGCACTGTTGTAAAAAATTTGAATGTCTGAATATAAATATTTCAGTTTGTGTACTGAATGCATTTATTCAACATGAAGAATAATCAACAAATTTGAATTGATTTAATAATAATTATTATTCGAAAAATCATGTAAAGTTAAATTATATTTGAAGCTTGTGCTTTGTAAAAAAATATACCTTAGTTCAGTTGGAGTGGTGAGTGAAATTAAATCCTGTATTTTAGAAAATTGATGATTCAATTAGCTTTTGCCATTCAACTAATCTTTTAGTCTGTAAAAATCTTTGATAGACTATTTTCAGTATGTTTTTCGTTGTTTCTAATTTTATATTCAAACTTGTCTCAGTTCTATAGAAGAAAAGCAAATATTTGAGCAGAAGAAAAAGTCAGCTTTGTCACCACTATCTGTTTTAAAAGCATCATTCACCACTCTGATATCACCAGACTTCAAACCAGAAAATATCCCAGAGGTACTGCCAAGTGCCAACTATCTGATTTGTTTTGTTTTGATATGCAAATTCTCACCCAAAACCAAATTTGAAATCAGATCTTGTATATACATATACACACAAGAACTTTAATCTTTGACTTCATGTACTAAATTTCTGAAATCCAATATGAAGGTATGCCGCTCATGGGAAATTACCTGCTGTCTATTTGTTGTTATATACACACCCTTGAAAAATTATTGGTTTGTTGTTCCCAAGTGTCAATTTTTCTTCTGAGATGGACCTCAGCGAAATTTAGCATTTTTACCTCACTGGTAAGGTATAGAAGTAATCTGTCTGGCTGGCAGGTAAAATTTTAAAAACAGCTTGCTTATAAGATGAATAATTATATAATTTTATTATTATTTAAGACTCTTGAAATGGATCAGAAAAGAATAGAATCAATTCAACGTCAAGTAAATCAGTTAGTTCTTGTGTCAACTATCATGATTACCAGTTGTGGAGTGTTTGGCCAACCGCTTGCCTCGCATCAGAAATTTCTCAACCGAATAAAAATGATTTTGATTACATTAACAGCAGATGTTTCCGATCAGAAATTGTAAGTTGTAGTTAAATAGTAAGTCACATATAAGATTGTTTATGACGTGATTGCAACCCAATTGAGAAAAATTGTATGATTTATTTGAAATTTTGACTGTTTTATCAGGAAAGACACATTAGATGGGATTTCTATTCAATGTTGGAAGGAAGCAGTGACTTATGCGGAAGGAAAAGGGTCAGAAATTGGAAGATGTGTTTCAGATGAAAAAGAGTCTTTCCTGAAAAATAAAATCATCGAACTTGAAGCTTTGCACACACATCCTGTCTACAGAGTACTCTGTGAGTTGATTGAATGTTTTTGCTGTTCTAAAACGAAGCTTGCAATAGAATGCTTGCAATATTGCTTCAAAATCTGATTTTTCACACTACCGTCAATTTTTCCCAATATTTCGACAAGAGAATGCTAGAATAGAGTTCTTTTTAAAATATATATGAAACCACCACTCTGACTTTTTCAATACTAATGTATCTAATGGGCTGATATTGAGAATGTGGGCAGTAAAATTCCGTACCTTCTTCTATGCCAGGGGTCACCAAACTTTTTTTGACTGCGGGCCAGGTATGACTCAAACTGTGTTGAAACAGGCCTGACAAATATTTTTGTCAATGCAATACAATAAATTCCCAAAAGTTGGAAAATCCATTCAATTTATTCAACAATATAAATTTCACATTTCTGAAGTCTTGAAATATAAAATTCTATACAGCAGAATATAGATCAAAAACATCATAGCAAAACAAAAATACAATATGTCTAACAACTATCCCGAGGTTAGCTGTTAACATGACAATTGCTGTCATGAATATCCGCATGTAAGCGGTACAAAAGGTAATGTGACTTGTACTATTAGTGCAAAATGCATGTTCGACGTTTATTTTAGCATGAGAAACGTACACAGCTACTGTTTCGCCGAAAGCACGTGCCACAAGTTTACGAGTGCATCCTTCACAGAAACGCTGCGTCCCGGTCTAGAATTTTAGCCTATTTTATCACAGCTGAAAGGACGCCACAGGCCGGATCCGGCCTGCGGGCATAGTTTGTTCTATGCCATCAGGAACCAATTATGATAAAAATCACTGTATTAAAATAAGCGGTGTCTTATTTTGATATTTTTGATTCCAGCTAGATATCGATGTGTCAGGTTTATCATGATTTATTTTAAATTTGATTTCTGTAAAACAATCAATTATACTTAATTCTAAATTTATTACTAACTAATCAATTTGTGTTTCAGTAATTTCCAACTTCATATTATTCAGATAAACGCACTGTTGAGTATTTACAAAATACTGCCAATACAATTGCCAATCATATATCGACTACTCCTCCTAAACTGTCGGAACCGCCTGCTGGAATTTCTTTCCTGACATCGGAATTGATCAATGTTGCGCTACAATATGCCAAACTTGTGAATCTAAATAGAACGGTTTATGGACCATTTTATGTGCCTATTTTGAAAGAAATATTGGGTGAGATTTTCACTGTTACTGTTGTTTCCAATATAAAATAATAGGTTCCCTAATTTCTAATATTTTTGATAGTTAAATATGATTCATATTTCTCTTATGGTTTATTACTTGTGATAAATATATTTTGTCACTAAAACAGGCAAATGGTGCACCGTGCTAGCTTTGCTCTTTCAGTTTATAACAGGGTTTCTCAATCAGGGCTGTTATCTGGGAGTCACAAGAAAATACTTTCAATGTGTTCTATTCATGACACCACATTGCTTTAGAGTTAGACTAAATAAGCTAATGGAAAGGCCTTAATATCATAACTATGTATTTTTATAGTTGAGCAGGTGTGAGTATCTTTGATAGTTTGGGACCATTATTGTTTTCCAACCTATGGGCACAACCCAGAGCTGGGTCACCAGAAAATTCTTTTGGGTCACTTGTTTTATCAACGAAAACCTAAAAGTTATTGATTTCATTTCCTAGTAATTTTATTGTTTATTTTGTATTCGGTATTAAAGTGTCGGCCCTTGCTTGCCGGACTACACTGTTCAACTCCAATTTCAGGGATCCCAAAATCAAATCCAACTAGTCCAAGAGAAGAATCTAAAAAGCTGCCTGTGAATGGAGACGATCAAGAAAAGCTTGTAACCAATGCCAGAAAAAAACTTAACATGGGAACAAAATTGGCCTTACCAGATAATCAAAAGCCTGAAGGAAAATACAAAGTTACTGGAAGCCTGGAAGATCTTGACTAGGCTGTTTAGGAATGTGGACAGTCGAGTACAAATAGTAGAACACCTGTACACATTCATTTTGGTTATTTTTTTTATTTGATCATGAAAGTTGTTTAGTGACTTTTTACATCACATGTTTTGCAATACAGCTAGCTTTCACTGTTATGGGTCATAAGATTTTTTAGCTTTGTTTGTTTTATGGTCCTTTGTTATATTTCAGTAACTTTCACATCTTCCCTTCTATATGTCAACACCACCATTGAATATTTCAACTTGAAAGCAACCAAGAATGCAAATATAATTGATAATCTTGATTCTTGACCAAGATGATCTTTTTGCCATGCTTGCCATATTTGAGCTTGTAGATATTGTGTTGTCCAGCGCTTTGTTCTCGAGGTATATTCTATTTTTCCAAGGTTTGGAAATTGACTTCATTGTGTTCTTGTATAAATATGATATTTTTTGCACTTTTATGTTATGTTAGGGACGCGATGAAACTATATTTGAAAGGAGAATGCTCAGTCTTAGATATCAATATTTGTATAAGAATTGCACATGATTGAGAAAGTGAATAGCATGCAGTGATAGACTGTCATAAAATGCCTATTTTTGGTATTAATTAAATCTCGACATTTGCTGAAGTATTCATTACCCTATTTAAGGCGGTCTTTGATTGTGTGTGCCAAGAAGCTGGTTTGAAATCACCGACCTGGAAATGGAGCCACTATGTATTCAAACTCAGCTATGGAGCTTCATTCTTTTATGTCAGAGCTGTGCTCCAAGAGGGTTTTAAAGTTTAACTATATAAATTCAACTTAAAACTTCTAAATTGAAATTTATAAAAAATTGTTGGAACGAATAGATGTTATTATTTGTATGAAATATATGGAAATTATAAATGTTAAAAAATAATCAGATGGTTGGGAGCTGGTTCCACTGAAATTTCTGGTAGCTCCGGCTCCATTTAACATGGTATGATTGGCTCCAGCTCCTCCAAAATGCGACAGCTCCGGAGATCCAGGTTGTGTGCTTTATGTTTGTATTAAAAACTTAATTTGTTTCTTGCATGTAGGTTTTAGGGCCATTTTTATAGTATGTGTGATGTTTAGATTTTTGTACTTTATATTCATAAAATAGAAGCATGGTGCCTCTATATATTTTGTTTACTCAGAAATTGTATAAATCATAATTTTTCTTTGAATTGTTTTCTCCCATTTTATGGGCGACTGGTAGAATTATTTAGAATACCTGAAAGTAGTGAAGTGTTTGCCATTTACTTCAATGTTCACAGCCTAATGGAATAAAAATCTTCTACTAGAAATATGCCGGAGTTGAGGTTTGTATTACCATGTGTACAGAAATTCTCTTTAGGTGAATTTTTAGTGTTGCAGCCTGAAAAATGTGTGGTTAGTAGTTTTAATATGCAGCTGCTGTTTTGACGTTGACACCTGGTGATTCCGTGATGTATATGGTGAAGTGAGATGTACACAGCACTGACAGCAGATCTATTGATAAAATATTTTTTATGAAATCGTTGCTCAAAACTGGAGAATATTTTTTCGTGAATATGACTTCACAGCGATAAAACTGACAGATATCTTTTTTTTGCGTATCGCCCAATTGGAATGCGAGAGAGTGCAGAAATGAGAATCTTTTGCATATGAGAGTGGGGTCCCTCCCGAGTCTCGTGATTTTTCAGAAGGCTTAGGAGAAAATATATCTCACTAACTGGGTGCTAAATCTATTTGAGATGTCAGCGTTAGAAGTTCGTCCAGTAAACTAAATGATCCCATTGATGAACAGCTTGTTGTGCGAAGCTTTGCAGGACAGGATTAGGAATATTTCATTGACTCGATGTTCGGTGAGGGTCAAATTCACTGAACCTAGTTTTCAAATTTATGTTGCCAAGGAACTGAAGCCTAAGTGCACAACCAGCTGCAACCCGAAGATGATATTGGATTCGCTTTGACACCATTATTCTTTAATTTTGGCAAACTGGAGAGAGATGTTACGGAGAAGGCATGAGATGTATCAAATATTGAGAAATATTGATATTTCTATAGTTGTTCTAATAAACAAATCAATATTTAACTTTCATGTTTTTAGTCCTTCGCGACTCGTTTTGCTCCTGATATGATTAGCGGTCAAAAACAAAATTGAGAAACACTATTGTAAACGAAGGTAGGTGTTTAGATGTGTTCAAAGATGGTTAGAGTGGCCATCTCTTTTCACTTTGTAAAATTCCCTCCGAGTCTTATAGAGGCCGATGTTCCACTAAAAAATTTTCTGTTTCATTCTAATTCAAGGGGAACACTTTGATTCCATTTTTATGTTTATTATTTCATTCCAACCATGCTTTTCCGCGATAATTTCAGCAAAGCAAACTCTGTGATCTAAGGCCTTGTGTACCGGTACCGATGCGTGGTCCTTCCATTAAATAGAGGGATTTAAATATAGTCTTCTGAATCTAAAACAAATTTCAAAATAGTGGGCGATTTTACTACAATAGTATGCTGATGCAAAATATATAAAACTATACAAAAAAGGCAAATAAAAAATACTGAAACAAGAAAACATACATTAAACATTTACTTATACCTTCTCAATAATATTCACCTATAATACTGTATAAGTAATTTTATATGTAAAACAATATCATCTTGCTCAGCAATTCGTGGGCAGAATTATGATTCCATTTAACTTTTTCCGTTGTTCCTTACTGAAGGTGTAGATGCTAACAATTAGTAGCACCTGAAAGCGTGAGTGTGATTGTTTGATAAATGTGTCATTAACGAGAAAGTGTGTAAAAATCTTTTGTTCATGTTCATTAAAAAAGCATAAAAAAATTCAACAAAAGCGTTCAGTTCGAAAAAAACATAAAATTTGCAAAAAATCGATTATCATCGAATAAATATTATGGCTGTGCCACATAAAAGTTCATGACAATTATAATGCCAATTTACTGCATTTGTATATAATTGTACATAATTTTAGTTGAAGTAATTCATTTGCATTACAATAAAGCAAGGAAATGCTTTGACTTGCATTGCTAAATTCCACAGCAACGTCTAAACCAAAAATTCTGTATCTTTAGTGTATTCAGCAACAACATCTTCGCTATCAGATTCTTCTAATTCTTCGTGAGTGTATCTATTCTCCACGCTTTTGATCTCTGGTGCGCCGCTGACAGGATGATGTATTGACTCTGCGTTGTACATGGCAGAAGTTGCTACGTCGGTGACATCGTAGTGTGTGTTTGTTAATCGATCATATGCAGCCTTGGGTTTGTATTTTGTACGATAAAACCAAACAGCAACACCGAGTACGATTGATACGAAGAACAAACTGACGAGAACAACTGAAAATATATGCAAATGAGATCGAACAAAAATCACGGGTCACTGAGTGCACAACAAAAGACGCCAGTCGTTAAAATTTCACTGCATATATAAAAGAAAATTACTCACTTGTTACCACACTACCAGGATTTCTGTATACTGTCAGCTTTATGTTAATGCTAACAGCTCTTGATATTCCTTCATCGTTGCAACCGGAAGCTTTGCATACGTAGATGCCAGAGTCACTAACCTTCACTTGGGAAATCTGTAATTTTGTGTCGTCTGTGAAACAAGATAATCAAATGAGGGATGAATACAACTCATATATATTGTAACTGAATACACTAAATCGCCAAAACATTTTTTTTACAGAGTTTAGTCGTATTTTTCATGTTTTCCTTTAAGTGGAACGTTTTAAACTTAATATCAATTTTTTTTTCAATTAGTGGGAAATCTTGCTTCAAATTCAATTTATTTTCGTATCGCATTGGACAGGCAGAACTTTTTGTAATAAGTAGGCCATATTTAAAGTTGACCTGCAGAATAATGCAAAAGTTTAGTGTATTCAAACTTGGTATGAACTTTATAAATTTTTTATTTAATGTTTGGGATTCAACTATGTAACGTACTTTTAGATTTAGCCGATGTTGTGGCTGGTTGGTCTGTTCTAGAAATCGTCACAGTTGGATAAGGATAACCTTTTGCTGAACAAGACAGCTCGATGCTCTGCTGCTCTGTCGTCTTAACTTCGTGATCGTGGGATGTGATTTTCACATTGTCACAAAAAAGGGATTCCTCGCTGGGTATCTGTGCCAAACTTATTCCTCTCAGTACATAGGGTGAATGGCATTTAGGAACACTTATTCCATGTCTAAAATACATGAATATATTAAAATATTAGATCATACATTGATTATTTACACCGTCACAGTCAAGAAGGTATTTTAAAAAGCAAGGAGATATCCAAGAAACTAAAACAGTACATTATTCAACTTTTTGTAGATTGGATTGTTTAAATGGCCTCTCTAAAAGCTCTCTAAGAAAACTTTTTCTTGACCAGTACTTCACAGAACTCTATAGTTTAATTTGATTGAAACTTTCTGATTTATTTAAGTTACCAATTAATGGATGAATATTGAAGAAAACAAAAATAATGCCGAAGTCAAAGTTAAGAAAGTGTCAAAGTTTGTAGTTACTCAGATTTTCGCTTGAATTAAATGTAGTGTTTACATATATCAAACGAAAAAGGATCTGCTGCTGATAAAATATTTTGTATAGGAAATATATTTTTTTTCTTTCTAAATTTCATATTTACCTGTCATGCTTTGTAAACCAAGGGTGATTTTTCCCCCAAAGAAAGAATTCTTTCATCCTGCAGTCACATGACCAGGGATTGTCATCCAAATATACAAAATATTCTTTTGCTGTGGTATTAAACGACTCGAGCCAATTCCTAAAATAAAAATAATATATGTAAAAGGTCATACATTCCTTAACTCTTACTAAATTTTCTTTCATTCTAGTATGATGCGTTTATCGGATTAAGAAGCACTGTTCTAGTCTTTAGTATACGATGGTGCTAGCTGCTAGGTAACTCTTCTTCTTTCTAAATACCCCTACGCCGTGTGTCGGTAGATATGCAATGGCATATCTTGAAATCAGTTTTATACTTTACTAACTTTCCGAGCTTTGGTATCACTACGGTTATGAAACACATATTCTTTATATTTTTACACATGAATAATTTTCGACAATTGAGAAAAAAATATATATTTCTCATTTCACCAAATTGCAATATTTAATAATTTAGAAAGAAATCTATTTGAAAACGAAAGGCGGAACGGCATATTCAAACCGATATATTTTTCCAACGTTTTATGTTCGGTATAGAAATTTATTCAAATGCAATTATGAATTTAAAATAATTGAATTTTAATGGATAACAGAAATTGTAAAATGTCGGCAACTTCTTATTCATTGATACTCGCGTATTCTGGTCATTTATTTTTGGACATGCCAGTGGAAATAACGATCGTTTCAATATTATGTTGTTGCTGTTTTTTGACACGTTTTTGAAAAGTCGCTTTTCTCTTTGATTACAGGACCAATTGCTTTGAAATTTTCAGTTGTTAAAGATGGATTTTTTTTCTAGAAGGCTATTACTTTTAATAATTTCAAATGTTCATGTGAGCTTTATGGGATTCGTTTTTATTTTGAGCTATGACGTCTTCAGAATTTGCCCCCACGTGGATATTCCGCAAACACATATTGATCACGTGATAATCGAACAGGTTCCGTGGTCGAGCCTCCTGGTAAGTTACCGTTCCGTACCACAGTGAATTTCAGCGTAACGTGTCCATATATTTGAGCATAGCTCTCTTGTTCAAAATTATTTATTTAAGCTATTGTGAGCGAATGTAAGTTGTAACAATTACTTTTACTCACTTTTCTGGTATTTCAAGATTATTAGATTCCAAATATAATTCTCTGAGATTGGGCGAATGAATAAAAACGTCTTTTCCGAGAAATTCTAATTTGTTATTATTGATCCTCACCACTTCCAGAGTGGTAAGATGGGTGAAAAGATCGGTTTCAATTCTTCGAAGTTGATTGTTTCCAAGATAAATGTTTTGTAATGACGTCAAACGTTTGAATAAATTGACCGAAAGGTATTCGAGACGGTTGTAAGACAAATCAAGATGAGATAACTTCAAATTGTTGTGAAAAGATTCCTCTTCAATTGTTGAAATCTGAAATGAATAAATATATGTTGTCATAGTAACCCATATGTATATATATATATTCGTATTAATAGTTTAACTTTTTTTATAAATTGACATCACCGTCTAAACGCATATTACTTTCGAAAATAATTCATTTTATTTGAAAAATGATAGGTATATCTTTACAAAGTAATTCAAGGTAAAAAAAAAGCGATATGAATGTTATTCTCATTCTCGCCAAGATATGTTTTAATTGGCTCAAAACAAGAAACCTTACCTTATTTTCTCTTAAAGAGAGATAGCTCATGCTCACAAAATTCGTAAAATAAGTTGATTTGATTATAGTGAGATTATTATGATCAAAATAGTAGTATGTCATACTGAGATCAAAAACTACCGCTTTTGGTAAGCTCCAATACTTTTTTAAACTACATGTTAATGTATTTTGCAAACATGTACAGTTTTCAAATTCCGTTGGACAATCCGCCCCTAATGACGAAGTAATGGCACATGCCACAGCAAAGAGCAATAGTATCCCATTCCAAAGAGTGGAATCCATTTTGAAGTTGGATATAATATCAATTGCCGTTTAATAATTATGATTCAAAATTACATCTATAGAAAAATGATACATTATTAATAACTCTACCTTAATCAAAGGATATTTTTCCAACAATGACTTATCTATAACTTCACGTGTAATTATAATGACGAAAGCTTGTTTCAGTTTGCCGAGGCCTTCGGTAAATACGTGCTATACATAGTGAGGAATATAGCTCTCGTTGATTGACATATTGGAGATGTGAGCGATCAGCCGAATAAGTTCTTGATTTATTTATTCGCTCCATTCACATATAGGAAACTACGAACAGCAACTGAATAATCGTCTCTTTCATTCCGCGTAAGGTGCATTTCTATTTAAACGCTTCTAAGATGTGTTCTGTTTATGATTTGTCTTTTTATTTTTCAAGTACTGCTAAGTGAATCATAGTTTTATTCAACAACTATACTCTTAATGTATGATAACTATTATTTGTCCATATTTCTGCCTATTGCAAGCTAACACTGTTGAGAAATCCTGCTATATATCTGCAACGCACTTGATCGTTTCGTACCATCATTTCGCTTATTCATCTGAGCCGTATAGAATTCCTTAAGTTATTTATCTAGAATTCTGCTATAAATATATGAGGCACTTCACTGTGCTGTGCTACACAATCCTTTGCATATATTAGTCCAAACAAAATTTGTAAAATTAATAGAAAATATACTATCGAAATGGTGACCGTACATTTGAACCCACGTACATTTGAACCCATGCGTATATCCACGGGTTCAATCTATATGCGGGTGCTAAAACCCATGGGTTAGGGTTAGTATGGGTTTAACTATCCTTGAAACAAAAAAAATTCCATAGGTGCAATAGCATACAGGTGAAATTGTCATGGGTTCAAATGTACGTGGGTTCAAACGTAATGGAACCTATCGAAACACATTCAATAATTTGCGCAATACGTTATTTGTTACTTGTTATTACTCAGATAGCTATAGACAAAGACGGGTAAACATTTAAGATTTTCTTCATGTAGTCTCAAGAATTGTATTAATGTTTAACTTTTTATTTAACAAAGCACTGAAACAGTCCCGGAATGCTATGCTACAGCGTGGTTGAAGTTAATGTCCGACCTCTGTGTAAAGTAGTGAATGGATGGAACTCAATTTGAAAAATTGGACATGAATTATGCTCCCAATGCAGTTAAATTTCAAACTAAAACCGGGAGTAAGGTGAAGCACATTTACAAATACATTATCCTATAGACATAATCAATTTATATTCGACCTAAACTCATTCAACCCAATACAGCAAACTCCCACCTCTTTAGTTATATTGATAGAGCAATTCACTTCTAATCGCATGCTTGAAGCTTATTCCTCACATTTTTTTTACTAGCGAAGCGATATAACTGCTGACTCCTTTGTTTTTTCGCTCTATCGACGGCAGTTAGACCGTGAAAAGGTAAGACTATTTCCTGTACAAAAGCTTTTGAGAACTACATTAAATAACTTCCGACCAGACATGGACTTCGCTACCTTTTATAATACGTTTTACTGTCAAGCATGGCTGTTCTAGATCGACTAGAGGCAAAGGTATAAAAATATAGCCTGCAGCTACTTGGAATGTCCGTATCGAACCGATGATGCGTAACTTTTACCTGTGGAAAAAACACGTAAATATACTACCCAACAAAAAACACTATGGCATCAAACAGTGGCTTATATATTAATGGAGTGAAATAAATTTGATGACACCTTATAGCATCATGTAGCCACACAAATTGTATTTCAATCGTTTACTGTGGTTTACGACCACACACAAAATTTTCAGTTGTCGAAGTTTCGCGTTGAAGCTTAGCACTATGTTTGTTGGTTGCGATAATAAACTTGTAGTTAGAATACATATTTTTAGAAAATGCTTTGCAGCTTTGTTTCGAGATAGGTTTAGTACAAACATTTACTGAAGCTAAATATCTCTATGAATTTTGAACGGGATGATATTCAATAACCCTCCGGGAGTAATTAAATAAAAATTCTAAATTTGACGTGATCTGTGATAGAATTTATGCAGTGGCCAAATCTTGCACCACTTTGTTTTGAAATATTAACGCTAATCAAACTAAATTTCACCACTACCGAAGATTGCAACTCTTAAAACTCCATTGATTTTCTCGATAGTATCGGAAATATATATATATATATATATCGGTGTCTAAGCAATTTCTACGATAAAACAAGTAACTGATATCTGTGTATTGGTGGAGACGGATGATGCATTGTGCAACACAAATGGGGCTTCTGGCAGAAGTTGCATGGTGGGTGAGGTGGGTAGATTCACGAGTCCACAAGTTGATTCCACCAGCGTCGGTCAGAACTGTTAATGTCCACTCGCAAACGATCCTTATCAGAAATATTGGTGAGTGGGGTGGGCGACTGGGTTAAACTAATAAGATTTCATATATTCCGTTCAGACCGTCGCAAATAGATATATATATATATATACGATACATGGTATGATGAAATGAATACAGGGGAAGATTGAGGTTGGATTTATTTATTAATAATATTCGAAACGTAAGCTCGGCCGTACATAAGACAAACAAATTCCGACGCAATTGTTATCAGTTCCATGGTTAGTCCGAATTAGTACCAAAGATTAAAAAAAACATCGTCGCGTTCAGTAAAATCGAGGACATGGTTTCATCTTTTCGTATACAAGAAGAATTATGAAAACGTAATTTCACATAATAGTAATAATAATAAAGATGAGAATAAGATGAAAAAAAGTAACAGTAATTGAAGGCATAAAATCCCGAAATAGTTATTGACAGACAGACCAGATTGGCATTATAAAGTTTGTTTACTATATCGAATACCTTAATGAGTCGAGAATCGTTTGCCATCGCGTAATTCTTAATTATTGTTACTGAGAATCATCGATAATTATCTTTATTGGCATGTAGGCTACCCCTCATTAATTTCTGAGGTTTTTGTGTATCACCGCTAGTAGGCAGTAGTTTACTGTGTGACTTCGGGTAGGATGTCGAGAGCGTATAACTGCGTAGGGATGGATCATAGACATTTGAAGGGATGCTAAACAGCTTTTTGGAATTGCTTATACTTTGGTTACCGTAACAATGACAGTACACTTGGTTCTGTGTATTACGGTGACCGTACATTTGAACCCACGTACATTTGAACCCATGTGTATATTCACGGGTTTAATCTATATGCGGGTGCTAAAACCCATGGGTTAGGGTTAGTGTGGGTTCAACTATCCGAAAAACAAAAAAAATTCCATAGGTGCAATAGCATACAGGTGCGATTGTCATGGGTTCAAATGTATGTGGGTTCAAATGTAATGGAACCGTGTATTACGTCCAATATTGCCGAATATAGTTGCAATTACATCAATCCGACAATCGCACAACAATTTTGTTGGTGACAATGTTGACTATGTGGAAATCAATCAAAAATAGCAGCTTTTTCGTGGTCTCCGAGAAGAGATGCTCGGGCTGTTACATTAGCATTTGTCCGTGAGTATATACAGCGTATTGATGTCATACTCCACCACGTGAACCTATTGCTTCTTTGAAAATAGATCATAAGTGATCGCCTTTTTTATTCTTTAAAATGAATTTAACTTATTTAAAAAAAATCACATCGTTTAATAGGCCTTGTTCGCTTCGAATAGATGCTTGGGTCATCTTTTCGATCTTAAATGATGTGTCAACAGATCCCATGTTCCTCTCACATTCTTTTATGGATTTTTCAAAATAGTTGTTCCGACAACTGATATATCAATTAAAGAGTACGTGGGCTACCAGTGAGGTGCTAAAGAAGGTTTCATTGTAGATCCAGTACGCATTTCACAATCAGCGCCTGTTGGAACATTCATTCCGAAAGTTTCTAACTTTTAAGTATAGTCAGGTCAACTTGTTGGCTGTTTTCACACTGATCGCACTCATCGCTACGTGCAAGTCGCAAAAAAACATGCTTTTGTATAAGCTGGATATATTCCAAAAGCAACCTCTGTATTCGTCCATAGTGGCAATCAGATGACAAACATATTCCTCGTGCCTCCGGTCATCATCATTATTGTTACGTCTTAGACTGTTGTGTAATTATTGAATTCCATTGATAAGCGTTGCATAATGATTAGTAATCGATGAAGTTGTTACGTGCGATGCGAAGTGCTCGCTGGGGCGCGGTTGTTAATTTATCGTCCTTCGGTGGGTAGTGATGTTTATTTGTGGCACATGTTTGACTATTGTATGCTATAGGATACCGCTAACATGGCAGTGTTATATGAATAAAGCGTGTCAAATATGTGTGGTTTTTGATGATGGTGTAGATCAGGGCATTAGCATCGTTTTTTTCATAGTATTTGAAGCCTTTGTTATTAAATTTCACTGAACCACAAACGCATATATTGTGACATGATAGCAATATGTATGTTTCTCCGAGCATCGACTTACTTGTTTCCTACCCAGATCGGCGACGTAAATTGAAATTTACCCGTCGCCCAGAAACAGCTTTCACCTAGGCAAATTTTCAGGCAAGGTAGTAAACATTGACATGTTTTCGTGGTTTTGTTTGGCATTTGTCCATATTTAGTTGCGTTTCCGACGTTTAGATAGGAATCTAATAACTCCATGTTAATCCTCGGTAACGTGTTGTAGTTTATTCGCAGTAATAAACTTTCGAATGAAAGATGAATGAATATCCTGAATCAAATAAAAACGGAAAACAAATTTGTTCTCGGCCTCCTGCGAAAACACTTTAAAAAAAGCTAGCTAATATTTACAACGGTAAAGTAGATAACAAGTTTCCGACATCAAAACCTCCAAGTAAACAGCGTCCTTTTGATTAGCGAATAATCACTCACAACCAGCGTTGCTTTCTATGGAGTGCGTGATGGTTCATTTTTTACAATCTCTCCTAGTTGCAATCTGCTCAAGGGTTTTCTTGTCTTCGAGATAACCAAATCGCCATTCTGCTCACTTTCCAACGTCATAGATTCGGCAGGAACGTAGAAGTGTAATTTCTCGCACTAACAACCGATTAAAAATTTTGTTATTGGACACGAAATGAATCTCTGAATTGTTTTCTTGAAGTTCTGTGGTCGTTGGGGATTTTCTTGTTGTTGTTTGGAAAAAATCTCGTTTCTCCGTAACAAATTTCAAATTTTCCGTCCTTAGAGATGGCTGAAGTCTTTAGCAGAGTTTTACTTTCATTTTCCTTTTTTGGCAATTCCTGCCGAGTCTTATAGAACCGAATGCTTCACTCAAAATTAATCTTTTGTTTCAATTCATGGAAACACTTTTTTGAATTGTGTATATAAATACTTTATTCTGTCCCACGTGTAGGCCTCACGATTGTCCGTTGATTTTTCAAACGAAGTCGGCTCTCAGCTAGACCAGGGGTTCCCAAACTTTTTCAGCTTGCGGCACACTAACAACAAGATTAAAAAGTCGCGGCACAATTATTCCAAATCAGCTTTATTGAATCCCTTATCCGTTAATATTATGCGTTTCGACAGTAAATAAGATTAAAACGAGAATATAGGTCGGAGACCGAAGACTTATCGATCGAAACTGCGGTTTCGATTCATGACCCATATAGTAACACCGCGTGTCCCATCACTAATTAATTAATAACTTGCTAACTATACGACATGATTCATTCAAAATCAATAAGCTTCTGGACCGAGATATGATGAATGCACATGCAAAATTTGGAGCAGATTCAACCACGCCTTCGTGAGATATCGCGTGTATCTAACAGACAGACAGACAGACAAACAGACAAATACCTATCAACATTCTTACCGATCTAAAGATCGATAAGTAACAAGATTTCGTGGGTCAATTGTAAGAAGTCTTCATCGTTTATAGCTTTTAATTTCTGTCAGCGCAGAACATTAATATATAAAAATGTAAATGGTTGTTGTTGTACTATATATATATTGTATTATATTGCATATGTTGTACTGATATACTGACAGAAAAATCGCATGGCGAAATTTGTGGTAAAATTAAGAACTCGAAATATTTCATGTAAAGACATGAAATGTGAAAAAGTAATATCAAAGTGCCTCTTCAATTTCTTAACGGCGGACAGTTTGAAAAAGATTGTCTAGTTAAAGTCTAGCGACTTTGCATTGAGCAAACTTGCATTGTTGGGTTGGGGTCGAAAACGTATAACGCCGAACCCATACAATATGTTCCAAATCAACTGGGTCCCGTTTTTTGGGTCACTCTGTATAGGTATGGTACCGAACTACACCCATTACTGATTGCAGGATTGCAATGTAATAAAGTTCATATTGCAGTGTTGATTATTGTGAAATGATCTCAGGAATTTGCACACATGCCGCAACACATAGTTTGGGAAATCCTGAGCTAGACAGCAAAGGCCTTGTCTGTACCGGTGCTGATGCGCGACATTCGTGTCCATATATTTGAGCATTGCTCTTGTATATTGTTGAACAATGCATCGGAAGTTTGGTTTGCATGGTAAAATCTATTTTTCAAAAATGACCAAATGACCGGACCCTGGTGATTTTCAAGTTTTGTAAACGAATCTTTGGTGAAAATAGTTGAATAACACCGATATGAAGTACTTAAGGCACATGCAAATAGCACGCTTGAACATCTTTCTTTATTGCTCACAGACGGAGTGTCCACCACAAGCATTGACATTCACACTCTTGTCTTTTAACTTAGTTGAGTGTACTGAAATGACTCTGTTGAATTTGTGCGCGTGCATCGGTTTTAACATATTGTGTTGACAAAACCATCATCAATTCTACGGCCGGAACATGTGCTTCAGTCAAAATATACACAATTTCCACCTTTTTCCATAAACATGCCAACATCCCCACCTTAAGCCATTTACATATAGAAATTTTGCAGCATTGCGAAAAGAATCAATTTTACGGCCAGAACATGTGCTTCTGTCAAAATATATTCAATTTCCACTTTTTTTGATAAACATCCCCACATCCCCACCTGAAGCCATTGACATATAGAAAATTTGCAGCATTGTGAAAAGAATATTATAGCTTTAAGAAAGACTGGCGAGTCGTAAGCCATGAAAACTTTAAATCATCACGAAACAGGACATTATTAATTTCTTCGATTTTGTCAAACCAATCGCTATGGCAAGATTAGAACTGGCTGTCTGTAGCAGGGGAAAGTCATATATATATAACAGGCGAAGCCAACTCCCATAGTTGTGTTCGATCCCAATAGTGATGGTGTTTGTTTTGCCAACTAGAATTAGAAATGCCACAAAAAAGACCTGTACTAATGTATATATAGAGAAGTTAACGTTTAGTGATCTGAATGACTCGGACTTTTCGAGATGCGATAAGTCGTCAATAAGTCAACCACTTTCACTCGCAGCTCTGAGACGATTCTCGATAACCTTCCATGTGCCTCATCGGCTCCAGCCTAATGCCGTGAATAATGTGTAACATTTAACTCGTGAAAGTAATGCTGTTCATACTGTTCATTTTATTACTGCGGATAAACAAGTGACATATATTTAGGTGACAAATCTACATCAAACTTTTCAGACCCGAACTGCTAGAAAGACCGCCATAACATAGTATTTTCTACTTAGTGACGTGAATAAACGTTGCTGGAAATATCTTAGTATTAGTCATGGTATATACAATGTTGTCAAAAAAGGTCAAGACCAGTTGGTTCAACTGATTAATTGAATTATATGCCTGATGATATATATATATATATATATATATAATCACGTAATGTTAGCAAGTTGTTTCAACATCAATGTCAAATAGCTGAGCTGCTTCGGTGTTATGATTTTGTTCTTCTTTTCCAAACCTAATTTGCTTGTCAAACTGAGGAAAAATTGGAAAGAATTTTGCAAACCTGAAATAGAAAGATATCGACTAGGGAACGAGAAATAAAAATTTCATGGTGACAATGGCGAGTGTTCCAGCATTCCAATTTCTGCCAGTGATGTTTTATTAGGAAGAAAGTTTCGATTTTATCATTCCGGCATTATTATGATATCTCAAACATATTTATATAGATTAAAAACACTCGGGTTGATTACAAATTTATTCATAGTCTGACTCAGAGTAAAATATGCCCATAGATATAGTTGAATTATTGTTCAAGGCTGTCCTTAAAGCAGTACGTATATTATTTTAGTATAAACCCGCGAGGATAATATTAATTACCTCCAATTCGTTGAAAATGGCAAGTTATAACTTTCTTTTCCGACTTCAAAATTGTCGTCATCACCTGTTGCATCACCTGAACTTTTTTTCCATGCGATTATGCCACGTTCTTCAAGTGTTCCTGTGTGATAAAATATAATTAGTACATGACTTGCATTGACTTACATAGCGCAATATTTTGCAAACTTGGCCTTGAATTAACTTACTTCGTGTGATAAGAATGTAGTTTCCTATAGTTTAATCAATTAACTATAGGAAAAAAAAATTATGATGATGAAATTATGTTAACCTGGGACGGTATTATCGAGTAAAGCAGCTGAAAAACCTCCGACAAATGTAGCTGTTTCAAGAAGAACCGCGATCGTTTGGTTAAGAAAGACAGCGCCGGTTTCTATCGATCCAGGATTTGCTTTCATCCACTCTGGAATAACCAATCCCATAAAAAGTGAAAATCCAAGAATGTATTGATTCCTGTTGAAACAAGTTTTTATTAAAATATTATATCTGTTTGCTATTCGACCTATCGTGTTGTAAGAGATTTTTAAATTATTTAAACAATCGTAATACGGTAACTATTAAAATCCATTTCTTGCCATTTAGCATTAATAACAGTTCCATTCAATTTAAAAGTAAAATCTTATGCGTATCTACGATAGTTCCAGTTCAGGCCAACACACTTAGAAAGCGTTGTTAATTTTATATCATTCTGAGGTCACGCTGTATTTTCGTATGTGTCCTGGGTCTTGTCAAACAACAATGACAGTTTGTTTTATTTCTTAGGGACGACAATAAACTGCTTTGATCGTGGTAAATATCTTTTCATAAAGTACACAAACAATAAAATATGATATCTGTTTGAAGCACTGTTAAAACCTACCAAACCCCACGGCTACAAAGAAAATTATGTATGGTTCACATAAGATTTAATTTTTTGATGATAAGTATGTTGTCCACACGAACCAACATATTCGCAACTTCGTCATCGAACTGATTATACATAAATGAATGAAATCGCATTTATATTTTTGAACATTATAATTCCAAATCTTGATGCGTCATAAAACTTTAATTCCTATATTATTCATGCCTATTAGCTGATACGGCTACAGTATGATATCAGAATCAGATTAGATCAATATTATAACTACTGAAGCATCCCGACATTTACCTTGGAGAATTCATATCCACAAATTGCAACATTGAGATCCCGACAGCGCCAATCATACCAAATGTAGCACAAAAAATTCCACCTATAATTGGTGTTGGAATCGTCACAAATATTGCTCCAAACTTACAGAAAACTCCCATTAAGGTTAAAATAATTCCTGTTGCAATCAAAACCTGAAAATGAGAATTGTTCACTATTGGTTGATTAGGACTTTGAAGTATAAATCATGCACATTTTTTCTAAAAAACACGAATGAAAATAACATTTACAATAAAAGATACAAATGAACATACTCTGCGACTTGCGACCTTTGTGATTCCTATAGCTGCTATGTTGTTACTGTATGAAGTCGTTCCACTTCCGGACACAAAACCAGCGAAAACACAACCCAAACCTTCCATCATTATTCCTCTAAATATAGGTTACAAGATTGGATGCCTCGATTCGATTGTTATTAGTTTATATAGAAATGATATGACTTCTATATGCATCGGTGTATATATTATATTGGAATTTTAAACGACAATATTATGTCAGATTGCTACACTCCCTAATATCATTAAAACGATCTCATTCTAAGATATTAATATTCGTATTGTCTTTATTATACATTGGTGCCATGGTATTTGTGTATTTCTCTGACTTTCGGTTCAAACGTTACTTATTATACCAGAAAATTTGATTTGATTTCTGACGTACTCCGGAAATTACCAGACTTGTATTCATATATTTTAGAAATGTGAGGAAATTGTGTTTTTTCTGCGTTTTGTACAATGTAATTTTCATTTTAGCAGATGATTCGAAGCTTCTGATTGACGAGATATGACATATGACCGATCTAACTTCCCAAGGGAATGGAAAAGTATTATTCAAGTCTTAAATATTAAGGACTTATTCTTAAATGTCAAATTTTGCACATATCGATTTAATATTATATATTAGTCATACGTCTATCTCTGTAATATATCTTACATGGCCCACCGGTGTTTAATTTGAAAAACACTTATATAACCTAATGTAAAATATACATTGCAGTGAACGACATGAGGCCCGATCACTGCTGGCCATTCAATTAATGCGTTGCTAAATCTTTCTTTTCTGTTCTATGTTTTTTTTGTACCTTTATCATGTTATTTTAATTTAATTGCATCTGAACAAGTGGTCTAGGTCAGTGGTCGTCAAACTTTTTGAGACGCGACCCCATTTCAAAAATTATGACGTATGATAAGCTTGTGACGCCTAGGTATGGCGAAGAAAAAAATATTTCAAACCACTAAAATCTAATCACAGTAAAATCTCATTCCCAAAAACTCTGTCACACGCTTTAGATTTCATGTTACAATTTAATTATTGCCGTCACACACTAGCCTTATTATAAGAGATATCACTGTAATTCAGAATACCCAAAGTTGCTATGTAGTGCTAGTCAGCTCAGTGTAGAATGCACGCAATAGAATAATGAAAAATATAACAAGAATACAACGCCGGACACTCGGCGATCCCCGAAATATTCAAGGCGACTCAACTTGGGGTCGCGACCCACACTTTGATTATTACTGGACACTAGGTTATGCTATACAAAATTTCAAACAGCCACATTTTTAAAATGTAAAATAAATTAAAAAATGAACTAATTAATGGAACCTTGTCACGGCATGAGGTGGTGGGGGAGGTGCTCCAACCAGTTTTGCACAAGCGTAGTAATCTCCAATAGATTCTACAATGCCAGCAAATACCGCAACTGACATTCCAACAAATCCTGCCCCGCTGACGATGGGAAGACCCCAATGTCCAGGATACGGAAAATAAAACCTGAAAATAATAGGACTTTCCTACTGATGCATAACCTTCTAACCAAATTTTATATTTGTTTTATACCAGTGTTGTAAAAATTAATGTTGGGATGAAGCAGTAGGGATATTTGAACATATAAACGATTAAAAAAAAATGTCCGATCATTTTCCGTGTATTAGGTAATTAGTTCAGTTAATCAAAGATTCAAAATTACTGATTTCGTAATATTTCAGGTAGAATTTTCACAAAGCACCAGAAAGCAGTTTTTTAATAAAAGAATCTTCTTCGATCTTCTTTGGCAATATCATAATTTGAATATTCAGACATAAAATTGTAAAATACAAACCATGGGCTATTTTGAACAACGTGTGATTTGGTGTCAGTTCTTGCCGCGTATCCCGGAACAGCTGGATCGTCAGGTAGAACGTTCGTCACTGTAAGTATATGGCAGAGCACATATGCTAGTATGATTGTAACAAGAACCTGTAAAGTATATTAATTAAGATTATTTTCGTAATCATAGCTTTCTAACATTCTATTCTGAAATGAAATTACTTACAGGAAACAGTCCGAAAGGCTTCGTACGTTTGAAATGCCATTTTCTTTTCTTGTCGAACCATGGTATCGGGACTTGAACGTTGTTTAAATATTGCGAGAACAACGTCACTGCAAATATGACACTGAAACATATTCATAACAATTAAGAAAATAATGAATTTACACGTTAAAGATATAGATCTAATTTATTTCATTTTTATAAATGGAATGCCTATTTTCTCCTTACAGCAATGGTCTACTATCGCATTGAACATTCAAATATATTCAATTGCAATTTTTGATACTGCTATTTGGTCCATAAAACATGTTAAATGATTCGGGAAAACTTTGTTGTAAACTTATTGTAAAAAAATTAAACTACAGAAATATGATGTTTTGACGAAAATCTCACAACATTGCAATTCCCCAGTGTCCTTCTGCTTCATGGTAGGCTACAGCAAATAAGTCTAAACCAATCAAAGCAATTGCAGGAGCTATTGTCATCGGACCAACAAATCGTACAATAAAGGTTGTAGCTCCCGTGACGCCAATGAGAAATTCTGTTATCGAAGCAACCGATAACGAGCCTTGTATCTGATAAATAAAATAATATTCAGAGTTTTAAATTTCTACAACCTTGACCAACCAAAAAGAGACAAATTACAGATTGTCATAAATTTGACAAACATAGATTTTGGCAGATAAAAATTTCTCTGTTCTTTTTATCGACTGATATACCTCACGCATACGCCTCTGCCACAGCTCCACGCCATCCACTACGTCGCCATTGGTATCATTGTATAGGAAATGCCCAGTTTCGTTGTTGATGCCAACATTTGTATTTGGGCATTCGTTGTGAGGAAGTGATAGAACGGCTATAACAGGAGCTATCAAAGTAAATGTTGTTCCCTGGACGATTGGAAGTCTTAAATGGAAGTAATAGGGGTTTATAACATAAGCCTGAAAAGCCCTATTGATGAACAAAATATTACTTTACAAATATTAGAGCATGCCTTACTATAATATATCATATGCTAGAAATTTGACTTCGCGTTTTGTTGTATCATTTTTATAGCGTGTGTCTAACATGGGACGTTTAACACCCCCCCACCACTAATGCATTTTACAATCACTTTGATCTACAGAACTAGCAAGATTACCGCATATTCTTGGTTGAGCATTACCCACTCAACTCGTTACACACTCTGGTTGATGTAAGAGAGCTTTGGTGGATCGCTTGAACCTCCTGACATTCACTGTTACTCATGGGGGCTCGCATACTAAGTATAAACCCCTATAAATACTAGTTTCTGTTTGTGTATTTTTTTTTCAAATTTCAACAACACCAGTCTATACATGAGAAGTACCTTGATCCCAAAGTGCATTGCAATATTGTTGATATTCCAGATACAAAATATAATGAGCTTGTAAACATAATCTTAGCCTGATATCCAACATCATCATCAAACATGCACATAGACGGCCCAAACACAATCGGAAGCAAAGCAATCGATGTGGCGCAGAGCAGACAATGCTGTAAATCATGCACAATATTATCGATGATAAATCAGTGTAAATAAAGACAAAAAAAGCAAGAAAATGCAATGTAATGACGATGCAACAAAAAATTTTCCTAAGTTGTACTTGACTAATATAGAATTTCAAAATTTGCTTGTAATTTAAATCCTTCAAATCAAATTAAAGGTATATTTTTGTGCGATATTAATTTTACTTGTTAAGATGGTAATTTGCCAAGATGATAAATCTAACATAAATAATGCCACTCAAATCAGAATTTGCTTGATGGTCGGATATATTTTTATTCTGTATCATTTATTTTTACAGACATACAATATGCAGACAGATTAAACGCATGTAACTTTTACAGTTGTTTACGGTAGGTAACTGATATGTTTTAAAAAAAAAGAGAATTTGAAATAAAATAAAAGAAATATGTAAAGAATTGGCCTTTTGTCACTGTTTAAGTAAACAAACCTGCAATCCTAACCATATGCACATATACCACGACGGGCTATCCTCTAGCCCATACAACAATCGACTTTTCCGAGTTCCTTGTGTAACATTACCGGCTGCTTCTTTTTGCTTGCTATGCTTATTTTCCATATCAAACTTGTGTTATGTCTAGGCTCAAGTTTAGAGTAAGTTTAAAATGTAATCAAATTTGAATCATTACATAATAACTTCATCCAATAAACAATATGGAATCTGTGGAAGTTTGTGAATCAGAATATATATATAGTGATTTAGCATGCTGTCACGTGTGTTTATGTGCATTACTTTTATACGACAAAGTTGCCCAAGTCATAAATCCACAAGTTTCAGTTTCTTACTATACATAGCTATGAAGATTCATTCCTATCTCTCTTACATTCGGAATCACAAGGATCACTGCAATTACGCTGGATCAGTCGTATTGAGATTTGAAAATTTATAAACTCATTGTTTTTGCCTTTCTACATTTCTCACATTTTCTATATCTCTATATTCCATAGGTTTACTGTTTCAATTTCATTTGGATTTTACTACATACAAAGTGAAAAGAAATTAGGCAAATTAAAAGATATCTTAAAGGTAAATTTCTTAGTTTCAAATAGTAGATTTCTCGAATGCATCACCATATTCTGTTGTTTGAAAAAATTATGTCTACCCGGGGAGTTTTAAAATATGCTAGATATTGTATACTTTTCTTTACATCCTCGTCTTATAAAATCTACCAACTGGAACATCACCCAATATAACAAGATAACGAACACTACTCGGCAAATACTTCTGCCATTGCTCTTTTATTTTGACCAAACAATTTGTTTGCATTCAAGAGGCGACCTGGTACGGGGTAATCGTCGTTTTGCAAGAGTCAGCCAACGGTTATAAAATGGTGCAACCATACTTTGGATCCTTATTCTTATTTGAAAGACGGGATCTATCTTGTTAAATAGTTCAAAAGGATATTGACCATTAAATTGTCCGTACTGTCCTCATAAAATGTCCGGGACAACGCCTAAATTAAAGAATAGAGATCTCGCTTGGAAGTCTTGAAATATCAAGCATGGTAAGATGTATCCTGGCTAAGATGTATCCTTGACTAAAAGTGAACAACAGATTTATGTAATGGGGGTATTATGTTAAACGATATAGTAATTTATTAAAATATCCCAGACACAGCTTATCACTTAGCTAATATTTATGCACAGGGTACACAGGAAACACACCGATCAAGACATTGTTGCAAGTCAACGAACTTGTTGATTCGTGGAGGGACGAGAGCAAACAAAAGCAACTACTTTTGTTTGATAGGTTGGCCGAGTAATGGGTGTGTATCATGCACCCAGTGATTGGAAATAGACCTGAGTACGAGAAACGTACTCCATGTTTTATTTCTATATATAATGGCTATATTGTCAAATGATTATTGTAATATTCTATTTCATTTTGCAGAGAAAGTATTCACAAGGACCCGCATTTCTATTCTTGATTCAAAATATTTGCATCGGCTGATAAATTGCCAATGGTGTGAAGGTTTGAGGATCGAGAATGTGTGTTAAAGTCTTATCCTATCGATTTTTATTCACCAATGAATTGAGTTATGCAAGAAGCTCGACCTTACTCGTTCGTACTTGAGCACTCGTTTCAACCTCAATGACCAAAGCTTCAGTTCTGCAAGCTTTAGACAGTTTTATCCGGGCTCTGTCATCTATTGGTAATATTTTGGTAATTTTAAAAAACTTATTAACAATGGTTTTTGTAAGTGGAGCATGATACGAAAACTTTGATACTTTTCTTGCTTCTGTAATTAGGCATCCAGCTATAGTGTAACCTTTGAGACAATTGACGGGCAATTTGGTTGGAAACAAGCTTTCACAATAAAATTACGTCATCGGATTTTAACATCGGCTTGGGCATAATTGAACTATACGAATTCAGAGCTTTATTTTTCGATAACGCAAAGTTGTTGGGCGCTTAGTAAAAAATTTGAAGTATAAGTTTGAAAATATATAAGGAGAAAGCTTCGAAAATTGAAATGGTTATAGGAAATGGGTTTATAAATCTGATAGAACAAAAACAGTTGTTTGAAACCTTTTCAGCTCTTTTAATGATTACCCTGAATATTGTAGACGTCTTTAAATATAAGATAAAGGGTCAATATCTAATATGTAAGCGATTTATATTAGAAACAATGTTCCTCCTGAGAACTGCACACAGTAACCGCCGAATGTGAAGCAATGAAAGTTTGACGGTGAAAATTACATTAATACGGTCCAGCGATTACAATTATCTCATGCTTCACGAGAATCAAAATTGGTAGGTCACGCATTAGTGGATTATAATCGAGAGTTGATGGAATCTAAGAAATGAACTTTAAATAAAAATGCCGGAGACGTTGTTGCCAGATGCGTATGATATTATAAGTAAGATGGGAATCAATATAATGCTGTATAATATTTTATGAGCTAAATATATCAAAAATGGCGGAGCTGTAATTATATTTGAAATCATAAAATATTAGTTTATTTTGACTAAAAGAAGTACAGACAGCGTAGAAATCAATAGATCGTGTGTGTGAAATATAAATAATATCATGATTTCAGGTCTTACAAAGATTTTTTTTTCCGAATTAAGTATAAAGTTTAACAAGCGTTTGGAGACGTAAGATTTGAAATGGATTACATACCAAAGACATTCAATTACTACAAATCTCCAAGTTAAATTCACAAAGCAATTTAACTTTTAAATAACCTAGGGCAGCCTTTTTAGAGTTGGGACCCACTATTTATTACCACAGCTTATGGCGACCAATTTAACTTTAATAAAGTAATGAAACATTGATGGAGGAAACAAATTTATTTTCTCAAATTAAATTTTCAGTGAAGCTACTGAGAACTGGCGATTCATCGTCATTGACATAAACTGACCTTTTTACCCATTTATTCATTATATTAATAGCTAGGTAATATAAAGATAAAGTTACAACTGCTTCTAAATAAAGTCAAAACTACAACTGCCAGTTGCAGCGCACCTACACAACCAAATATCCCGTGAATTTCTTTATTTTGAAGTAGGCTACTAGTATTTGATTTCATCAATCCCTGCAAATGGACAACGACGATATCCTCTTCTTTTACCATCAGTGGAGTTGTTCGTCCGAGGCCGAGCCATGATTTGGCCATGATCAAGCGCTAGAGAATCCGCAAATGTGTTGGCGTTGCGATTTTATCAGAAATTTATTTTAACTGTTTGAACCACTGTTATGAATTACCGAAATTATTCTATTATTCCGGTTTTACACCCTGGTCATTGACTTGTTGTGAAGTGTTGTCATCCCCCAAATGTAGTCTACCTCTCTTGTCAAAATTTCTGTATTGGAGTACGCAGCTTAGACATATCTGTTCGGAACATTCTTCAAGACATCATAGACATATAAATTTAACGATATGAAATATACCATAATACATATTTACAAATTTTGAACTTTTTATTGGTTGCATCAAACGTCGAGTAATTGTTAAAGAAAGACGGACTGCTTTTTGGGTTGTCCACTATTATGGTTTATGACTCACAGCGTTTCAAAGGCTTTTGTAACCAATATTAGGGGCTCCCGAAGTATGCGAACCAAGATGGCGGACATCGGAATGTAATATGTGTACCAGGTTAGGGTTAGGCCATAATTTTAGGTATAAATACTACGGGAGGCTCTTGGCTAGTCTTCGAACTGATAATAGGATTAAAATAAGGAAAATTGGAAAAAAATTATCGCCTAACCCTAACCTAGTACACATGTTACGTTCCGATGTCCGCCATCTTGGTTCGCATACTTCGGGAGCACCCAATATTTTTCTGAAAATAAAAAAACATACTATGCCTTACACTAACCACGGTAGTAAAGTATTCAACGTATAATAACTAATAATGTTTGCACATATCTTTGCACATTTTTCTATAACAGTTGGAATCAATACAGAGATGGAATTATTTGTTGCATTTTTTAAATGCTCCTTCTATATATAGGCATTTTAATTATACATAAAAGTAGAAAATCAACAATTGTGTATTTTGGTGTTATTTTGTGTATATACTTGTAATCTGATTATAATATCGTGTTTTTTGTATTTGCTTACTTTATTTTCTGGTGTAACCCGAAGACCAAACACTAACAAACATCTAAAACAAAGAACATTCTGGTGAAGCAGTAAAACCAGGTTTTAGGAATGAAAACTTGGAATGCAGTTGATTGTATTCGAACAAAACCTCGGAATGTTTTGGGTCCGTAACCCGTTCGTTTTCAAAATAAAATGTTCTGGGTAAAATCCAGTTCAGCTATCCGGCAATTGATCGATTTAAAATAAATAAGTTTAAACATTTCAACTAAAAAGAAAATATATTTATGATAATTCAACAAATTTAATTATACACCGTTCTGTCTTATTCTCAACACTTACATCGTAAAGGAGAATGTGTTATCCGCAAAAACGTAAAATACCTCTCCCAGGTTAGGTTTAACCAACGAATTGGATCTAATCGTATATAACTACATGTGCACAAATAAATTATAATAAAGCCATTCTGAAAAATTATTCAAAATATTCACAAATAAACGTGCATAACCCTCAGCTATTACAACTTGAAGTTTACATGCAAATTCAGCTATTTTATCAATATTTAAGTACAATGACAAACACAACACAGAGAATGTTGGGTAAATCACCAAAATAAAATAATAAGAATATATAAAATAGCAATTGTAAATAGTAAATATAACGTCAATCGTGAAACGCAGCAGTGTTTCAAATATCAACAGAATAGCGCGAGACGATATGATGTTATATCACTTTAATGTAATTTTTTGTTTAAAAAGGATTAATAATATGGGTGAATAGTTCAGTTTATAATATAAAATCTAATCCTTAATCCGACATGCTGTCTTGACGTATATTCAGTTTTTTCATTTCTGCATTCATGTATTTGACCACTAAACTAACATACAAATCCTGTATTCTACTAGCATCCATTATCGAATAAATAACGTTGCCTCCGACCGTCTTATATGCACAGTTTCTAATATACAAACCATTTAACGCACGATTTAGAAAAATGGAATAGTCAAATTAATACCACCCTAAAATGCAGACTATTCTCAAAAAAAGTTGAAATTACAAAAATTACATAATTTCTGATTCAATACATTTCCGATATTTTGAAGAGCAACACTTACCAAAACGCTTGTGTTGCAAAATAGCATATCGCCACAAATCTGTAAATCTGACATTCTATGAGACCGCTTCATTACAACAGCGTTTTGACTCTTAAAACATTGTTTGAATGTTTACGATTAAGATAACACGTCAAGATATTGTCGGATATCAAAAATACCACAAGCAGTAAAAATGTTCAGGGATCTTTTATATGCGACCATATTCGGTTTAATGTTGTATTAAAAGTCAGCGCAATGCCGATGTGATGATAATATTATTTTCGATTCCGGATAATTTGAAATAGCGGCCAGGTATTCTGTCACGTGTAATATTTCATGAATTTAATAAAAAAAAAATAATGGGTATATACTCAAATGTATTGCTGGGACTTGAGTGTTTTATTTAGTTTTTGTAATTTGTGCACCGGTTAAGGTCTGACAGATTGATACTACATCAGTAAGTAAAAGATGATGTACTATGTTCAGGATGTAGAATGCAAAAATAGTTGTTAGATTATATTGTATAGTTTTCTGGAGAAATATGAATAAGACAAGAATTGGGACGATATTCAAGATATGATATTATATTAGATTCGATATTTGAACACAAAAAATAGTATATTCCATTTGAATTTGTTCATCTATTTTACATTTGTCGTAAATATAATATTTTTTATGTAAAATGTAATGTTATCGACTGTATTGTCCGTAATGGTGTGTTTAAATTATCTAAAATTTGGTTTAGTGATTTTTCTTTATTGGCAGTGCATATGACATTACCAATTAGAAAACAAAGAATTGAAATTGTATGATAAAATAATTTGTAAATCACATGAAATATCATCGAACTTTTTTTCTGAAATTTGCTTGCAACAAATTTGGCAACTATTTATCAAGCATTAATTATCGACAATTATTAATTTACAATGCTTACATATATTTCACACAAGCATGACATGAACGACTCGGTTCGTGAATGAGCAAGTTTTAATCAAGTAATTTGATTGTGAGGAAAATAGCTGAATAACCAAATTAGTGAATCGGAAGCTAAATTTATCAATGATAAGTACTTGTTTTGATTTAGCTTTGAAGAAACACTTTTGTGATGAACTTTTATTAATCCCGAATATTCGAGGCTTTGTCTGTCTGCTTATAGAGATTAATAAAAGATTTAATACATAATATAGTACGATATAATAAATGCTAATTATATTGCCGACACTTTTCCAAACTATCATTAAGAAGATTAAGCAGATTAGAAACACTGTATGAAAAACGCATAAAATTAATGTCATTTCGCGAATATCCCTGCATGATGATTTTTATTTTCTTTGTAAGAGGCATTGATTAGAATTGTTTTCAATTACTAACTGAATATTCAACAATTAATGATTTTTTTGTATAGCATGCGTCAAATTATTAACAGTCTAAAGTCAATCGTTTAATCTGTATTTAATGAGCTAGAGCAACTTCATTACGTTGTCTGCATTTCATTCATGTTTATGTACGAGTGACAACTATTTATGTTCTGTTGTTTTCAAATGCCTCCCAAAATTCAGATTCAAGATGATTTTATATTGGCCAAGAATTTAATCCTCTTTGTGGCGGACGTTAAATGCCAAATAATTAATCAGTTATTTACCAGAAAATATTACAGGAAAGGATATCGGGATTTAGTAAGAAGTAAAATAGAATGCATTGTTAGCTAACAAATTTCCCCAATATTTCATCGTTCTTGATCTGGACCAATTTGACTAATAATCTACTTCATAGTGTTGAATATTCATTACAACAAAATGGGCTTCAAGAATATTATTTTATGAAGCAATGCTAATTTTGCATAGAACCAATCAATAATATGAAAATAGGGAAACAAAAACAGTTCAATATTAACCATATAATCAAGACAGAAATATATCGTGCACTTTTCAATAATTTATTATCAAAAATTTAGGTTACAAGTGCCTACCTAGCCGTCAAAATCAATTTTTATTTTCAATATTCCCGCTAGGCATATTAGCTTAAAAAATACCATTCGGGTTATCCATATTTAATCAGTGATTCGTTGTGTCACATCACCACCAAAATTAAATACATCCTAAAAACATAAAGCATGTCAAATACAAATCCTAATCACCAATAACCTGCGTCGAATAATAATTGGCAAATATAATCCGTCGACATTTTTAACAATTCCACATGTCTGCTCTCATTCCCGTTAATTACATAATATTATTTATTTTCGTAGAAATATTCCATTGGCGTCTTAGTAAATCAATATTACCTGACTGTATATATATATGTTCGTCATCTCAGAAAAGCAGTCACACTTGAGACTTCCGAACTGGTAACTCGGTAGGAACGCAAGGAAGTTAGAAATGAAATGTTATATTGGTAGATTGTGCAAAGGAATGTCAGACCTTTCTTCAGAATAATTATTTCGTCCTAAAAATTAACCCAGGAACTAGAAATCACTACAAGAGTTTTTATACGTAAGTCTATTTTGGGGTTATGAAGTATTTGTAAAATGATATAAAACTGGATACAATTGAAAATGAGGCGAATGGTAACCAATAACGTACGCTAATATGAATACTGAAGAATGGCATATTACGTGGCCAAATTATTTTGTGTTATTATAACCAGACATGCATCACGTGCATGTGTAGTTTTAAAAAACAAACATTCGAGTATAGTTTATCACAGTGTTTACCAACCTATGAGTCGCGACCCAGAGCTGGGTCGCCTGAAAATACTTTTGGGTGACTTGTTTTTCAACAAAAACCTAAAAGTTGTTGATTTTTATATTTTTGTGAGTTTTTTTTGTTCATTTTGTATTTGGTATTGAAGTGTTGCTATATACTAATTGCATTATGTGAGTAGTATCACAGCGTAAAAACTTGAGTAAAGGCACGCAACGATTTCAAAAAAAAAAACGCTGTAACAATCGAATAATAATTTTGAAATAATGAACTAAATAATAAGGAAATAAATTTTCTATAAAAATGATTTTTTATATTTTGTATTGATAATTTAATTTTTAGACCCTAGGGCCTAGAAGACTATTATGCTGTTTAGTATTTTAACATTTCCTTGGGTCGCGAGATTTGACGAAATTTATTTATTTCAAAATTTGGGTCGCTTGGGAACAACTGGTTTATCAGACAACTAGAGAAACAAAGTGAGATCAGTCGCCAATTGGAAATTCTTAGTCAACGACATATAAATAGAACGCGGTTTTATCACCCGCGTGTGTCAGAATTATTTTCATTAATTCTATGAGCATTATCGTTTTTGTTTCATCATGTTAAGTTGTATTCTTTGAAGATTTAGTCCAATGTTAAAGAGAGATGCACCCATTTCAAATTTCTGGAGACACCTGGAAGCTTTCTGAGCAATATTAATGTCAGCCACATGTATACGCCAAAAACGAATTTTGGCCTTGCCTTAAGGTCATCTACACGTGCAAAGTTTTATGAAGATTTTGTTATTGAAATTTAATTGAAGTGCGGTAACTGTGACGCAAAATTGCTAACAACAAAACAACATATAGTCGATGGTAAACAGTGTGATTACAGCATTATTTTTTTTTATCATTTTGCAGACTATTTGAACAATATTAGCTCCAGGGAGTGATATTGCGGTGAATATGAAGTGCGCCGAAGGGGGCAGAAAGATAACATTCCTGCATATTTCCCAACATCTTGTAGCAGTTCAGAAAACGATGAATAAAAATACCAACTTCTTCAAATCTTTAAGCGCAATCAAACGCACTCAATGTCCCGACCATACAAATACAAACATATGCAGCCAAAGTCGCATGAGGCGCGAAAACAACAGAGTATCAGCAAAGAAGGGGATAGTAATAACAATTTTAATTATAATTGCTTCAATTGAATGTCTTTCCTGTAATATACTGTCGATATTTCCAAAAGCTGAGGCTGAGCAACTCTGCGGGGCAAAACTGGTGGATGCTTTACGATTTCTTTGCGGCGAAAGGGGAATATATAATCCAGTAGTGAAGGGTAAGGTTTTATTCATTCATACTTTATGATTTATAACGTTACAGATATCCAAATTATTTGTTTTATTTGGTGGTCGGAACAGCCACAACCCAAACAGTGGTGTGATGGATTGTAGAATTTATGTAGAGGCTGCGTAAATAGGATATTTTTAACCGCAACGAAGATTACTTTTAGGAGAATAACTTCATGCTTTAAACTAAGGTTTATTACGACGGAACATAACACAACGTTTTCTAACGCGATATGAAGCAGTGTTTAGATTTGGAATAGCTTGGAAACACTGTTCCATCACATTGTTACAAATTAAAACGAACTTAATTATACTTGCTATTCTGTAGTTCAATCATCTTATTAAAAATCATCTTTATATGAAGTTCTACCCTTCAAATAACTGAACTGAGATGACATTAAATTGCAAATATCTCATATTTGCCGACACGTTAAGAATGCGACGTGACCTTTAAATCTTTAAAATATTAATAAATTTATTTATATATTTTAATTATTGAGTCATTATAGTTTCCAGATTGTTATTATGAGTTATATGAAGGATTTCAAACGTATCCAATTAATGTGGCCGCGAATTAGAGTGAATTAAAATTAATAAGTTACTTATGTCACAAAGATATTCAGTATATTTTGTCAGTTTTTCATTACAATGCCAAAAGTTGACAATATTTAATATATACGTATTGCCTTATATACGATGGAACAATAATCTAGGCCAGATTTTACATGAAATCATAAAATATTTCTGATGTACATTGATTTTACTGATGCACATAAGATGAACAGTTGTTTGCAGCTCGCCTTTAAGAAAAGTCGATAATCTAAAGCAGGACTACTCGACTATTTTTACCGAAGATCCGCATACAAAACATCAAAATTATTTGGGTCCGCCCTTCAATAAACATATATTTCGGCATCCTTAAACGCGCACTCCCTCGACCGGCCAATGATTATTAGCTAATCAAGATTGTTTATTATGGTGCTATAGTTCATTTCATATATATTCGAAAGTATAAAAGTCATTTTATGAAAGGATACTTCAAAAGTGGGGATCATGCTCTAACAAAATATAGAATCAGGTGCGGTCCGAACTCGAAAGGTCCGGATTCGGACCGCGGTCGGCCAGTTGAGCAGCCCTGATCTAAAGCATGATTGAACACGACAATGAACAAAAATTACAGTCCTAAACTAACAGAAGCAACAAAAGTTTTTTCACAACTTTGAAGATATGATAACAGAATGTCAATTTCACGCTTTTGATAAAATACAAGTGATCCGAGCAAATTTAATTTCACGTTTCGCGTGTTAAATCATTATGCACCAGACCGGAAGGCATGACGATTTTATGAAATATCTCCCTGATGCAATAACGCTTTTGTAAGATATATATATTGTAATTAGTCAGTATTTTCAGGGAACACAAAGTCAATAATGAGATGGAGTTAAAAATATGAGAAATACTGAAGTGCATATATTAAATTCCTTTCGACAACAACAGATGTTGTTTGCGTATACTCAAATAAACATTGATTTTGAAATCAGGTTAATTTATTCAAAACACTGCAAAACAATAAGTTTCTGCCTGGTTTGACTTTTTTTTCATGGTTTTGTTCAAATTGGTTTATTTTCAAATGAATTGAAAATAAATCTGTAATATCCAGTAGCCGTGGTAGGATATGTTAACTTGTGTGCGGTAATACCATTGAAAAATCTGCCTGCCCATTCATAAAATCAAATAAAAATATTCAAGTACAATTTCGGATTTTACTTCGCCTTGGTAAGCAAAAAATATCGAGTAAATAAAAACAATGTATTTATTTACAATGCATTTATTTACAATCAATTCGATAGCGAAAAATGGAGTTTTAATTGGTAAACAGCAATTAAACGTTTCATTTTTTGTTTTACAGTAGGAAGAGCAAGCAGTTCAAGTTCAAATATACCAGAAGATATAACAGTTTTATGTTGTACAAAGAGTTGCACAATGCAACAGTTGAAGCAGTGAGTCTTACTTAAATATTCAATGCAAAACATATTTGTGTTTACGTGGGGGCATAAATCTCTAGCTATAGATGAAATCATCAGGTTTGATGGATGTTGACAATAGACTAAATTGAAACATCGACACATTAAGAGCTGATTTAAAATCATATCATTCCGCGAAAATAAAACATTACTGTAATTTTATTGGAATTTAATTTGTCTGAAATTGATCATCGTAACATGTTAACTAAACTAATTAATAATTAATCCATATTTAATTTGAATTCTGTACCATTATTTAAAAAAAAAATTAATGTTTGTGGTCATTAGATATTGCGGCAAACCTGCGGAAACGCCCGAACAACGACGTCGACAACATCTTCTCCATTTGCAAGCGTTGCTTCCTTACGGTCGAAATCGTTCCAGACGGGTAATTAATATATTTTGTTTTATTTCGACACTTTGAGATTATTACTGAGCAAGTATTTATGAAAAGTCAAATCTAACATAAAACTCGTTCAATATTAATCGTTTTAATCTGTTTATTAATCCGATTTCAGCCACACGGACGTTTCCAGTCGAGACATAGACCAAGCGCAGCAACATTGCCTGACGAAAGACGAACCGCAGCGGTAAAAATATTGTATAAACTAAGACTTTTCTGAAGAAATCATCTGTTGGCGAAACAAATATTATGTTATTTTGATTCTATTTTACTTAGGTATATTCGCCGTCCATTGTAACGACCAAATGAAAAATAAAAAAAAAGTAAATCTACTTCATCTATTCAGTGATTACCAAACCCCGTCCGATTGTTTTATCTGGTGGCAAAATGGGTTTGATAATACTGAACGCTACGTGTGTACATTTGATCAATTGAATTATATTGCTTATCTCGAATTGTTTTAGTTCCCATATCAAATCTATCACTAATGCAGTTGCTTATATAAAACAAAAAAATTTGTGTTTGTTGAGTTGGGAAAGATCGCGCGACAAATTCACATAATATGTGGTTCCAATCCATATTTGTTATAAGCAGCAAATACAACTTTGGCTTCTGTGCGGTCAAGCAAAAAATGCTTTTAAAATTTCATGGCGAAAATCGTAATGTTTGACAATGCTAAATTTAAACGCGAGCTAGGTGTAATATAATTATGTGTATACGTTTATGTAAGAACCTGGTAAAAATGATACGTCGCGTGTTTATGTTGACAAAATAAAAGATAAAAATCGGCAGCAATGGGTCGTGGGTGGAACAATTCAACCTTTGTCTGTTTTGCCGTGTATATGTGGTTTTATCGCATATTCAATGTTTGTTTGTAATCGAATATCTATCTATCCATATTTACTTGTTTGTGACAACATTAGATCACTACGTTCTAGCAGTATGCAAAACGTGAAAAAAAAACACGACAATCAAGTTGATTGAATCATATCTATTTTGAAACTATTATAAAGGCATTACATTCATTCTGAGAGCATAGTTTGTAAAAATAGTTATATGTTTAATAACGTTATAGTACTAGTGAAATTATTTCGACAGAATTTGCAACATATTTCTAAATCAACTGTTATTTCAAATTTTAGGAAAGAAGACCACCTTTAACTCGATCTTCCAGACATGTCATAAGACAAGACGAATGGGAAAGATATTCAAAAATGACTCTTCATCATTTTTTAAAGGCATACGCTGCGGATCATGCTTCTGATTTAGCCATGACGAATGAGGAATCGGAAGGGACGGAGTCTGCAGGATTATTGGAAAGATTAACAAATAAACAAGGAGAAGCAGGTGGAAGTTGATAAAAAAAAGAAAGCTTTAACGGTTTGCTCCTTGCAACTGTTTGAAACGAATTCTCAATAAAATATGCGTATTGTCGTAACGTGTGATATGATCGATGTTGTCTTCAAATGATGTTCAAAATTTTACTCTGAAGTGGGCTAATCTGGAGTGTTGATTGGCGTAAAGTTTCATCGAATAAATATGTGAAATGCGTCCACGGAACCACGGAATGTTCCGAATGATTCCAGCATTGTTCTACTTGAGAACATTAACATATTTCACATAGCACACAGTGATTTATTCGCATTTACATTTACATGTGACCCACAGTCCCCAGTTAGCAAAATCGATTGAACAGAAAAATGGCTGTATCAGTATGCTAAGCAGTAACGCTGTGATAGCTAACTCATTTTTGATAAACCGATATATATTTATACTTTATTACTTCGTAGCAATCTTCACAGCTCGAGGCAGAATGCTCTGCATGATATGGACCTATCTGAACTCTTTTTTATCTTACATACAACATACCTGTAACGCTAAAAGTCTCAGTTAAATCTGTTGACGTTTAAAGTTTAGTTAGTGTATTGTGTAACTTACCTAATATAGAGCAAACTTCCATGAAAACATGTATACCTCCCGTGAAGAGTATGTATTCCCGTTTTCTTGTTCCGAGTGAAATATTTAGTTCATCAATTAAATATCACATGATTTTGAACAGATTATGCATGACGTCCATTCCATTCGTTTCATTTATTTTTTAAATATTTTCATGTCAATCATATTTAAAATGTATTTATCTGTCCATTCACTCAGTCAGTCTGATATGAATGTGTCGACTCGCTGTAAAAACTTAAGCAAACAATTTATGAAGCAATTATGCATAATTGATTCAGTGTAATTTCAGAGGAAATACAAATATTTTAGCACACCAGTGGTTATATTCTTGCTTTCCATTCAGTGTTCTATTTCTAAGTTTGTTACGTATCATCCGTAAAAACGTTCAACACAATAAATTTCGATAAACAATTCACGTGACGTGAGTACTTTATTCTAAAAGTTCTGCAATAAAGATATTTCATAAGAATAGCCTTCAAGAAAATGTCTCGAATGAGGGACTAAGAAGTTGTACTGATGTGTTATCTGAAACCTGCTTCTTTGATCACTGACAGCATCTCCTGATTAGTCTTGATATTAAATATAATATTGTCATATCAATCTCGATTCCTAATGTTTTATCTAATGTTAATGCTTTTGTACAATATTATACTAACTATCATTCAACATAGGCGGCAGTTGCCGGCAGACATTAAATCGTTTTAGCTAGTACAACAACATGAATTCTTTGATATTTTGATTCTTTCCTGATGCAGAAATATAATTATACAGTATCAAAGCTCAGTTAATGACAACGTTTTATGCAGCGGGTGATGTCGAATGGTTTGTATCTAGATTGGCTACTGCATCAAGTTAGAAACCACAGGTTTAATTTTTAACAAACTATTTATATTTGTGTTACAAACCAGGAATGAAGAATCAAGACGTCATACGTTGAAAAACATTTAAACTCGAGCGGGCAATAAATAAATAAATAGTATCGAAGCTATTGTGATAATATTACAATTTGTTAAATTATGAATTGTGCGTCGTCATTAGCAAGCCAGCGTCAGCGGAATTCAAAATACGGACTTAAAACTTCCCAGTTTTTATATTTTTTGACTCAACCGCGACTCCAGAAGCTCCGATTTCATCACTTCACTACTCCTGACCTTCAGTCTATTAAAATTTTATAGCATCTAAACACATACAATATGCACATCCAAATGTGGGTATCATCAACAATTTCTATTTGGGGGCAAAAAATGAATCGTCAATAGGATTTATATACACTTTCTAAATCAGCTATTACTGATTTTTTTTGTTTCATTAGCCACTATATCCCGTGCGAAAAAAGGAAGCAATGCTCATATGTAGACACAAATGTACGGCCTCAGCATCAAGCATCAAGTTTTCAGAAAAACATCAACGGACAATCGTGACGGAAGCAGACTACCACGAGGGACAAAGTGTTACTATATTTATAAAAAAGTGTTTCTATGAATTAAAATAAAATCACAGCGAAATATTACGTGAAATATCCGGGTTACATAGAACTCAGAGTGCCAGTTTATTAGTGTTTCCATGCTGTTGCTTGTAGTCCCTTTTTCCGTTGTGTGTATTCCGTATTCCATGTTATTTCCACCTATCTTGAAACAGGTGGATACATTAAAAAAGAACGATAGTCCTTATTAATTCTTCTTTAATATATTGACGCCAGCAACGATGCCCTATCAACGGTGCATGACAAAAAACGAGTCAAACAAATTTGTTCTGAAGAAGGCGTCAAAACGTATCATACATTTTGTAGTTGTAATTTTACTTCATTTTTAGGCCAGGGTTCAAAGAGTAGGATAAATCAAAGTTTACCCTTAAAAAATATTTTGAATAAGGCGGGAATCTGTTCCACCTAGTCAAAACAATCACCGATTCGAAAACTTCTTTTGCTGGAAACCTGATGTTTGGACAAATTGCCATTCATCACCCTGTATTTGATTGGAACACAATAGTGAATCACTCATGTCTGGAAAATATTTGACAGTCGACACGCATGCACGAGGGATTTCAATCTAATGTAGGTTCTGTGCCTCGATATTTCGTAACGTGTTATTAACATCGGGCATAATTCACACTTATTTTGAAGTTCGCTTAGTCTATCTCTGGAATACTGGGGAACACCTCCTTTGCACTGAGGCGGTTGCAGGCCTCATATTTACCACAGCTTCGAATGACCCCAAAACCTCGTCATAGCTGTTTGGATTTGTATCTAATACACCGCCATATTTTTTTCATCTCGTATTTAGTTCGGTTTATATCAGAAAACTGTCTTACAGGTCATATACTCAAATTCTTTGAAAACCGGGAAAAGTGTTCATCATTTTGTAAAATATTGGGATGGTTTGTCTCTTTTCGTCACTTACCTTCACTATGTCTAGCGAAGGCTATTTTATATCGGATTTACGCACATAATTCTGAGGTTCTATCACTACAGCAAATCCCACTTAGGATTCATTAGGGAGATGTATATTTGATTGAATGACCCTCCGGCTAAATCATTTGGGTGCGGTAACTGAAGTTTAACATAGCTTGCCGACTGTCGCAAAATCGTATTTCGTTTTTAAACGGACAAAGAGTTATATCGCAGTCCGACAGCTCGTCATATGGCTTTTTCGTTTGTCAGTCGGTATGACACAGTTTTGCTATTGTCGAATTGCCTAATTTGTTTTGAGCCCATGAAAGAATGGTAATTCTCACCATATTATAACAAACTTTCATGCCAAAATATTTACTTGGACGTAGCGAGAAGCCTAAAGTAAGGATTCAAAGTGGTCATATCCTTCATCACCGTAATTTCATCATTGTGATCGTTGCCTGGTTGTTCCGTATCAGAGCCACGGTACGTGTTGTAATCTTCCTAAGATATCGTCGATTGGCTTCTGGTAAATATTGATTAATTATTTAGAAAATGACGCGTTCTAGCGCGGTAAGCTGTGGAGCATAAAAACAGACTTCCTCATTATGAGAATCTTTGTGTAACTTCGTTGTAACTGCTTAGGATGTTTAGACGTGCGTGCAACGGATCGTAAAAGTTATGATTCATCTCTACAACTAAATTCATCCAACAGTGAATCTGGTGCAGAAGAAATCTACGGCTTTATAGAAGAGTAAGTAGGCTACGCTATGTTAGTTTGTGAATGGTTTGCTATGAAACAAACAATGTAGAACCATTCATCACTTATTCAGCACTATATCTCTGCCTGACAAGGTGTAACAAATAATCATGGATTGGTTGAAGTCAAGTCAAGGCGATAAGACTCAGAAAAAAAGTCTGCAAAAGTCAAACAATAATCGTGTCCCAAGAATCCATTAGCCATGACACATGACAATTCATTTAATAATAGCCTAGCAGGTGATTTCAATGCCCTAACCCTAACCTATAACAAAAGATGCCCTAAATATAGCAAAATTTGGCTTGATGAAAAAAGAGAAAATATTAGCATACATTATTGATTCGAGACTACACGACTCCTACTCCAAAAACCATACCGACAAGAATATCTTCCCTGTCCCCCGGAGACTCCAATCCTGACACGTAGACAGAATCTCTGAATGCACTACTGAAATCGTGCAAATGCCACACTAACCTTGTGATTGACCATACCCTATTTTCCACCAGCGAACTAGCTGTATTCCACAAATCCAACTGGATTAAAGAAACTTCACGAAACAACCGGAATACTTTGAAAATCCGACTTTACCGTGGTTTACCTAAATGGTGGGACCACGCTAAAGACCGCATTAAAATAGAGACAATATCTTTGGCATCTTCCTAAATAACATTGCAATAAAAATATCTCGAAACAGAAATACGTTACCAACTACAAGTAGCAGCCAATCTAAACCAAAGGGACTTTGAAAATTGGAAAATACGCCTGATGCATATAAAACCTGGGTGAGATATACTTTGCTAAATTTGTGGTCAACAAAATCAGGCGAAAGGACGAAAAATCAACCAAGTTCTTTTTTGATAAAATTACTCACGAGGAGAAAATATATTCAATGACTGAAATAAAAAGAGCTCATACTTGTTTATCTCACACTTGTCCAGTTTGTTTCTCACTTGCCCTGTTTGTCTCACGTTTGTCTTGCATGTACCACACCCGCCCTGCTCGACTCAAACTTACCCTGCGTGCCTACATTTGTTCTGCTTGTTTCACACTTGTTCTCCATGCATTATACTTTTCTTATTTGCCCCACACTCTATTTCACATATCACACTTGACCTGTTTGTCCAACACTTGTCTGCTTGTCTAATACTGACCCTGATAGTCCCACGCTTTACTTGCCCGTACCATACCTGACCTGCTTGTCTCATAGTTGTGCTGTTGTTCTGAACTTGTATTCCGTGTTTCACACTTGTCAGGCTTTTTCCCACATTTGTTCTAATTGCAAACAACTTGTCGTGCTTGTTTCACACTTTCTCTGCTTGTCCCACAATTGCCTGACAAGTATAACCTGTCCTACTTGTCTTAAACATTTCCAGCGCATTCAGCACAATGTGTGATCGCATTGGGAGCAGCGCATTGCGCACAGTGAGGCCGTATTAGAAGCAGCGCATTACGCACAGTAGGGTCGCATTAGGAGCAGCGCATTGGACGTTCCCTGGTTGATTTTCTTAGAACTGGAGGAGATAGGGAACTAGAGACAATATCATTTTTAACCATATCTTCTTGCGTTTAATTTTCCTATTTGTTTCCTTGATTGATATATGGAGACATTGGTTCAATCGAAGACTCGTCTATAACTTGCGATGCTGTTTCAGGTTTGATAGCGTCTGTCCCTTGCATATTCATTGATATTTCGTAACCGACAGGAGCCAGATCTTTTGAGGCCACAGTTGTTTCTCTGCCATCTGGAAAACGAACATGAGCATATTGTGGATTTGCTTCCAGAAGCTCGACTCCATCTACTAAAGGTCCGGTTTTCGACTTCCTGGCATATCTTTTCAAAAGCACTGGTCCCGGCGTTGACATCCAAGATGTAATAGAACGTCCAGACGTAGATCTTCTAGCTCATGAGGCGTCTCATTGGTGGATGTACACAATAAAGCCCGTATGGAATGCAAAACATCAGGCAAAAAAACTCTTGCTACAATTAAACAAGTTTTCTGGTAGAAAATATGCTTTTATTTTCGTTCAATTTTAGGGTCTCGTGTTAGATTTCGTCGTTTAGCGACTTCTAGAAACTCATTCAAGCTGATATCATGGTCTTGTTGAGTATGCCCACAAATGGTAATGTTATCAAGATACGTGAAAACACCGGTCAGGTTTTCTTCCTTTACCAGGTTCATCATTGCGCTCTGGAAACAGGCTACATCATTTGTGACTCCATATGGTAAACGAGTGAACTGGAACAGAGCACCCGCAGCTTCGAAAGCAGTATATTTATAGTCTTCCTTTTTAAGTGGAACCTGATGGTATTCACTTTTTAAAAATCCACTGTGCTATACACACCATAATGAGCAATTTCACTGATCAGATCACTTATATTCGGTAATGGACACGCGTCTATCTCAGTAAATTTATTGATCGTCTGTGAATATTCGATTGCAAACATTCGTTTCCCATTTTCACCTATTATGAGCTCTCCACGGAGATCTGCTAGGCGTTACAATAGACCTTATCCATTAAAACACCATCCTACGCGCAAAAAGAAAAGTGATGTAAACAAAACAATTTTAACATTAGCTCTTATGGGGAATGCGATCACCAGAGCAGAAATTTGCATTTTTTGTAATTTTCTAGATATCTTTCATTGTGGACGTGGGCAGTTTTGAGGATAGAATATTTTTTACATCTTTCTTGATATTTTTATCATGATAAACATGGTCAAGATTTTTGATAATCGTTCATTAAAATTTTCATGAGCGCGCTGTTTCCGATGACGTCATTCTTACCATACCATGACATTTTGCCAACGCGCCGTGCTCTGTGGGATATGCGCTGCAAATGCGGCGCTAATGTCGTTTGAGTACGGTACCGGTACTGGAAGCGTTTAACATTGACAATCCATAACTCATACCATTTCTATCACGTTTGTATACTGGTTTTACGCAAATATACCTGTACAGCTAGCAATCATTTACTGAAGGCATGCTGACGTGTTATTTAAACTACCGGTACCGTACCAAGACTGCAAGAGGTGAAAACAAAATTATTTAGTTAATAGGCGTACGAACAAAAATGCTGGTC